CGGTGCGCTCTTCTGGCTCTGGATGCTGCCGCCGCAGAAGGCTGCCATGCAGGAGCTCAAGAAGCGCGGCGGCAAGAGCAAGCTTGCGGGCGCCATCTTGATCTTCATGTTCTTTGGCGCGCTCTCGTTCGCGATGACGAGCAACATCATGGCCATCTTCCCGTCGACCAAGTGCTACCGCATCGCCGGCGGCAAGGGCACGGTCAACGGCTCGTGCATCGTCAAGAAGTAAGCCCAAGACGCAGAAGTTTGTGCCTCTGCGCGTGTGTCCAGTGTCGTCTCTTTAATTCCTGCGAATGTATCCTTGGGATAGTTCATTTTTGTTTTTTGCGTGTGGCATCGATCTGTACATGACAATATTCTCCATAAAAGATTGGCCAAAAGATACGAGCTTGACAACTGTCACTTGTAAAGGCACTGCACCAACCGCTCATTCTTTTGGCTATTTCTGAGGATCCGAGTCGCAACTGAAGTGGATACAGACAAAAAGACTTGACCTGCCATGATGTACCTACTAGATTTGTGTCGGACGTCGGCACCTCAGAGCTCTTAGGCGTGGATCAGCTCGTCGTCCAAATATGTTGTCTACACATGAGTCTCACGAGCGAATGCTGGCAACCTCTCCGGATTAAGTCGGGGCCTCGTGGCAGATGCACCGACATGGCGATCTTGCAGACTTGGCCACGGATCCCTTGATGTCAACCACATCAACAAGGTACACACCTGCACTTGATACCCTGATAGACTGAAATTAGGGTAGGACGGTCTGTCGGCGCTCATGATTGTTCGTAAAGTGAAGTCATTGGTCGAGTGGCGATATTGATTGCAGCACAGTGCCTTATGCTCGCATGTAGTTCGCTGCGCTCGCGCCGCTTCTGCTGCCAACGCTTGGCCTCTCTAACCTCTTGATGTGTACGTGAGGCCGCATGAAGATGTGTTGCAAAGTGTGCTGTACTCCGAGATGGCACGCAAGCAAGCGGACTTCAACATGACCCAACGAGAAGCATGACAATAGGAGGCCATACGTGTTGGATACAAAGCAAATGCTGAAGTGAGCCTCTATGACTCAATCTACGATAACGGGCAGGAAGTGGCTGCAGTCCACTTCCCTACAAATGCCCATACTACTAGATCCAGAACATTCCGCCGGGGGGTCGACAATGGAACATTTGGCATGAAGATCCTAGAAAGATCCTAGAAGGATCTTCATCATACGTGGCCTATCTCTAGGCTTCAGATACAGCCGCCTAGGCTCCTAGAACCTGGGCTGTGTGTGCTGGCTGATCATGCAAGTCCTTTGACCAAGCAGGATATCGCCGATATACTACACAAAGCGAACAACATGTCTCTCAGACACCCAGCTTTGACCGCGAATACGGAGCAGGCCGTGTGGACAAGACTTGACACCATCCATCCATTCTCAGTAGCGAGGCGACCATCCATTGGGAGTGGTCTCTCGCATCCACCCCACTAATAATACGCAATGCTTGAATGTACTGCTGACGAGCACAAGCAAGGAGCTGAATCGCATGCGCATGTGGTACAGCGAATCGCCACGGATCTGGCAATAAGAAACAATCAGATCCTTGGAAGAGCCAATCAAAATCGTGGCTCTGGTCGCGTTAGGGCAAGCTCGGCGAATCAAAAGTCTGGCTCTGGGTTTTCGGATCGCAGAGAACGCTGCGTTGAGCCCAATCCTAACGGCCTTTTGAAGGGACGGCCATGGGGCAAGCAAGAGCTATCGAGGGTAACGAGTCGTCGCAATGAGGGGATTGGACAAGGCAAATGATGGGATGATTCATGCGAAGTCTTCGAGTTAGTTTTTGCTAATTTGATTTCAACGCGAACACGTTTGATTGATTGATTCATACAATATAAATGCGACTCGCATCGGGATCTATTGTGGCGCGACCTTGGCGGTCGGTGAGTGCTGCGTGGGCAACAGCAAGGGCCGCTTGGTATCGAGCCTCGCGCCCTTCGATACTGGTTTCATCTGTCCATACCCGGGCGAAAGCATCTGGCGTGGACTCGCGCTTGTTTGCCGCTTTGTCTGCAAGGCGTTTGGGATGCTGTGCTCGCGGTGTGTACTTGACGACCATGGCGAGACGGCACGGTGTCATGCCGTTGCGAAAAACGTGAGAGAGCCGTCGGAGTCCGCCGCACTCGACGCACTTCTTCTCGTCTCGGGCATCGCGCGGGCGAAGTAGTCTGGGTGTGTTCATGGCGAGGGATCGAGGCGTCAATAGAACTTGACCGTGATTGGTAGCCATCCGACACATTTTCTTGGGTGGTGCGCGACGCTGCACTGCCGCAGCTGCCATCGCAGTTGTCGGCGGGGCCGCTTTAGCCATGATCGCAGGTGCCACGGCCGTAGTCGGTGCTGCAGGTGCTAAAATCGCAGCTGGTGTTGCACGTGCGAATATCGCAGTTGGTGCTGCAGGTGCGGTGACAGCCGTCGAGGCCGCGGCCCTAGGGCATAGGACAGCGTAGTATCGGTGAAGCGCCGTCGTCCGGTGTGTTGCGCGGCGCTTCGGGTCCTTTGTGCAGCCCGTGATGTGTCGCGTGGTGGCATGGCACTCGACACAGGCTCGTTTGCCGTCGCTGTTGACGTAACGGTCCTTGGGATCGGGGCGGAGGCGAGCCATGGCAAAAGCGAAATGAACCATGTACACTCCGAAACATGATGCATATCGATATATTTTTGGAGTTCCAGTCACGTGGAAAAAGCTTCCGTGCGGGGTGAGCTGGCAGAAACTTTTGAACACGAAGCGTTGTCGAACGGAGGATAAAATAAGCTTGGCCCCCGTCCATGGCATCGGCTTTGTATTTTCAAAAAGACAGTCGCATATACTGTAGTCCCAACTCCACGTATAGTAAGGTAGCTCCCGCGACACATGAAAGAGAGGCTGTCAAGCAAAGTATTGATTGCATTGACTCATGCGGGTACTTACTCGCAGGCTTGCGGTGACTCGTGGTCCCGAAACAGTGTGTCAACCGCTGTTTTTGGCACTTTTACATTCGGCATGTGCCACAAACAACACGTCGCATTTTATCCAATCGCCAGTCCGGACGATAAACGCATCGATGCCATTGGCCATACGCAAAACAAATTTTGGCCAATCCACAGAGCGTATCTTTGAGCCAAACGACGAGGTTGTCGCGCGGGACGTCGCTTCGTCAGCAGCAGCAGCAACAACGACGACGACGAGATGGGCCAAGACGTCTCGGTGATCCTGGACCACGACGCCGTCGGTCGCCGGTCGCCGCCGACGGCCGTGGTCAACGAGGCGCGCTTTGCGTTCTGCGAGACGTGGGACGCGAAGAGCGTCGACCACCTCTTGACCACGTACACGGCGCAGTACCAGTCACTCCATGGCAGCGAGCTCCACAAGCAAGACGACCGGCGCCAAGCGCTCGAAAGCGAGATCCTCGAGCTCGAGGCCCACCTGCTGACACGCTTCCACGAAGCCGATTGTAGCGACGACGACGGGCTCCGTGCCTCGCTCGAGAGCAAGCGCCGGCAGCTCTACGCCTGGGTTCAAATGCCATCGCGCGACGCAATCGACTACGCGCTACCGCTGCACTGGTCGGTGTACATGGCCGCGGCCAAGCACGTCGAGACCGAGGCCAAGTTTGGCGCGCTCCGCCGGAAGCGTGTGCACTGGCACATGGCCACCTACGGGTACGAGATGGAGAAGGATCCGACCGCGGCCGCCGAGCTCGCGCGCATGGAGATGGACCGCCTCAAGTACGCTGCGCCGGCGCCCAACCACGAGATTGACGGCCACACAGACGACAACGCGAGCGAGTCGGAGATGGACTCGCTGGACGGCGGCGACTCGGACCTGGACGAGGACGGCGACAAGGACAAGGACAACAAGCCCAACGCTTTGACCGTCATCGACCTGGCGCCGAGTCCAGTGCTCACAGAAGCAGCGCTCGACGCACTTCGGGTGCCACCGCCACCGTCACCGCTCTTTGATCCATCGTTGCGCAGTCCGATATTCTTTGGGTACACCAATGCGCCCATGCAGAGTCCTGTCGACTTGACCAAGGCCAACGAGAAGGCCCTTGCGGACCGTGAGGCCGCGTACTTTGAGCTGCGGATCGCACGGGCCAAGAAGCGCATCGATGACGCGACAGCGATCGAACGAGGGAAGCTCAAGTCCCTCCTCGAGCGGCGCGACGCCACGCTGGAGAAGCGCCAGAAAGTCCATGCGGCGCGGGCCCGCGAGATGAACGAAGCCAAGCAAGAGGGGCTCGATCCGACGGCCGACTTTTTTCGAAAAATGGCATTGAGTGGCGACGTCTTGGCCGCCGACGAAGCCAAGGAAGACACTGTATTTACAACCCAAGAGGCAGCGATCCTCGGACGTATGGCCAAGGCAAGTGCAACTGGCGAAGACGAGATTGCTCTCCTGCAAGCACTGCAGTTTGGCCGGTCACCGCCGATCGCTCCGCGCCGACGCAAATTTCACGAAGCCGAGTTGGCCGAGCTCACGAAAAGCCTCGGGCAAGCCCGCATGGACTTGGTTGGTCCCTTTCAGCGTTCATTGAAGTTCTAAAACTCGGAAAATGCTAGGAAAATGCCGCCAAGACGCTCGATGAGACCAAAGCTCGGCTGGAAGCGCCAGCACCCGACAGCGGCGGGCCATCGGTCGCGAACCCGAATCACGCTCGGACACAGCTGCTCTTTGCGACCGACCAAGTCATTGCGGCCGAGAAACTCATTGCGAATTTGGCGGCGCGCATTTCGGAGGAAGAATTCATGCTGCAGCGCGCCGACGTCGTCCGGGATCTCGAAGCGCTCTACCTTCCGAGCTTTGCGCTGCTCGAGGGTCTTCCTGCCAATCGCGGGGACCCGATCGTGCTGCGGATGGAGCTGCTGGTGCTCTTCCACGCCCACGCAGCAACGCTCACGGCCAAGCTCAAGTACATTTATGCGTCGTACGTGGACGTCGCTTCGGGGCGGCTTCCAACCTCCGGGTTGACGCGCCTTCTTCGGTCCACTTTTGAGTTGTTCCACGCGCTGGGCGAGATCCACCTTGAATCGTCGTTGGACGACGGGTTCTGGGCGAATGTGGCGGCGCGGGCGTGTCCGCCGCAAGGCATGACGTGGCACGATTTCAAGCGCTTTAGCAAGGACGAGATCGCGCGATCGCAGCTCTTGGCGCGCATTTTCCGCGTGCCGTGGCGTCTCAGTGGGTGGAGTCGGCTCCAGACGCAGACGATAGCGCCGCTGCACCAGTTTGAGCTTGGCGCGATCTCGCTCTCGGACCTCAAGTTTACGCTCGCGAAGCAGCACCTTCGGCCGCGGATGGCGCTTGTACCGCACCGCATGGAAATCTTGCATATTCGCGCGCTCGCCATGGGCGCCAACGACCCGCTCAAGGCCGACTACAGCAAGTACCTCAAGTCGAGGAAGACCAAGGTACTCTCAAACGTCGTGCCCCTCGACCATGGCGCGTACCGCAACCTCGTGGTCTATCGCAACGAAGTGGCGATCCGGGCTGCCATTCGTCTCCAGACCTCGTGGCGCGCCAAGAAGGGCCGCCACGACGCGTACATGGCGGCCAAGAAGCAGGCGTTCTACCACGCCAAAGGCACGGCGCTTGTGGCGGCCCGGGCCGCGGCCGAAGCCGAGTGGCACAAGCTCGAGGCGACCAAAGACATGTCGCTCGAGAAGATGAAATTCGATGCCAAAATTCGCATGCGGCAAGTCAAATTACGCACGAAAGGCCTCGTGATGGACCGGCGCCAAGTGCTTTGCGTCATGATTGAGGAGGCCGTGCAAGATGCGCTGGAGGAGGTCGACCACCGATTTCGCGAAATGGAAGAAGATGCGGGCTACGTTCCCGTTCGCCTTCGGTTCGATCCGCTCAATATGGAGCATTTTGCCGAGATTTCGTCGAGCCTCATCGACCAGCTCAAGCGTGCGCGGCTGCCGACGCTGGAAACTGCGACTTTGCTCCAGCGCATTGCGGAAAAGGACAGAGAGGACGTGCCCGAGACAACGACGCCGATCGAGGCGCCCGGGCCGCCGCCCACCTTTCGCAGCAGCGCGGTTGAGCCCAAGCTCTTTGTCCCGGAAGCCTCGCTCCTCTCCAAGCAGGCGCAGATGGCGGCGCGGCACATTGCCATGATGCGCGGCGTCGGCGTGTCGTTTGCCGAGTGTTCGTCAATCGAGAAGCGGGTGTGGCTTGCGCTAGCGTCGTCGACACCCGAGCTCGACGACTGGAGCGACCGGCTTCAGTACGTCTGTGACGGCCTCACCGACTTTAAGCTCCGCGAGTTCCTGCTCGAATTGCCGTCCAAGCGCCACGCAATCGAGTACGTCCTCAGCTTCCGCAAGCACCTCGTTGGCAGCAACCAAAACGACGAGCTCGCTTTCGATCGAGAGGCGCTCGTCGCCGATCTCATGGGCCACTTTCGCCTTCTTCGGGGCGTCGACGCCTTGGCCGAGAGTCTTATGTTCATGGCGTCGTCCGACGTCGAGACATCGCTTCGGGATTCGACGGCAAAGACACTCGATGCGCAAGAAGTCTTCTTGGCCAAGCACGTGGCCAAAGCGCAGCTCAAGGCCGCGGCCATCGCGGCCAAGGCCCGGCAGCGCCGCGCCAATGGCCGGGACCTCGTCCAGCGACTCGAATTTGAACGCAAAACCAAGCCGCGGCCGTTGCCGACGCCAAGGCCAAGGCCGACGCCGCGATGCAAAAGTGGAAGCACGCACAGCGCTCGCTCGACTTGCTTCAGAGCCGGCTCGCCGCTGCCAATGTGGACGAAGCAGCACCCAAGACGTTGCCGCCGTCGCTCCACGATAGGACGTGCTGGGCCGAGCGGCTCAAGCGCACGTTGGCCGATGCGTCGAGCGATGCGTGGGTCGAGATGTTCCACGTGTGCCAGGACTTTCTGCACATCGCGTCGCATCTGGCGGTGCAGATTGCGCGCGAACACTACTTGCCACCGCACGAAAAGTCGATTTTACCCACGTCGTTGTCGGCACCGTTCCAGATGGACGGCCGGAACGACGACATTGTGCGCAGTAGCCATGGCAAAGGCCACCGCTTCGAGGTCCACAACATCCGGTTCCAAGTTGCCGTCGATGACCACGGCCGGTACGACGGCGCGGACGAGCTCGCCATGAAAGCGGCCGGCGCCGAAGTCCGCAACTCGGCGCTCTACCTTCCGACGTTGCTCTCGTGCCCGAACGTCTTGGCGCCGCTCGTGTGCACGGTCGACTACTGCGGCCTCCGCGTCCTCTGCGTCGCCAAACTCCCGATCGAGCGCTACGAGGTCAACGACCGGGGCGCGATCACTAACATTTCGACCGAATTTGTGTACGGCACCAACAACCGAGGACGCACTGTGACGTACCACAGCAAGAGCCTCGATGGCGCGGTGCGCAAGGCCAATGCGGCGCTCAACCTCACGGCCCACGGCGTTCGGGGGACCCAAGATCTCACGGCCAAGATGCTCTCGGGCGCTGGGGACATGCACGGGTACCTCGGGCGCGACGAGTGGCTTTGCTTGCTGCGCTTTCGCCGAAGCATGCCACCCGAAGATCCCGACACCACGCGGCATCTGCCAAGTTCGACGCGTGGGATGAGTATTTTATGGCGCCAACTCCGACCCACGTTGGTGCAAGCCCAACCGTTGCCGCTCTCGAGTGACGCGCTCTCGTTTCTGACCAATCAAACTTCCGACTGGGAGACGCACATTGAGCGCGTCACGGCTGCGACCGCCCACCTGCTTGACGACGTCATTCCAGCGTTCGCACGCAAGCTCGCGACGCGACCGGTACGTCAACCCCATCGTGGTGGTTCGGAAACGATGGACAATACGACAATGTATATGGGTAGATGTATGTGGACGCGCCGGGCTTTGATTTGGTGGCCGAGCTGCATCGGCACGGGATTAACGTCCGCCACCTCGGCTACCTCCGCGCACAGTTCCGGTACCAGCTCGCCGGCACGGCGACCATGACGTTCAACAGCAACGTCGTGAGAACGACGCAAGACATGACTCGTGAGGTGCAGCGCGGGGACGTTGTCTACATCCACGGAGACACGTACAATGTTCGCCTCCGTACCGTCTACCGGCAAAACCCTAACCCTTGTTTAGATTAGCACGTCCCGTGACGACGAAGTGTCGACAACAACGCTCACGCTGGATCGTCCGTACCCGCACGACTCGACACAAAACGTGACGGTGGCCACGGGTTCGATCCTCGACCCAACGCAGCAGCTTCGCGACCGCCTCCTTGTCGAGATGCTGCAGCGTACGATCAAAAACCTTCTGCGCTTTGCCCTGCGGCAGCTGCTCAAGTCGCGCCAGCTCGCGATTGGGCCCAACCATACCCAGTTGGTGCTGACGTACTTGAATTTTCTATCGGGCGTCGGCGACGGTGCCCACGCCTTCTGGGACACTCATGTCTTTGACGGCGTCCGCAGCCGGTTTGGCCCCATCGCTGTCTCGTACGTGGAGCGTCTTAACCTCCGGCGGGCACCAGTTGCGATCGCCAAGTACCTTTGCAAAAGCCTCGGCATGGACTTGACCGCCGACTGCTGGGCGCACTTTACAGCGTCGCCGCACGGCTTTGTTTTTACCGCCGACGACCTCGTGCTCGCTTCCACCGGTCGGATCAAGCACAATATGAGTCTTTTGCACTACGCCGCCGCGTCGCTGCTTCTAGATCGCGCGTCGCTCGTGCAAGGCACGACGTACCAAGCCGGCGTCCTCCACGATGCACCGGTGGGGTACTGGCCGCTCGCCGAGCGTCGCGGGTCCAAAGTGGCTCGCAACCTCGGGTCGTCGAGCGACCACGGCAAGTTTGCATCGTCCTGCGTCCTTGAGGCGAGTGGTCCCATTGCCAACGACGACTTGTGCCGCGCCGTGAGCTTTCCGTACGCTGCCCACGCGTACGTACTCCTGCTCAGAAGATCGTCTAAATCGTACCGATAGCTACATTGCCTGCCATCGCACGCAGCGGTGGGAGTCGACCGTGACGCTCGAGGCGTGGGCGTGTCCGACCAAGGACGGCAGCGGCATTCGCGCGATTCTGAGCCACGGCCGGTGCACCCTTGCCGTGCTCAAGAACCACCGCTGGGGCGCGTGGGTCAATATGCGCAACATCGACGTTGTCGTTACCGGTGGCCTTGTCGCGTTCGGGGAGTGGACCCACGTGGCGTGTACGTTTGACGGCGCGACGCTGCTCCTCTACGTCGGTGGTGTCCTCCACGGCGACTTGGACGTCGTGTCCGAAGTCGATGTGCAACTACAACGGCGGGATGCCAAGGTAGCGCTTCTCGAGGGCTAGGGTTATATCGGTTCGATGGATTGGTTGGGTAGTTTGCCGCTTTACGTGCCAACTTGGAGGCGCAAGAAGAGGTTGCCAAGACCGACTGCTTCAAGACAGTCGAGCGCGAGAGCCGGGTCTACTTTAGCACGAAAGAAGGCAAGAAATTCATCGCTGAGCTCGCCAAGAAGGTTCGCGACGAGGCCGAGTTCAAAGAGCGTCTGAACAAGAAGGCGTCCCAGCGCAAGCTCGAGGCCGAGGCGACACCGGTCAAGGTCAAACCCGCAACCAAGCCCGACTACGACATGCTCGCGAAGCAGCAGCACACGACGGCCATCTACCACGCCAAAGTCGATGCCATCATGGTTCGTCTGCATCGGAAACCCTCGCCGCTCAAAGCACCATATAGGACGCGTTCAAGAAGCTTCGAGTCGACCTCAACACCAAGATCGACAACGAGATTGCGGAAGAACTCTCGAAAGACTCTCGACCGTGTCGCATCGGGTGTGTCGCCAACGCCAGTTCCAACGGCAAGTACTTTGTCGGGTCGCTCGCCCACCTCGCGTACTACACCAAGCCCCTCTCACGGGATACCCTGTACCGCCACTACCTCGTCGGGTCGATCGACCGCGCGACCACGTCGGACCGCCTCTTTGAGCTATCGGCCGCGCGGTTCACTAAGGCACTGGCGTACACCCCGGAAGAGCCGTCGTTCTTAGCAGCGTACGCCATCAACATTTGCTCGTCGCTCAAGTACGACCTCGACCACCGCCGCAGTCAAGAGATGTACAAGGCCAAGGTCCGCCGCGCCCTCAGCGCGTTTCGGCTACGCGAAAACTACAAAGGGTGCGCAGAGATACTCAAGTACCTTCCCCGCGACGTGCGGTTCAGCGACCTCTTTCGAGAGGGTTACCGCTGCGTGACAGAGCTCTGCCCGAGCTACTGGACGCCCAACCCGACGGCGAGCAAGACCATGTCGCTTCTGGATCTGGCATCCCTGCCCGTGCACTACTTTCTCAGTGGCAACCCGGCGCAGTCGTCGCTGCAAGGGCTTTTGCACGACGAAGTCGCCGCGTACGCAGACATCATTTGCCGCGTCGTGACGATCTACGCCACGCACTATGGCGACGGCTTGACCGACCTCAAGTGGCTCTGCGACCTCGAGACACCCAGCGTCGTTGTGTACTTTGTACTGTGGCTCCAAGCCGGCGAGGATGGCCGGCGATTCGACCTCTCGAGTGTCCCAACCGTGACGCCCAAGGACATGGACGTCATAACGAGCGCGAACCGCTCGTGTCTCGCACTCAACCTCGCCAAGTACAACTGTAGCCGAAAGTGCATTGTCTCTAAAGCGATCGTAGGTGCACCGCGCTCACGGACAAGACCATCTGCATGATTGCGGTGCGCTGCAGCGGCCTCGAAGCACTGGATGTCTCGGGTCTCTCGCACCTCTCGGACGTTAGCGTCCTCGCACTCGCCAAGAGCTGTCGCAATCTTAAGTCGCTGCACGCCAGCGACTGCGGGCTGCTCACGGACGCAGGTATCGAGGCGCTGGCGGCGTGCATGGACCTCCGAGAGCTCATTCTTACCGGCTGCGGCAAGCTCACGGACGACAGCTTGCGCGCGATTGGGCTTGCCCACACGCGCCTGACGCGTCTCGAGCTTGGCTTTTGCATCCAGTTGAGCGATTTTGAGGGGTTTGCCCGTGTCTCGAACGCATTGAATCTCTCGACACTGGACGTCTCGGGCTGTCGGCGGCTCCAAGACGTAGGGCTCGCCGCGCTCTCCCGCAAATTCACCAAGCTCACCTCGCTCAACCTGGCCTACTGTGACAAGATCACCGATGTCGGTCTCTGGGTACGTCGTCTCGACGGCACCATCGATCGTATCTTGCAAACCGTTCGGTTAGGCGGTCACCCACAACTGCTTGGAGCTCACGAGCTTGAACCTGCAAGAGCTCGTGCTGCTGACGGACAAGGCGTTTACGTTTGACCACGAAGGCGACGGGCGCGCGAACGTCGCCCAGAGCCTCCTTCAGCACCTGCAAACGATCGTACTGGCCGACTGCAAGGGGCTAAGCGACACGGGTATCGCGTACCTGCACCACCGGGCGCGGTCCCTCGAGTCGCTCGACGTCTCGGGCTGTCTCCTGGCCACCGACCAAATGTTGTTGCGATGATGACAAGCACGAAGGACTCATATAAGAAATGATATGGATGTAGGCTCAAGTACACGACGCTGGATATCTTCAACGGCACCGAAGTCGGCAGCCACCTCCGTGTCCTCGACTTGAGCTTTTGCATGCAAGTAACGTCCGACGGTCTGCGCTACATTCGCGACCGGTGCAAGCACCTCGTCACCCTCTTCTTGACGGGCTGTGTGGGCGTCACGGATGACGCGATCATTGCGCTGCTTCGCGCCTGTCCTCGCCTCAGCCGCCTCGGCTTGGGCTACTGCCGCGACGTGACCGACGCCGTCCTCTTCGCCATCGCCGACACGCTTTGGCTGCAGGTGCTCTCGCTCACGCGGTGCGGCAAGATCACGGACGCCGGGGTGGCAGCGGTGGCGACGCAGTGCAACGGCCTCTCTGCACTCACCGTCGCGAGCTGCAAGCGACTCACGGATGCGTCGATGGCGGCGCTCCTCGAGCACTGCCCCAAGCTGCTTGAGCTGGACGTTGCCTACTGCCCCCACATCACCTCCCACGCGCTCGCACCGTTTGTGTCGACGCGGCTCGGTATGGTCCTTCGAAGCGACTGCCCGCTCAGCGCACCGCCGGTGCTCCTACACGACGACGTACTCCAAGAACGGCTCTTTCGAGAAGCCTCCAAGAAGCTGCAGCTGCCGCCGCTCGCACTGCACACGCCACGGCGGCTACCAACGCCTCGGACCGCGCGATCCGAGAGCGATGCCACGCCCACGATATCACGCAACAACGACGACGACGACGACGACGACGCATGACACTGGATTTAGTCGTGTAGCTCCGAGAGGTAGTTGACGACCCGTAGTAGCCGTCCTTGGTATTTCTCAAGAATTTGAATGTTGAGTGCCGTGTTGGTAAAGCCCTACCGCCATAGAAGTTACGTGAGTCTCGTCGAGAACCACTTCATAAGGTCATTAGTACCATGGCAGCGAGCTCGGCCAGCTGCGTGTCCCAGAGATGCGGGCCCTCCCCCGGCGACGCCACGGGCTCCAGACCGTGCACTGTATCGGTCGGCGCATGCAGAGCCGCGTCTTGTGCGGCTGCCCAGCGGTCCAAGGCCGCTCGCCACGTCGCCGCCATCTCGGTGGGCCCATCGACGGTCCGCATGTCGACGTCCTCGACCAAGGTGTCGGCCACGATATCGCTTGGTGGCGTGGTGGCTTCGATGAAAAGCGCTTCTTGCCGGCCCGAGAGACCGACACTCGCCAGCGACTCGCTTGCTTGCAGCCGTGTAAACACACGTCGCGGGTAGTTGGCCACGAGTTGAAAGTGCTCGAGGCCGGTGGCCGCAATGACCATGTCGAAGATCCCTTGGAGCGCCGCGTTAGGTGCAAAAAAACGAGTCGCGGGGCTTCCGCTGGGGAGCCGGACAACGATCTTGATGCGAGGCATCTCGGTCGGCGGCTCGTCGGGCACCCGGCCGGCAGCGTCGGCTTGAATTGCCTGCAAGCGCTACAGAGACGTCCACCCTGATGCTCGAAGTCACCGAGTCGATCGTACCTCCGCCTTGGCCTTTTGATGCGCTTCGGCGCGGGCGGTGGCCAGCGCTGCCTCCTCGGCGGCACGCCTTGCAGCGTCGACAGCTTCGCTCGGCAAGACGTCGACTTCGAGGTCGACGTTTAAAATCTGGACCTAGCATTTCAATGCATTTCAGAAACCGACCTCGCGAGACACATGCGGTCGTACTTGTGGCTCGGGCAGCACTTGACGCACGGCAATGTCAAAGGTCACACCGCCTTGCCGGACGAGGAGGATGTCGCCTTGCGTGATGGTTGTGTGGTTCTAGTCGCACGCTGCTTGTGATCTCATAAGTTGATGCTGTAAGTAAAAGGTACCTGGAGCGTGCGCTCGAGCAGTGCCTTGAGATCGAGCTGGCGGTCGCCGAACCCGTCGCCGAGCGGCTGGAGCTGTACAAAGCGGCCTCGGGCGAGACGGACAAAACGAACACCAATGTGCACGCTGTCGTGCGTAAGCAGGTCGAGCGACTTGGCAATCTTGGGCGGAATACCTAGTTGTCGTGGTCTGCGTCTGCCTCTGCGTCATGCAGGCCTCGTACCGATGGTGCCTTCGTCGGCCACAAACTCGAGGACGCTCGCGTGTGTCGTGGCGCTCAAGTGTGTGAGCTCAAAGGAGAGCACGCCCATGTCGAGCGCGTTCTGCGGATTGAGCGCTTCGAGCGCGGAGACGGGCAATGTGATCTTGTCGCCTGCGCAAGAGAGACGTGAGCGTCATGTGGTCCAAGAAGGAAGATCGCGTCTACCGTCATTGTCGATGGCCACGGCGCGGAGCGTCTGCTTGTAGGCGATGCCACCGGTAACGCGCTCGTCTTCGAGGCGCCGCTCTTCCTCCTAGCCCGGCGCCATGGGTGCGACGATCGAGTATGAAGCGGACGTACCTCGAGCTCGCGCTGGAGCTGTTCGGCCTTGCGCCGCTGGCTCTCGAGCTCCATCTCGACGCGGAGCTTCTCGGCCTGCTCCTTCCACTCGCGCTCCTTCTGCAGCTTCTTGCGCGCGGCCTCGCGCCGGGCCTCCTGCTCCTTGGCGAGCTTCTTCGCACGGGACCCCACGTCAAAGTCCATGGCCGGCTTCAAAATGCATGTGCCACCAAAGCGTCGCTTGCAATTGGATAAAAACACGCACATTTGAGGGTATTAAGCGCGCTTCCTTGTTGTAATACTTGTGTTTGGTATAGAAGTTGCGTTGCAATAGTGTAGCACGACCGGTGGCGAATGATGGTCCTGGACCTTCTCGATTTCGTCGGTGTCGGCAACGAACTCGCGAGCTTTCGCCGGCGACGACGGCGTGCAATGCAGCGCGCCATCGCGGTACCCCTGCTATGTGCAACGGCGAGTCGGCTAGGCATGTACATTTTGCTATCAGCTTGCGATCTGTCCATGCAAATGCGATAAAAAGGACACTCACAACGCCTCCATTCCGCGTGCCACTCTCGAGATGGTCATGTTGTCACCAGCATTGCTCCTGTTGCGATGATGACGCACTGATGAACGCGCATCCCACTCGCGTGTTGTCTACGTGTGCAATTATTTGTGCGACGGACCTCGCTTTGTGGGTACAAAGGCTGCATACGACGACTGCAGCAGCGCCTTGTTGAGCACGGTCACGACATCGTCGCTCGTGTCGTCGCGATGCTGGAGCTCCTCGAACGACGCCCGCCGAAGGTCCTCGGTGCGATGCCGCTTGAGCTTGAGGATCTCTTCCGCGAGCGTTCGTAGCGCCGACGTGTTGCTGTTGCTCTGCATGCGCACGCCGATCACAACATCTTTGAGCTCGTCCGAGGTCCGCTGCGTGACGTCTCGTGTCGTGTGCAGCTCGCGGCTCAACACTTCAAGCTGCAGCAGCTGCTGGTCGTGCGCGGCATGGAGCTTACTTGACTCTCGCTCAACCCTCTACAAACCACCATGTCCAATCTGCGTCACGCCAAGGTGTGTACGTCGTGGTGCTTGCGTAGGCTCGCAACGGTCTTTTGCGTCTCGAGCTTGTACGCTTCCTCCAAGAGCCCCTACCACCGCTACGTCAATGTTGCAATGGTTGGACCACGACGGACTTGGCCGGCGTTGAGCGCATTGGCAAGCTCGAGCGTCTATGGTCGAGGATGACGCATGGGTACGCGTCGGAAGCAGCTGGAGAACCACCTGCGTGATGCGACTGTCGTAGCGATCTGCGCTGGCCTGCCAAGCAGCCTCCATCTCGCTCATCTTGGCCACCAGCTGGTCGTGCTGCGTCGCGAGCGCTGCGACGCAGCGCGCCTCGCGCGAAATTTGATCGGCGAAATGCTGGAATTGGTGGTCGAGCTCGGCCGAGGCCGCTTGCTTCTCATGGAGCTTGAGCCGAACAAGGTCCTGCGCCACCACCACGTGGGTTCGTCGTTGTTCGATCGAGTACACCAAAGCATCATCATCATCCTCCGCGCGTACCTCGTTGAGCGATTGGAGGCTGCTCTGGGCCGCAACGCGCTGCTCCAACGCGTCTAGCGCAGGCATTGGTTCGGTGCATGCGTGTCCTCGAGGTGTACCTAGCTTTGCCTCGACGCTTTGTGTCAACGCTTGCAGCGTCTACGATCCAGAACACTTCTGCTGTTGTAATTTCAAAGACACGAGTACCCTCTCAAAGCAGAGGCGCGACTCGTCGTGGCGCCGCTCGAGGACGTCGACGCGGTCGGCCAGTGCTTTTGCACGGGCGTCGTTCTCGGTTTCAAGCCGCTGGATTGCGCCGAGCTTGGCGTGTAGGAGCGCGGCTTGCTCGCGTATCTCTTTTCGCATCTACATGTCATTTCGTTCGTACCCATCACTGGCGATCGCAATATCGATTACATGCAGGAGCTCATCCGTGAGAAACCTGGACGGCGACATCTCTGGCGCTTGCCGGGTAGCATCGGTGGCACCACTCGCAGTACCGGTACTCTTTGGAGGCATCGCCGGTCGGCTACGCTCGGGCAGCGACGCCAGCAAGCTCCGCAAATCGCGGGATCGAGGCGATGGTGGCCAGTGCGCCTCGTCGTCCATGGTTCAACGTCTGTTAACGTTACATAGTCCACTTTCTTCGACCGCAACCGCAATGGAAGCTTTGTTTTTTGGCAATACATACTGTGGCAACAGAACATGATGCCACGGCGTGCAGATACCATCGGTAGCCAGCCTCGTGTGTAGTATAGTAGGTGCAGAACAGTGGCAGGTAGCAGGTGCAGAAGCTGGTGCAGACGACATGCCGTCGTGCGCAGAGGTTGAACAGTCTGTTTACACTCCACCTCCCCACCCCACGACCGTCGTCGATTCGTTCCCGCCAAATCCAGGTCATCACGCCATATGATTGGCTCGCTACGTTGTGCGGTCATGATTTCAGCCAATCCGCAATCGCTACGTGGGTGGCACCGACAGGATTACGAATCCAAAACCTGCCAATCAACCCACGTGGCTTACGTGATCCGACGCCAAAAGAATCAAAACCAAAGGCGTCGCATTCGTTCTCACTATCGGAGTATGAGCTCTTCCAGACCTACTGTACCAGGAGTACTCGCACGCGGCAACGAGCCAGCAGCTGCACCTTCCCGCGGAACACGGGCGTGACTCGCACCCTTCGGAGTTGAAGCGTGCGCCAATCTCTTGCTGTTTGTATGCGCTTCCCCTAATCGCTCCGTACGGCTGTCGCACTTGTCAAATGGAAGGCGGGGCTATTACTCCACCACCAGAAGAATACGTCACCCCGCCTGGCGACGTCGAGGCCTGAACGCCAGTCATTCACCCGTCGGCTCGACGGGCTGTTTTTCTGGCTTTTCGCGTGGGATCTTGAGGTCGCTGCTGGCCATTGGCTTCGACGCCAAAGCGCCTTGACAACATCGCGCCTGCATCGGCGCCGGCAGGTGCAACGCGTTCGAGGGCGTTGCGCCCGTCGCTGGCGTAAAAAAACGGCGGCGTTGCCGGATCCCAACGCCTTTAACGCGAACGTGCGTCGTTTAACGCGGTTTAACGCAAGTGCAAAGTGGACGTGTGACAACCGTACCCATATCTCAATCATCCCCCAAGGTCTGAGCGTTCGAATCCGAACGCGCCCCTACCGTCTTTTGCCGTCGCGAGTGGAGCATCCTGAGTGTGCCAACGGTCCTCCGTGAGCCGTCTGTGCTCCCTCTCAGCAGTTCTTCCCTCGATGCCTTGCTTTACATGGCGCATCCCGCCCATACGAACACCGTCCCGTACTTTTTCCATCATCTGCCTCTGAGCTTTGCGCCGATCCCGATGCCCGCGTCCATTGCCTTGCCGCCCGACCCAGCACCGCCAATGACGCTCTACCAGCCACACGAGCCGCTCCTCGACTTCGATCTGAGCTTCTCGCCGGCGGTCACGCCGGACCTGCTGCCGGCCAACGCCTTTCTCCTCGAGCCGCTCGACTTGCTCGAGCCGCCCATGCCCACGTCGTCGCCGTCGTCGTCGTCATCGTCGTCGCCGTCGTCATCGTCGTCGCCGTCGTCGGCCACGGCCAAGCCCGCGCGCCCGCGCCTCCGCAACTTCCAGTGCACCCATCCCGGCTGCGGCAAGTGCTTTGCCGACAATGCGCATTTGAAGGACCATATGTTTGTGCACACGGGCGAGAAGAGCCTGCAGTGCCCCGAGTGCGACAAGTGCTTTGCCCGCGTCGCGTCGCTGCGCTCGCACCGCCGCGTGCACACGGGCGAGCGCCCGTTCTTGTGCCCCGAGCCCGACTGCGACAAGCAGTACGCATCGCGCGCGGCCCTCCGCATGCACGCGTCGCTGCATGCCGCCGCGGCCAAGAAGAAGCAAGTACCCAAGAAGGCCAGTACGTCGTCGTCGTCGGCCAAACCGTCGACCATAAAATTACAAAAAATTCCCGCGTCGACGACGACGACGCATCATGGCCATGACGCCAACTGCGACGACTGCAGCGACTGCCACCACGGCCGCTGCCGCCAGCTCGCCGACAAGATCAAGGAACAGCGCCAGGTCATCCTCGACCTCCAGGCGCAACTGCAGTCCCAAGCCGGGTCCTCCCCGGAAAAGAAGCGTGTCCAGCCCAAGCCGCCACCCGCGTCGAGCCTCGACAAGGAGCCTGTCCTCAAGTCGCCACCGGTTGTGCCCATGGTGGCGCCCTTGTATCTCCTCCAAGACGGCATCAAGCCCTTCAAGTGCATGCTCGGCTGTGGCCGCGTCTTCTCCAATTACTTCCAACTCGCCTTCCACGCCAAGCAGCACCCGGAGGCCGATGCCGCCGACGTGCTCGGTGACCAGCTCCCGTTTCCCGTCGGCCCCAAGTACTGCCCGGTCAAGGGCTGCGAGTTCAGCGAGGAGAGCGGCAAGAGCATGAAGACGCTGCAGATCGTCAAGCGGCACTGGCAGCGCGTCCATCAAAACACGCGCCCGTTCTTGTGCCCCGACTGCCCCTCGCACGCGCAGAAGGCCTTCAAGACGCGTGACAACCTAACGGCGCACCGCAAGGAGTGCAAGAAGCGCGACTCGAAGGCGTCGCCGTCCAAGCGCGCCGCGTCGCCGCTCTCGTCGCCCAAGAAGCGACTCAAGCCATCTGCTGCGCCCGTCGTCTTATGAAACGCGCAGCAGTCCCTGTACACGTTCCTGTGTACGCGACTGCATATTAGAAGCCTTTTTGGGTAGTTTATTTTCCTCACGTCCTCGAGTCGTTAGACATATTATTGCACAGTGTAATATATCCTCGGATGTTGACAATATCGTCTTTTCATCGCAGCCAGCGTCTGGCGCGTGGTGCAAATGTGAAGAAGACGTGGTTGCCTCGACAACGGAAAAGGAGGCGGGGTAGGGGGACAACCCTACCCCTCGCACATCCACCGCAAACTGGCTCGCAACAAGAGCTATTTGACTATTTAATGCATATACACTGTACTGCCTCTAAGAGTCATGCATGAGGTTGACGTCGTTTGCCTTCTGGGCAATATGGCGGAGACGCGTACAGACATCTTGTGATGTCGACTCCTGCCTGCCATTCTCATACGCGTCATGTGAGTCTCACCACCGACCGGAGCGCCAGCGATCGCATTGCTCGACCATACTGACGTGTCCAAGCAGCATGCTCTCACCGCACTAGCCATGACAACCCGAGTAGCACTCGACGCTGCGGATCATGGATGAAAGCGACGGGTGTCGTCGCTAAAGACCTCTGCTTCTTGCCTCTGTCTGCGTCTGCACAGCGAGTGTTGATGGGATCGCGCGCGCGTCAGGATGGCGGTTCGCGCATCGTCAAACGCAGTAGCACAGTCCTGGGACGTCGACAGTCGTAGCTCGACAGTTGCAAGTCGCGAGCCAAGATGCACAGAATACAACCACCAGCCATCGTGGCTCGAGTCGAGCGCTAGAGGTACTACAGCAGTAGCAATGGAATAGAGGTCCATTATCGGCTTGACTGCCGCTGTGATGGTCCCATGCAAGATACGAGCTGCTGAGCATCTTCTTCTCTCGGTCTTGAATGGGTCAGCTGCTTTTCGGGCAGCGACAGCAAGGTCCGCCTCTCGCCTTAACGACTCGGCCCCGTGCGCGGCCTGCGCGAGACGGACGTCGTCGTCATTGTTTGCGTGGACTCTTCAAGGGATATGTCGCAAATGGGAAATAATGAGCTTCGAATTAGTTAGTGTTTTGAGAGATGATCCTACGCAGATGGAGACACGTGTCTAGAGCCAGTCGCCATCACTCTTGTCGTCGTCCGAGTCGGACGAGAGCCATGACGAGTTGTTGTTGCGACCAAGCGGATGGTCGACCGAGTCTTGCGACAGGTACCGCGAGCTCGTGCCACCCGGGCTAAACCCGCCATCTTCGTACGACGCATACGAGTCCATCGAGCTAAAGACCGGCGGCTTGCCCGATGCGATCGACGACCGACCGTCGGCCATGGACCCCCGGTCTCTTCTGAACGCGCGGCCCTCGACGGCCGCCGTGAGCGCTTGGAACCATGTGTCGAAGTCGTCGGCGCAGTCGGCCGTCACACGGAGGATACGACCTTTCTCAAACGTAATGTCCAGCGACTGCGACTTCTCGCGGTTCACGCGCACGCCGCAGACTTGGCCGTTGCCCTTCGCAGACCCGGCCATCTTGTCGTTGTCATAGTACGTTAGCGACCGGCCTTGGAGGAAGAAGAAGCGGCGCTTCCAGTTCTTGACGCGGCCGCCTTCTTTCGCGAGCCAGCCCGAGCAGTGCTCATTGTCGTCGTCGGCATATGGCTGGTTGGTGGTGCTGGCGCGGAGGCTGCTGGAGCGCGGCGCCGACGCCGAGTGCGAACTCGCGCGCAAGCTGGCCTGTGACAGCACTTGGCCGAGCATGACCGCCGTGACCGCGTCAAACCAGCCCGTGCACGAATCGGCCGACTCGGTGTAGAGCTTCATGACGCGGCCACCGACGCCATGGATGAGCAGCCCGTGCTGGATGTCCTTGGCGTACTCGATCGTGATGACGGCGAAGCTGCCCTTCGCCTTGGTCGACGCCGTCACGTTCTCCGTGTCAAAGTACGAGAGCTGCTTGTTCTTGAGCACCATGTAGCGCTTCTTCCAGCTCCGGACGAGGCTGCCCTGCTTGAAGACCCAGCCTTGGTAGTCGTAGGCCGCCATGGCGAAGTCTCTTGTGCTAATGGCTGAATCGCCCAACCAGGTGAGGAGGTTGCTCACGATCGGATTGTGACCAATCGGCGTCAAGCAGATTCCTTGTAGCCAATGAAATGCCTTTGTGTATGGGATTTCGAGGAAAACAACCAATCGCAACGCCTGTTCAATTTTTTGCCGGCCATACAAAGAAGCTCTATTGTTGTAGTTCGAACTTCGGTTTTTCTTTTTTGTGCTCTTTTAAATTCTGAAAAGCTCGCTGCAGCGACCAAAGCGGGAGAGGACGTCATCGTCGACACTGGCTCGCGCGTCGCAACACGATTCACGACTGCTCGGGAGTGATTGTGGTCGGATTGTGGTAGCTGCAAGCATTGTCCATGACACATGCACCATCACAAGTGCAGAGTGAGTTGTGTAGATGAGAACAACCCGTGCATCCTGGAGTGTTGCATGCTCGACTTCTTCGCATGCTACAATAAGTCGAGTAGATTGTGAGATGTGTCATCTATTTTCCACGCAACAGTTGATCGTACGAGTCGCCGGGGTCAACGAAAAAGGAGCTATCCTCGTGTGCGTCCGACGGCGCCGACTGTGCGTGGACGTGTTCTTTTAATCCCATGGGCGATTAAAAGAAAAAGAAAAGACCGCCAAAAGCTCCATCTCGAAGTTCGTAGTATTGCGACAATCATTTATTGACGTCGTTGCATGCCGCCTGGGCATCGGTATCACCAGTCCTGGTTGGTGTGAGCCAACACGAGTTAGAGAGCCCTTGCTCTTTGCCCTTTTGGTCCTTGATCGGGTCGTGCGTCGCACGCAGACGCACGACGCGTCAGGCACTGCTAACGAGAAATTCACCAGCACGACTGGCCACCTGCTGTGTTGTCAATGGAAATTGGCTTCGAACTTCGTCGATATTTGTTTCGCGCAGATAGTAGCTTGCGCATTGTATGGTATTTTTTAAGTGGCATCATATCGAAGCGTCAATGGCGAAGTTGCGAAGCCGACCCAGGACGAGGCATACAAACACCAAGTGTATTACAACCACACAACACTATACTATACAAACACCAAGTGATTTTGCCGGCCAGACTGTTCGAATTTCGAAGCCCATCGCTGATTGGCTGCGGCTAGTGTTTTATACAAAATGGCGTGTAGCATACACTTTGCTGTTGGAAACACACACGGTCTGCGATGGCGATCCGGCCACCACGCCTGCTGGACGCTGTCCAAAGCTGTTTATCAATGCAGCAACCAACAACTATTGGAGTTACGGCCTGTGCGCGTTTTCTTCAAGCCTGTCCTTGTTCGACCAGGCGTCAGCTACTCTGTGTCGACTGGCGCAAGGTGATAGGTGGCAACCGTAGGCAGCATGGCGATGGCTCATGGCGATATACACACAACACATGCATGGATTCGCGTTCTCCACTTCCCTCAACTGACACCAACAGAACAAGCTAACAGGCGAGAGAGAAATGGTAGCTCGCCAACTCATGTACGCATGTGCTGTACGCGTGCATTTCACAGTACTCACACAAGCACGGCGACGTGCCAGCTGCGTGTAGGTGCTCATGTGATGTATGTTGGTATCGGCACGCGATGGGAACGACTCCCAACCCGTGCAAGTGTTTAAAACACACTTGAAACGTGTTGAAAACACATTGCCGCAGCTTGCTCCATGCCTTTATCCGGCTGCTTGGTCGATCATTTGCGCAAAGGTTGACCATCGTCATGGCGTCCGTGGCGTGGGAAGGATGGATCTACAAGCAAGGCAGCCTGATGCCGACGTGGAAGAAACGCTACATGGTGCTCAAGGGCCGCCACATTGCCTACTACGACAAGGAGGTGACCAACCCGCGGGCGAAGGAGAAGGGCACGTTCACGCTTGCCGCCGTCGAGCGCACGCCGGCCATGGAACTGGGCTTGACGCTCGCTGGCTACGACGGCAAGATCATGCACATCTACACCAAGACGGTCGGCGAATTCGTGCTCTGCAACAACGCAATGACCGCGGCGTGCGTCGAGCCCGAGCGCAAGGTCGCGCCGGCGCTGAGTCGCGCCGAGTCGTCGAGCATGAGCTACCGCCACGAGCGCAGCCCGTCGAGCGCCAACCGCGCCGTGACGCACTCGGGCTGGCTCGAGAAAGAAGGCCAGAACGTCAAGAGCTGGAAGAAGCGCTTCTTCGTGCTGTCGGGCACCGACTTGACGTACTACGACCGGATCGGTGGCTCGGAGAAGGGCGGTGGCCGCGTCGTCGACGTGAGCTACTCGTACGACCGCCGCAATAGCCTCACGTTCACCTTGAACAACGACCGCATCCTCAACGTCACGGCCGACTCCGAGAGCGAAATGCAGACGTGGTACAATGCAGCGTGCAACGTGCTCGGAAAGGCGGTGTCGAGCGGTCAGCCCATCTTCAAGTTCCAGAGCCCGCAGCTGTCGACCGGCTATGGCCGCACCTCGTCGTCGTCGTCGTATGATAACAACAACAACAGCAGCCACAACCTTCGCGCCGGCTCGCAAGGCTCGAGCTACTCGGGCCAAGGCTACATGTTTCGAGAAGCGTCATCGTCGTCGGCCGACAGCAACCAGTACGACCCAGAGAACTACCCGTCACCGCCGGCCACTTACAACCCCGACACGGCGGCCGAGCTGTGGCAAAAGCCGGCGGCAAAGCCAGTGTCCCCCGTCAAGCCGCCGACGTACCCGCCCAAGCCCGTGTCACCCGCCAAGCCACCGACGCACAACCAAGCCTACCCACCCAAGCCAACCCCGACGCACAACCAAGCCTACCCGCCCAAACCCGTGTCGCCGGCATATATCCCGCGCCCTATCGCAGAGCCCGAGGTCGTCGAGCCCGTTGTTGAAGTGAACCGGTCGTACAACCCCAGCGCTGTCGCGGACGTCTGGAACGTCACGGACCCCAAGCAAGTGGATTCGTGGGTCGAGCAAGGCAAGGCGTCGGCGCCACCGGTGGCAGTACCCGCACCGAGTGCCAACCTGCAGTCGTTTTTGGACAAGTACATGCCCGCCGACGACGCGCCGCCGCCCGTGATCACACCGACAGTGACCAAGTCCATCGACGTGGCCAAGCCTGCGGTCGAGCTACCGTCACCGGTGGCCATCGAGTCTCCGGTGGCCTCGCTTTCGACCCAGCCGATCGTGCCACCGGTCGTCTCGGCGCCTGTGATCCACCCTGTGATCCACCCTGTGATCCAACCTGTAATTCAGCCGGTCGTTCAGCCCGTCGTTCAGCCCATGGTCCAGCCTGTGATTCAGCCCGCGGTCCAGCCGGTTGTCGAAGTCACCCGCACGGTGGTCCAGCACGTGACGGTGAACCAACCGGTGGTGCAGAACGTGACGATGGTGCAGCATGTATCGGCGCCGATTACCGTCAACGTTGTGTCGCCGGTAGCATCGTCGACCGTTGCAGCCGAGTCGTCGTCGTCGGACGAGGACTATGAGCGCATCGACCGTGTCTCGCCGAGCTCCACCGACAGCTACGAGTCGCCCGCTGACGACGAGGACACGACGGGTCATGATGTCACGCCGCTTGTCCACGTCGTGCCCAAGTCCGAGTACACACCCGAGGTGCACAAGCCCAAGCCGAGCCCGCTGTACGTGGATACAGCGCCAGAGCAGCCGCTCTGGGCGCCGGCGATTCCGCAGCCGTCACCGCACGACCCCGAGACGTCGTTGGACGACATGCGCGACGACGCCAGTGACAAGAGCGACGAGGAATTGGACGCCATCTCCCACGTGACGCCGCTCGTCGAGGTCCTTCCCAAGAGTGAGTTCACGCCCGAGGTTCATGCTCATGTCGACCGCCCGCAAGTGGTGACCAAGGTCGAGCCTGTGTGGACGCCGTCGTTCCCGGTGCCGCAGGAGGAGGTCGAGTCGGATCACGACGACGGCGTCGAGTACAAGGCCGCAGCCGTCGAGGTCGAGGTCGCGCCTCGCGTCAAGCCGCTCGTGGCGGTCCTTCCCAAGAGCGAGCATGCACCGGCGGTCCACGCCCCCGTCGACCGCCCGCAAGTGGTGACCAAGGTCGAGCCGCGCTGGACACCGACCATGCCCGCGCCGACACCGGTGGTCACCGTCGCGCTCAACAGTGTCGAGGTTGTGAACACCGACGATCATGATGCCGTCGTCTCGGAGCACGTCGAAGGTCGGTGCGGCATCGACTGCGAGCACCGTGTCAAGGCGATGCCCAAGAGTGAATGCACGCCCGAGGTCCATGCTCCGACGGGTAACACCCACATTTTGCCACCACCCAGGGCCAACTACCGCCACAACGAGAGCGATTTGGACGACGGGCCGGCGCTCGCACCACTGCAGCTCGTGCCCGGTGAGCCCTCGAAACTCAAGCACGAACGCAAGACCAAGTCGGATGACGCCGCGCCCAAGAGCTGCTGCAGTGTCATGTAGTCATCATCGCAAGCCTCTATATAATCAAACAACAAGAACGTCTAAGCATCCAACTCATTCGTGATGTATTAGCCGCCACGTCTGCTAGAAGAACAGCCACGAACGCTGCCGAGATCAGCGTCCGACCAGCTTCAACGTCGCACCACGTGCCGCACGTGCCTGGCGGGTCGCTCGGCGCGCCAAGTCCCCCTCCTCGGAAGTCCTTGCGTCTGAGCCGATCTTGGTGGGCGCCTGGCTAAATGCACCGTCCTTTAGCTCGGCCAGTCGGCCGCCGGAGAAGGCTACTGGCGCTTGCGACGGTATCGTCTGCATGGCCACGGCTCTATCTGTGCTACTCAGCTCGGTGCACCCCATTTGTCACGGATAAAGGCGCGCAATAGGGTCCTTCGACCGCCACCGCCGGGCTGGAGCCGGCTAAGGTGGCGTGCGTTTATCCGATCTTGCGGTCGGTGGCGTATCCGGACGTCCGGAAACGGTTTACGGTGGTTTGACATCCACCACTCTTTTACTGGGCCGGAATCGTCCGCAGCATGCTGTCCCGTCGCGCGATGAACGGGCTCGTTCGCCTTGGCCGCCCGCAGGCGATGAAGATGATGATGTCGACCAAGGGCCAGAACATCGAGGTCCAGCGCATGAAGCTGCGCGAGGCGCCGTTTGAGGACGTGCTCTACGGCAACGACGTGGGCATCCGCAGCGTGACGTTCAACCGCCCGAGCGTGCTCAACGCGCTGAACCTGCCGATGATCCGCAGCCTCGCGCCCAAGATCAACAAGTTTGAGCGCAACCCGACCGTGAACGCCATCATCTTTGAAGGCGCCGGCGAGAAGGCGTTCTGCGCCGGCGGCGACATTCGCTTCCTCTACGAGAACGGCAAGGACCCGGCGACGCGCCACTTGGCGCTCGACTTTTTCCGCGAAGAGTACCGCCTCAACTACACGCTCGCGACCATGTCGACGCCGGTCATCTCGATCATCAACGGCATCACCATGGGCGGCGGCGTCGGCCTCTCGATGCACGGCAAGTTTGTCGTCGCGACCGAGAAGACGACGTTTGCGATGCCCGAGACGGCCATTGGCTTCTTCCCGGACGTCGGCGGCTCGTACATTCTGCCGCGCATTGGCCGCAAGATTGCGCAGCAGGAAAAGTACCAGCCGCTCGTGTCGGCGTCCGACTCGCTCGAGGGCCAGGGCCTCGGTACGTTCCTTGCGCTGACCGGCGAGCGCCTCAAGGGCGCCGAGGTCTTTGGCGTCGCGCTCGCGACCCACTTTGTCGAGTCCAAGGAGCTCGTGGACCTCCGCAACCACCTCGTCGAGTTTGACTTTGATCCGGAAGTGCGCCAGTCGATGCGCGACGAGATCATTGACGAGTCGATCGGCGACCTCGAGACCGAGGTCGAAGAGACGAACGAAGAGTTCCTCTCGACGGTCGAGGCGGTCTTTGGCGCCACTAACAAGGACGACACCGTCGAGGGCATTCTCTCGCGTCTCTCGGCCCTCGATACCGAGTGGTCGCGTAAGATCCACGCCAAGCTCGCCAAGGTGTCGCCGTTGAGCCTCAAGGTGACGCACCGCCAGATGCGTGAGGGCGCGACCAAGAGCGCGGCCGAGTGCTTCCAGATGGAGTTCCGCATGGCCACGCGCATGATGGAGAACCCGGACTTCTTTGAAGGTGTCCGGTCCGTCATCATCGACAAGGACAACGCGCCCAAGTGGCTCCATGCGTCGGTTGCCGACGTGTCGGTCGACGAAGTAGATAGATTTTTCGCGCCGCTCGCCGACGAGGACGAGCTCGTGCTGTACGAAGCGTCGCCGGTGGACGCCGAGTAAAGAAGCTCTGAAAAAGTAGTTGCTCCTCCGATTTTTTGGTATTTCTGGTATTTCGCGTCGCTTAGTTCTGCAGCAGCGACAGCACGGCTTGCACTTTGGCCAAGACGAGGTCGCAGTCGGGCTCGAGCACGTGGATGCCATCCGTCGACGCAATCACAATCTCGTCGACGCCGTCGCCATTCATGTCTTGGACCACAATCGAGTAGACGGGGCCAAAGAGAAAAAGTCCCACTTGGTCCGCGGTTCGAGGCGCCAGCTGCGCCCGCCGTCACGCGACGTCGTCGACTTGTACGCGACGAGCGCATTGCTAAACGACCCGAGGAGAAGCTCCATGTCGCCATCCTACGCACGCATGAGCGAGCGTCTTGCGATGTTTTGGGACGGTCCTACAAAGTCCACGTCGGCCGAGGCGCAGCAGAGAATGCTGTCGTAGTAGTCCGAGTCGGGCAAGAGCGACGGAGACGCCGACGCGTCAAACGGATTGGCGTAGACGACAGCATAACCGATGCTCCCGCTCACGAGCGCCATGCACGTGACGCCGCTAGTCGGGCGCATGACACATGCACGTGGTGACGATGACAAGGGCGTACGTGCTGTCGTCTGTGCGTCGCGGGCTGCAGACATTAATGTCCGAGACGGGGCCATCAATCTCAAACGTTGTCGCGACAAAGTCTGTGCCGATGCTGTCGAGGCAGGCGGGTCCTTGCATGAAATGCACAACCCTAACCCCGAGGCGTCAGCGGTCGATAGGAGACGGGAGACTTGCCCGTTGCCGCAGCCGAGCGCGATAATGCGCGTGTCGTCGAGTCGCACCGAGTGATATGCAGTCACGGCGTGGCCAAAGCCCACGAGGTGTGGAAAGAAGGTGGCGAAGTCATCGGCGTCGAGCTCGATCGCTGCATTGGCGCCCGACGTGTAGCCGACCGCGACGATCGCGTCGTGCCGGAAGAGCAGCGCGCCGTGGAAGCTGGCGTTCCCGACCTCGACGGCCATGGGCACCGTCTTGAGTGGCACGTCTGTTTGCTCCAAGCGTTGGCGTGTCTTAGACGAGGCTGTCTTGCCGACCGGCTGCAAGACGACGCAGCACTTGCCGTGCAGCTCTTGGTACACGAGCAGCAGCACGCGCTCGGTGGCTGACAGGTGAAGAATGTCGGAATATAAGAACGAGGCGTCCGGTGGCGTGCCGGCCATGAGCATGGCCCGATCCACGTCGTCCATGGCGGCGGCGTCCCCGAGGGGCGACAATTGGAAGGTCTGCGTCTCGTGCTGGAAGCGCAAGTCGCAGATCGCCCATGGCGTCGTTACGAGTAGACTACGCAGAGGATAATAGCATCTTGCATGGAATCTATGGATGGACGCAGCGTCGTACCGATCGGCGGCAATGGGCTGCAGCGAGAAGGCGCCGACGTCGCGATCTTGCAGCGACGTGGTCTCGATCGGCTCAATGTCGCCGGACGACGGGCGGCGCAGGCTTGAGCGTTTGGGCGTCGACGTCTTGGGTGGCTCGGCCACCGGCGCCGACGGCAGCAGCGCGGGCGCCGGGTACCGGAAGAGCCACGATTGCCCGTACCCCATCGCGTCAGTAAGCAGCACGTCAATTCCAGAGATTCCACCAATCCCTGCCGTTGTATCTTGCCATTTCAACCAATCCAAGAGCGGCCTACCTGTTTCGGCACATGCCACAAATAAATAGCACCCTATCTCGAGCTGGTTACACGACAATTCTAGACAAGGTCGTGCTTGGACGCCCCACTCACTTGACAACTCACTGTTTGCGTCTAGAGACCTGCATGGGCACAACACGTCACCACCGTCGACAGTGCGTTTGACGGACGCCATGGTCATCATGCCGAAAATAAGACCATTTGAAACGAGCCAATCACAAGCATGAACAATCGCATCCGCGCGCTGTGATTGGCTGCGCCTTTATCACCAGTCCATTGCCGGATCGCAACATGGCCGACGAGTGGACCTTCGTCGGGCGCAAGCAGAAGAAGAGCTTCAAGCCCAAGACGCCAGCAGCGCCCAAGGCGCCAGCGGGCCCGGCCTTTGTCTACACGGAGAAGACGGTCGCCAAGGCGTCCAAGGTGACCGGTGTCGACAAGGCCATCGACCGCGCGCGCACGATTCGCGACGCCATGCGGACGTCGAGCTTCTTTGCGCGCATCTGCAATGTCCTTGTGGCGCATCTGCCGCTTGAGACGCCGCTGCAGCTCGTGGCCTACGGTGTCGGGTCGTTTGCACATGGCCCGAGCGGCAACGCCATCTACCAGCTCGCGTGCGCGTCGCTCCTGCGCGAGTTCCTCGCCACCCACGAGGCGCTCGCCGAAGCTTTTATCTACGACCCGATCATGACCGAGGTAGAAAATCTGCTCTTATTCAGATAGCAGGATGATGATATGGTGCGTAGGATGACAATGAGGTGGCGGCCGCCATGGACCTCGCCGTGCTCGAAACCAACGAGCAAGGCCAGCGCACGGCGCAGACGCGGACGCTCTTCTTCATGCCGCACTGCGGCAAGCAGCTGTACCAAAACGTCTTGCTGAGCAACTGGCGGTCGCTCGAGAAGGTGTACGTCCTTGGCAACAGCTTTGCGGCGTACGACGACCGCCTCCTCGTCAAGGCGGAGCGGGCAAAGTCCATCTTTAGCGCGCTCGTCCCGTATACGACCGAGGTGGCGCTCGGGCCATGTGACAAGAAGACGGTGCGCGACCATGTTGAATACGATGCTGCGTTCAACGATACGAGGTACTATGCTCGACGACCCGACGACTTGTGTTGAGAACAATGTACTAGTTTGCACGTCTTCTCCGATGCGCAGCTCCGCGCGGCGACGGACGATGGCCTCTTTACAAGGGACGTCGACGCATTTGACGTGGGCACTGACGAAGACCTTATGTAATTTTGCGTGTGTTCCAGGACTCGACGTGGTCTCGCATAACCAAGTAGATAGAATAGCTTGACAGGTGCTGCCTCAAGAACGCAGCGTGAAGGACCAAACCTCCCCCATGTGGTGGCGTATTGGATCACTCATTCGACGACTGAACCACATAGCTACATGTAGCGCACGCAGCTCGTACGAGGCCGCACAGGACAATGGTATGCTACGCTGAAGAGCACGCCCTCTGGGACAAGCGACCACCTTGTCTATCGCAAAGGGACTTGGCGAAATATGTGCCCATTGAACGGCGCCTTCGTTTCGTGCAGGTGGGAGGTCGGCGGTGCAGAGGAGGGCGTCGCGTGATGATGATACGCTTTTGAACCGACACAATGTTTGGTCCCGCGCTTGCAGTGCAGCCTTTCAGCTAACTCTTTTGCGTCCTTGCAGTCGCCACCGTGGTCGACTACACAGCGGACGGAGACCGTATGCTATCCAATCGACTGTACCGATAGCAAATTTGTTGAAACAACAAACGAGCACAAGAGACACGACGTCTACGGTTAGCCGTAATCTCTGCGCGTCTTCGCACCACGTGTCGCAGCTGCGGTGGCGCCAATGAACTAGACGAACATGTCTTGTCGTCCACGCACCACGACACCACTATAGTGGTCTACCTGTCGTCCACACCTGTGTTCTCTCCATACCCAGGCGTCCATGTCCAGACAGCACAGTCCTTGCTCATCGAAGCGTTGGGGCACATTGCAACGAGCACCACACTTGCCACGAGATATGGAGAGGATCCCACAGTCTCCTAGGTGAAGCGACATCCACGCCATCCGTTGCTTCTGTTGCTTGCGAGCGGATTTTTCATGTGCAGCAATTCCACCGACCGCCGCCCGACATTGCACTTGTTTCATTTCCCCACTTGCTACCAAGTACTCATGCACCTTCGGTTCTTGACACTCGCGGCCGCCACGTCGTCGGCGGCGGCATGGAACATGGCGCCCGTGCGCTCGATCCAAGCACGCATCCAAGGCGACACCCCGGTCTACGATGCTGCGCACGACGCGTTCGTCTCGTCGTACTACAAGAACTTCGAGGACCAGTACAACGGCGTGATGGACACGGTCAACCTCGCGAGCGTCGAAGGCGCGCTCAAGTACGTCCAGTCCGAGTGCATTGCGAGCCCGACGCCCGACTGCAAGCGCAAGAACAACGTCAAGAACGTCGTCTTTTACGACATGACGATCGTCCAGCCGAACGCGTCGCTCGCGCAGTTCCAGCAGAACGAAGCCGTGTACCCCGAGTATGGCCCGTACCTCGCCATGGACAGCGGCGCGTGCACCGCCTCGGGCGCCACATTGCCCACCGAGTGCCTCCAGTACAACGGCCTCAACGGCACGGCCAACCTCGGTCCGTTCGTCGGCGGTGTCACCTCGACGGCCGACGCCCGCGCCTTGTACCCCAATACGATCTGGTTTTCGTACCCCAACAGCTGCGTGCAAACGCCGTGGAGTGGCAAGACGCCAGCGTGCCGCCAGCAGTTTGCCGGTGGCCTCTGCCCGTTCGGTGTCAAGCCCGACGGCGTCAAGTGCACGTTTTCGTACACGATCCTTGGTTGGGTCGCGCTCGATGACGTCGTGGGCATCACGAGCATGACCAACCCGACCACGAAGGCGCCGTTCGCCAACTACAGCGAGTTCTGCAACGCCAAGCTCACAGAATTTAGCGCGTCACTGCTGCCCAACAACTCGTGGGGCGAAGTCACGTCCAACTTGACGTTTTGGAAGAGCCCGAACGACCCGGCCGCCAACCAAGCCCGTGCTCAAGTCGTGGTCGAGACGTACAGCAAGAAGCTCTCGGGCAACATGGTTGCGATCCCGACGATCGAGGCGCTCACGGCCGCCAACCCGCCGTGCTACAAGAACTACAAGGCGTGCTACGACGCGCCCTTTGGCTGCCGCCGCGTCTTGTACGCGCAGGTGTGCGAAGTGTGCACATCGGCAGCTCCTGACTGCGTCGTCAAGGACCCGAGCTACACGTTCCCGGCGCTGACACTGGCGACAATGCCGCCGACGATGGCACCGACGACCGTGCCGGCGACCAAGGCACCGGGTGCGCCGGCGACGTCGGGCAGTTCCCAGGGCGGGAGTACGCCGGCGCCCAAGGCCTCGGATGCGTCGTCGCATGTTGTTACTGGTACCGTTGCGATTATGGCGCTCGCGACAATGTGGTAAATGGTGGGCTGTTGACCCGAGCGTCTGTCCAAGTGACTATAATTCAGCGATTTTTTTTCTTTTTTGGTTGATGACGTGGCAGCGCGGCTTGCATGCAGCGTTGCCAAGATCAAGCACAGAGTCATGTGGTTTTTGGAAGGATGCTCGCAGACTACCAACTTACTCGAGCGTCCAGACCAGCAACTAAGCTAGACGAGGACGGACATGGCGCTGCGGGAATCGTCAGAAGCGTATCGTTGTGTGTCGGCGCACCGATGCCGCATTTGGCTGGCCACATGACGTGGCAGCGTCACAGGCTTCGGTTGACTGCTGAGCCACCAAAAAGCATACTTTGATTCCCTGGAGCATTGCTGCGGCACACGAGCAGCACCGGAGCTTTCGAGAGGTCGCGAGGCGTACAAGAGACGGCACTTGCATGACGCGACTCCTACCAGAACGGCGCCGACTCGCCCGCGACTCTGGCTTTGCGGCGCTCGCCCTCGGGGACACGCGATGGACACCCACTGACATGTAGACTGACACGAACGCAATGCGAGCTTGGTACGGTGGTCATGCGTGCGACACCCTGACAATTGTGATGCAGCTGCGGCGAGGCGCCTGAAACGAGCCCGACGAAACCGAGCGAGTACCGGTGTATAAGGCGCATCGACCGAGATAGCATCCTTCGCCTTCAATATTATAAACGCCCTTAAGCTGAAGGGCACTCTCCGTGCTATGCAGGTAGCTCGAGCTACCCGACGCTGGCCCTGGCGTTGGCCACGTGCGTCAGCGCGAAGCAAGGATACAGTACAGAGACAACCCGTCACAGGCGGGGTGTATCTCGCTACTGTCAAGCCCCATACCAAGCCATGCCAAGCCATGTCAAGCCATCATGACAAGCCATGTACGACAGACAACAAGTCCGCAGGGCCAGGCCGACGACACTCTGTGTGGCTGCTATCTCCCGCGCCTGCGACCCGCGACATGCAAGCCCACTCTCCTCAGTAGCGACTTGAAGTTGGGTGCGTGGGGAGGGGGGACATGGAGGCGCACTCCATATATATTCCCTTTTTATACAATCATCTAGTAAAATTGCAGCCGCCTATCACCCACATACAAATATCCAGTAGATAGGTCGAGTGGGCCCTGGGGCGGATGATATTCGATGGGCATACAAACAGCAGGTAATGGCGATCTTTCGCAAGTCCCTCCTGGCCCCGAACGATGGACGGAGGCCATGCGCCCGATAGTCATTCGACAACCTACCATGCGCCTTGCACTCTCGACGGGCTTCCTTGCGGCCGCACTGCCGGCGATCCTGGCCTGGAACATGGCGCCCGTGCGCTCGATCCAGGCCCGCGCCCAGGGCGACACGCCGGTGTGGGATGCGACCAACAAGGCGTACGTCTCAGCGTACGGCAAGACGTTCGAGGACCAGTTCGCGGCCGTCATGGACTCGGTCAACCTCGCGAGCGTTGAAGGCGTCCTCAAGTACGTCCAGTCCGAGTGCATCAACGCGCCCAACCTCCAGCTCTGCCAGCGCAAGAACCAGGTCAAGAACATCGTCTTCTATGACATCACCATGGTGCAGCCGAACGCGTCGCTCGCGCAGTTTGCCACCAACACGGACGTGTACCCCGAGTATGGCCCGTTCGTGGCCATGGACAGCGGTGCGTGCACGCCCGCGGGCACGAGCCTCCCGCTGCCGTGCCTCCAGTACAATGGCCTCAACGGCACGGTCAACCTCGGCCCGTTCGTCGGCGGCGTGCCCCAGAGCCTCGACGGTCGCGCCTTGTACCCTGGTACGATCTGGTTTTCGTACCCCAACAGCTGCGTGCAGTCCAAGTGGAGCGGCAAGTCGCCGGCGTGCCGCGAGCTCTTCAAGGGCGGTCTCTGCCCGTTCGGTGTCAAGCCCGACGGCGTCACGTGCACGTTCTCGTATTCGATCCTGGGGTACCTCGCGCTCGATGACCTCGTGGGCATCACGAGCATGACCAACCCAGCGACGAGCGCACCGTTCGCCAACTACAGCCAGTTCTGCAACGCCAAGCTCACGGAGTTCAGCGCGACGCTGCTGCCCAACAACTCGTGGGCCGACGTCACGTCCGACTTGACGTTCTGGAACAACCCGAACGACCCGGCGGCCAACCAAGCCCGTGCGGCCGCGGTCGTCTCGACGTACGCCAAGAAGATGACGTCGAGCATGGGCGCGATCCCGACGATCGAGGCGCTCACGGCCGCCAACCCGCCGTGCTACAAGAACTCCAAGATCTGCTACGACGCGCCGTTTGGCTGCCGCCGCACCTTGTACGCGCAGGTGTGCGAAGTGTGCACGGAAGCGTCGCCCGACTGCGTCGTCAAGGACTCGAGCTACACGTTCCCGGCGCTGACGTTGCCGACGCTGCCTCCGTCGACGACGACGACGACGGCGCCCGTGTCGGGCAGCTCGTCCGGTGCGCACAGCGTGTCCCAGCAGACGGCCTCGGATGCGTCGAGCTTGCAGAGCGTCGGCGCGGTTGCTGTCGCCACCGCGGTCTTGACCTACCTTTTTAAATGCTTCAATCACATGTACATGAGCGCCATTCCTGGATGGACACACTGGCACGTGGTATTAGGTGCCCGAGCTAGCAGCCCCTTGTTGAAGTGCATCGGCTAAAGTCAACTGTTTTTCATGTCAATCCATGGGTCCTCTCTGGTCGCTTGTCCGAGTTGACACTGGCCGCATCATAGTTTCGGTAAATTTTTTAGGAGGACATTCTCTACATAAGACAACGTTGAATTCAACGCAAGCGCTGTTTTGCGATTCCTACATCAATTGCGCGTCCTCGGGCATTAATAAGTTGTCCATGCAGAAGGCCTTTATCGCCTCCTTGGTGACAGATCCCGCTTTCTTGGTGCCATATGCGGCAAACCACGCGTGCGCGTCGAACTCGCTGGCGTTATCAGGATACGACAGTGGTGAGCATGCACTGCTTGGCCTTGTGCTTCGCGAGGACACCTGCGTGGTGCTCGTCGTAAGTCTCGAAAATGCGTCGACGAGCCATCAATCGCGAGCGCCATATCTTGCGTCTGCAATAACTCCATCTCGCCATCGGTCCTCGTGTGGCTCGGGCGTCGGGTCCATCACGAAGACAATATTGACCAATGAAACCTTGTCTTTCCCTTTCAAGATGTCTCGACACACAACCATCCGGGGACACCACATTTCTGTGCTTGAAACAAGCGTTGCTATACGCGGGTGCGAATTCAATCGTGAGGGACTTGGCGAGATCCACAAGGGACCATGAGCATGTACGTGCTGCACCGTGTCATGGACACGACACAACATCATGGCCACAGAGACGTGGCTTTTCTCGCATTGTTCAGAGCGCAGTCTTGCCGTACGACGACTGATTGCCCAGAAGCCGGTGACTCTTGCTTGATGCAATGCACGAAGGGCCAACCTTGTTTTCAAGGTTTCTCGTGCATGGCTCTGTCGCGGACAAGCTCAGCTTTCACAATCCACCGCGCGACGTCAGCGCGACTGAATTATTACACCCTTTGCCGCTCAAGAAACCTTCTCAACATCTCTCCTAAAGCCCTTGAGCGAATGACCTGTGCGGCATCTCTACTGTAGTTTGCTTGCAAGCTTCGCCGATTTTTGGTTTTCCTAGTGCAATTTGAAAACGAAGTTCGTAGTCGAAGTTACGATGGCAGTTTATTCACCCTTATTTGCATTGCGCCACGAAATGGAAAGCACGCCACGACAACTTCGGTGCGTGCCCGACGGCCTCCTCCAGCCCGGCCTCTTCGAGGCGATGGCGTCCTGCATCCAGCGGCCGGCAGACTTTGAGAACTTCCTCGATGCGCTTCCGTCGTCGCTCTGGTCGCCGGCGATGGCGGCGTGGCGAGAGCTGCAAGCCAGCCGGCACATGCATCTTCGATGGCCCTCGATCACGCTGAGCAGCGTGGATGAGTATTCGCCCGACGAGCTGCGCGCGCTGAGCCACGTCGTGTCGCTCCAGCCCTCCGTGTGCTTTGAGGATGCAGTCTCTGACGTGAGCGAGCTGGCTGCGATCGTGCCCTGCGTTGGCCCTGGGCTTCGAGTCCTCGCGCTCCGCGTCGACGTGCGCAGCCTGCATCCTGGTGATGGACGAGTGCTTGCCGACCTCGTACGCCAATGCTCGGCACTTCAAGTATTGGCCCTGCAAATGGACAGACAAGTGACGGGCGACGAGCCCGAACTGGACGGGCTCCTCCATGCCATGGTCCATCCGACAGTGCATGAGCTCAACGTGAGCCTTGGCTACTCGCCGTCGCCCGCGTCCCTAGGTCATCTCGTGGCGCAGTGGCTGCAGCTAGGACGCGCTAAAACGCTCCAGCTATCTTCTGTCGCAACCATGTCTACGCAAGTCACGGACGCGCTCTGCGATGCTCTACAAGCCAGTACGACGCTGCAAGCACTCGAGCTTGAAGCAGTGGAGGGCCTCAACGGCTTTCATGGCCGCCGGCTACCCTCAAGCCTTCGTCAATTGCTTTGGGACGACGAGCGCTTCCGCGAAGACGCGCCCGAGGATGAGGATGCGCCGAGCGATGCAGAACTCGACCACCTCGCCCATGCGCTCCAGCACACTCGCGTCGAAAGCCTGAGCTACCAGTTTCTTGGTGAGCTCGCGTCGCGGCCATCCGCATGTCTCATGCTCTCGCAACTGACGACGCTGCAGCTCTCGGTCGAAGGAATGGACACCGATCGGTGGTCGGCGCTGCTGGCAGGTCTGGCCCGCATGGGCTCGTTACGACATCTCTTGCTCACCAACAACTACTTGGGCGCGCGACGTCTCCGAGGGCTTCTTACAGCGTTGACGCAGTGCCCGCGCCTCGAATCGTTGAACATTTGCCACAACCTCTTGGACGGCGCGTCCATCACAGCGCTTTTGGCCGCGGTGCCGCAACTCCCGTCGCTGCGCGAGCTCGATGCCTCGCACGGCGCCGGTGCGTGGTCGCTGGCCCACATGGACAATTTTATGGTGCACCTCGTGGCTGCTGGTCGCCAGCTGCGCTCGCTCGCGATTTCGCCAGCCCGTGAGAGTGAGATTGATAGACGCAACAAGCAACACGTGTTGTCTGCACTGGAGCGGTCTAAAGACCAGCCATTCTACATCCGAAAAGCCAATGCGCCGCCTGCGTTCGAGCTCTTGCGTCCCGAAGACAAGGCAACGCGCTGCCACTTGAAGTTGTGAGTATTGCCTATTGTCTTCCACTAAAATATATGCTTGTGTATACGACATATTGTACAATGGGTCGTGTATGCCTTGTCCCTGCCATTGGCGGTCGTTCTGCTCCATGATGACGTGCTGGCTTGCCACGTCATACCTCTGAAACTCGATATTTCGCACAACCGAAACCTCGTTTGTTCCGATGGCCGGCGTAGCGACCATCGCCCATGCGGTCTTGGCGCCCGAGATCACCGAGACGATCGCGCTGCTGCTGCCATGGCCTGGCGCCATTGCCGCGTTCATGGGCGCGCTGCCGGCGTGGGCCAAGACCCCGGCGCTCGCCGCTCTCTCGCGACTGTACTCGATTCCGACAGTAGCCTCGGTGGCATGGCCTTCGATCACCGTGCTCCGCCCACATTTTTCGAGCGCGACGTCTGAGGATCTCGCCGCTGTCACCGCGCTGTGCCCACGCATCCACGTCAGCTATGCCATCGGTGCGCACGACGACTTGGCGGTCGCCGCCGGGGCCGCCTCCTGCATCACCTCGCTGCGATTCGACATTCAGGACGCTCTAAACGAGGCAACGTGGGCCTTCTTCTGCTCGACCATCAGCTCGTGCACGCGCCTCGAGAGCCTCGACTATACAGATCGGACAGGCGGTCACGACGCGCTCGGCGGTGTCTTCATGGACCTTCCGCGCCTCACGTCGCTCTCACTCGGCAGTCGCATGGATAGCGGCGAGGTCCACCTGACGACCGGCTTTTGCGAGCGCTTCGTTACGTGGCTGCAGACGACGTCCGTGGTTACCTTGAAGCTCAGCCATGTCACGCTGGATGTGGAGCCTGCATCGGCACTCTGCGGCGCTCTCTGTGACGCGATCGCAACCAGCGCCACGCTCACGTCATTGGCCCTCAACAACGTCAACTTGTTTGAAGGCGCCTTCTTGCACGGACGAGCGCTGCCGATGAGCTTGACGTCGCTCGAGTGGGACAAGGACGACATGTACGACGACAACGGCACGGACGAAGGCTTGGATAACTTTGTGGCTGCGCTCATCGACGGCCCGCATCTGAGGCATCTCGGCTGCAAGCGATTCGAGGAGCTCTGGGAAAACGACGAGGTTGTCGAGAAGCTCCGACACCTCACGTCACTTGAAGTCCAAGAAGTTGACTTGGAGGTGCTAGAGCTTTTGACGCACATGCCGGACCTGGAAAAGCTCGACGTCAAGGGCTCGATATTAGAGTACGAGGTCGTGCACGAGCTCGTGAGCGTGCTGTGCGGCTGTCAAAACCTCCGGGCGCTCACGATGAAGCACAACAACCTTGGTCCGACCGACCTCGAGCTTTTACTGCAGCACGTACCACAGATGCCTCGCCTGCAGCACCTCGACGTCTCGGAGCACCAACTCACGATGGACGACATCCTCGGAATGCTAGCAGCGCTCAACACGGCGGCGACGCGTCTTGAGACCATCCGACTGCATGGCTTCTGGGGGCCCCTCGAGATTGAGGCGTTCGCGAACGCTGTCGCCCACCTACCACAGCGCCAAATGGCGCTCGTTCCGCGGCTGCCCGACCCATGGAATGCCGAGATCAAGGCATTTTGCACGCGATCAATCCACGAATACAACCTCGCACCAGAAGCCGGCTCGTCTCAGTGCATAATATACTTCTAGCTGTCTTGCTTTTAACGTCATGTAGCGTCTTCTTGCACGCAGCAACTTGGCACCTGAGTCGGACTAGTACGCGTTTGGGTGCATGGCTTCGTCTCTAAAATGAAGTCTTGTGCAAGACATCTTCTAGCACGTCTCGACCAGAATAGCAGTCTGTACGGCAAACCACTGCTTCTGTATTGCTGCATGAACGTAGCACACGAGCTAACGTCTGCCGTGGGTGGTATAGTTTCGTATTTGGTGGTGTCAAACTGGTCTCTCCGTTTGCCACGTCATATTTCTAAAAATAGAATGTCAACTCGATTGCATGCAGTCGTTCTATCGAGCCCTTGGAAAGCGACATGTGGCGAGGGGGATCGTGATTCATTCCGTCGCTTCGCCACGCTCCTTCCCATGCCAGCTAGTACGATATCGCTCGGCGTTGGTCGATGCCACCCGCTGACATATTTTGGGTCAGGCGTTGACGGTTTTTCCCACGCAGGACCACTGGCAAAAACTTCTTTGGTTCAAGATGACGAGGCGGCTGGCCCGTGGCCCTGACGACAGCGTCTTCCCGCCCGAGATCATCGAGATGATTGCGCTAATGATTCCGTGCCCCGCTTCGTTTCGTCGCTTTGTGAGGCTATCCAATCGTGTGCCAAGACAGCCTTGATCGCCTCTGTTCCGAGCCGTCCATCAAAATTACTTAGCCCTGCATTGTCGTGCGCAGTCCAGACCTCTCGAGCGCTGCGGTAAAGGACCTTGGTGCCATTGCGACACTGGCGCCAAAGAGCGTCGTCATCAGCTACGAGATCCGCAAGCGCCAAGACTTTGAGATAGTGGCTGGCATTGCGTCGCGTCTCACGACGTTGCAGATCGGCTTCGTAGCTGATACGACTGACTCGGCGTTCAGCTACGCTCCTTACTCTGGTTCCTGGACGTTCTACCGCACGGCACTTGCGTCTTGTCAGCGTCTCGAGACGCTCGAGCTGACCGACTCTACTGGCGGCATGAGTGCTCTCAACGGTGACTTCCTGGACCTGCCGTGTCTCACGTCGCTCACTTTGGCCATCAGGGGCTCCCGCGAACCTCTTGTGTCGGTCGACGTTTTGACGCGCCTTGCTACGTGGGTGAGCACCAAGCCCGTCAAGCACCTTGCGTTGAAACGCGAAGTGTTTGGATTGAGCCCCGACGAGCCAAGTATTCTCGCACTCTGCGACGCCATTGCCTCCAGCACGTCGCTCACATCGCTTCGACTCCATGGCGTGCCTCCTTTTAATCGCCACTTTCTCTATGGACGACGTCTCCCCGTCCACCTCAAGTCCCTCCAGTGGGACCCCTTTCATGACTACGTGCGGAGCAGTGCGCAAGGCTGGCGCAACTTTGCATCGGCCATTCGCCACGGTCCACAGCTAGACCACCTCTACTGCAAGCATTTTGACAACTTTAAGGGACAAGACGACGCTGTGCTGGCCAAGATCCGAGGCCTCACGTCGTTCCGACATGCAAATTTTGGTGCTGATGGGGATCGAGCAACGTCGTTCCGCCTCCTCACGCTGCTCGGCGGCATGGTCCACTTGAAGCACCTTAGTCTCGTCGCAGTAAGCGTCGACGACGATATCCTACGCCGGGTCCTCTCGATTGTGGGCAGTCTGCGCTCTCTTGAGACGCTTGAGCTCAATGTGGCAGGTGTGGCTCCGGACGAATACCGCCAATTGCTGATGCTCATATTGCTCAGCCCTCAATTGCACGAGGTGAACCTCTCGATGCTTGAGATGCCGACGGACGTTGTGATGGCGACCTTGCCGCTCTTGAATGTTGCGACCGAAGGCCTCTCGACCATGTACTGGGCATGCGTGTTTTGCGACAGCGGGCTGCCAAATTTCATGCAGGCCGTCAAGGAGTTCGCAACCGAAGCTTTGCGTTCATGCCGCATCCGTCGAGATCAGCAAAAGAAATCCGACGCTGTGCCAAACTGATCGCGGAGTACGACCTTGCGCCAAGGGACAGCACGTCCAAGTGCCTCTTCTACATTTGAATTTGATCTACATTCGTACTACAACTTTGTTTTGAAAAGCCTGCGAGCACTATTGGAAGACTTTATCGGTACAAAGCGTGCCAGTCAACAAGAGAAACCTACTACTGTACTAGTACGTACTTTTGTTGCTGGAGCGACTTGAACACAAAATTGGTTGATAATGTAGGGACAGACCATCCATTGGTGGCATCGCAAGCCTTGGTTGTAGGCGACTTGTCGCTGTCTGTCCCGCCGGTCAAGGAAACCATGCTATCGTCGTTGGCCAAACGATGTATCTTGGATCCAATACGTGGCACCACCACGGTACGTATAGTTGGCAATAGAAAGTAAGCCTGTTTTATATTGCTTTCAACTGTTTCGTACGGATATCCCAATCGTAACCGGATGACAGCCACGAAGCGACGATGCATCGGCCGCAGCCACGCGAGGCTGCTTGATGTGCCAGAGCTCATCCAGACGATCGCGGCCTTTGTCGCGTGCCCGATTGCCTTTCTCAAGCTCGTGGCTGCGCTGCCGCTCTCGGCGCTGTCGCCGCCACTGCTTGGTGTTCTGGCGCTGTATGACCATGCTGCGGATTCGTCCGGGGCCATGGCCGTCGACTGGCCGCTCGTGATCGTGCGCGAGCCAGCGTCCGCCGCAACGCTGGCCTGTCTTCGCTCCGTGCGCGAGCTGCTTCCGAGCGTGCGCTTGGGCTACCCGCTCGAGGAGCCACAGGACGTCGTCGACCTGCATGACGTGCTGTGCGATCTCGTGGTCTCGTTGACGCTACACATACGCGCGCCCATGTCCATACCCGATGCCGCCGCATGTAAGCGCGTCATGGAGCGTTGCCGGCGCTTATCGGAGCTCACGGTACTCAACTCGGCGGTGGCCAACGAAGGCGACGCCAACTGGGTCGGCGCCTTGCTGCCTACCACGCCGCTGCGCGCGTTCACTTACCACGGTGACGTGCAGAGTCCGCTCGACGCCTCGTTCGTCCACACGCTGCTCTACTACCTCGACGGCGATCGCGGCTGCACGACGCTCAAGCTCCATCACGTCGACGTCGACGTCGCCGGCGACATGCCGCAGCTTCTGTGCACTGCGATCGTTCGCTGCGCGTCGCTCACGACGCTGAGCCTCAACGGCGTACCGTTCCTGCACGGGCCGTTTCTTCGTCAGCAGCGGCTACCGCCCAACGTGTCCCATTTTGAGTTTGACAAGCATGGCCTTGTCCGCGCGCTTCCAGTTGACACAACGGACCTCGGGGTCCTTGTCGCGTCGGGCCAGCACCTCCAACACGTTGCTTGCGACACACTCTCGGTCGCTGAGCCTGGTGTCGCACACCGCCTTCGGCAGCTCACGTCGTTCGAGTACACGTGCCGCCCGTATAGCGGGTCGCGGCTTTTGCTCCAGCTCTTGCCACACCTCGTGTCGGTCGAAACACTGGCGCTAGGGCTCATCACGGGGCCGTCGTACTTGTCGTCCGATAAGGTTCAGTTCTTGGCGTGTGTCTTGCCCAGCGCGTGCAAGCGTTTGCGCCGCCTCGACTTGTCCAACTGCGAACTCTCGTTCCGCGCGATGGCAGTCGTCCTGGCTGCGCTACCAAAGTGCCGCCGATTGGAGTCGTTGGCCCTTGACGGCTCGGCGCTCGATGTGGCGCATGTGCAAGGTCTCCTGCCCCTCCTAGGACTACGCAAGACGACGCTAACGACGGTGCGACTCAGTACGCTCGGGTGGCCGCTTCACGACCGACTATTGCTCTTACGGGCGCTTGCGGTAGCCGAGCCGGGTGTCGGCGCCGTTGCCTCGTGCTTTTCACGCGCCGACCGCGCCGCGTGTGTCGCCTGCATCCAGGAACTCGGGCTCGCACCGACCGAGGATGCAGACCAGTGTGTCGTGTACATTTGATAAGACTAGCCTGTTGTCGTTTTGGCTGTTGGAGATGAGTGAGCTCGACCCATCGAGCCGCAGTGCTCGTCTGCATCGCTTCCGCATTTGCTTTGTGACGAAGTGATCGAATGACAGTAGCTTCCGTCCATCACGATCGCTCGCTCGCCCTTCAATGGCGTTCGACCGCTGCGATCCTGTCACTGAACTCTCCGCTTGCCACGTCATCTTGTTGATATTTGTATGCGACCTGCATCGCACCGGCTTGTCGGCGCCTCAACGGCGCATGTTCACACGAGGGTTCCAAGCCTCTGTGTGTGACCTCACTTCATCTTGCTCTGCTAGTACGCCAGACAGGAACAACCTGGAACGACTTGCACGATCATATTGTGAACGAACGAATCCGAGATTCCCGCACCTGCGTTCGCCCACGTACTAAAATTATAGGTTTTGATTGGCTGTCACAAGTGCATCTGCATCTCACCCAGCGTCGCCGAGGTAGCACTCGGTGGCCACAAGCCCAAGGCTCGGTGGCGATGCTCAAGTGTTCCGTCTGTACGCTCGCTGCTGCCACATTCTACATAGCGAAGAAGGTGCTGCGAAGGGCAGCTTCTCGCACGCCAGCTTGCCACGACAGACGTTGCAGATCCGTGGAAGGATTCGATCCCACTGTGTCCCTTGCCACGCGTGGCCTCTTGCCGGTACCAACGCTTGGTGCTTGGCCATTGCTGCAGAGCCCATGCAATCATGGCGCATGTCGTTGCCTTGGGATGCGACGTCGGCACCCTCGCTGGGCCCAACGTCGTCGTGGGTGATACACGACGCCAATCACCGCGCTGTCTTCCTCTGCGCTGGCAATCGCCATCTTGAAGTTGGGGTTGGCCAGCTGGCGGCCGTTGCTACCGCCTTTCCTATACTTGGTATTTGTAAAGTGTATACAAACCGCAAGGTCTACGTACCACGGGCAAGCCACCGACGCTTCAGATTGACTTTCCTCGACTCGACCTCTCTACTACCGATACCAACATCAACGCCATCATCATGCAAGTGCCACCGTCTCTCGCGTCGCTCATCCGCGACAAGGACGTTCTCGTGCTGAACGCTGGCAAGACCGCCCTCATGCAGCCGCTGCTTGACCCGGCGCGCAGCATCCGTGTCGTCGATAGCCGCGGGCTCACGTGGCATGCGGTCAAGCCAGCCCAGTTTGTGCGTGGCAACCCGCTCGCGGTTGCACTCGACCAGCCCGTCGACCTCGTGTGGAGCAACATGGACTGGAGCAGCGCAGCCGACGACGACGTCTTGACGTTTCTCGAGTACGTCTCGAAGCTCGCACTCCACGTCGTCCATGCCTACGACCCCAGCATCGACGCGCCTGCGATCGCCTTTCTGAGTAAGCAGCTTGGCATCGCCCCATTGACGCTGCACCCAACTCTCGCAGTCCTCGTGCCCGGAGCGCCCGCACCCGACAGCAACGTCGTGGCCGTCTGGTCGGACCGCAAGATGCCGCTCATTTGGCGCGACTCGGTCTACGCCAACAAGTGCGCGATCATGGCCGAGCTCTACGAGGCCCAGAAGACGTACATCCAAAGCCTCTTGCCGTCGCATAGCTCGTACGTCGAGGTCGGCTGCGGCACGTCCGAGATGGGCTCGGTGCTCTTTGAGAAGCACGCAACGTACACGGTCGGCGTCGAGATCAACCCGATCATGCTCGAGCTCGCGCGCGAAATGCATCCGGCGATGGCGGCGCACCCGCGCAACTACCTCCTCGAAGGCAATGCGCTCGAGCTCCGATCGCTGCTGCGAGATACGATGCCAGCCGACTTTTGGACGACCAAGCGTGTCGTCGCGATCGTCATGAACACGTTTGGCATCCTGCCGGCGCACATCCGCCAAGGCGTCGTTGACCAGATGCTCGAGGTGGCGGGCGAGGACGGCGTCGTCGTCATTGGCTGCTGGCACGCCGACAGCTTCCGCCGCGGCGTCGAAGAGTACTACATGAAGAACCCAGACCTTGTCGGCGATCACGTGACGCACGCCATGTGCGACTACACGAAGGCCCAGCTCTTTGTACCGTCGTCCAAGTACGAGTCGCACTGGTGGTCTGAGGACGAGCTCCGCGGCTTTGTACGCCACGCAATTGGTGTCCACGTCGACGTCCACGTCGCCGGCATTGGCATCTTCCTCACGTGCCGCCGCCAGTAAGCACCTTTTTATCTATAGTAACAAATGCAATGCACGCACCACGACTCTCTTTTTGAACCGGCACAACGGTTGGTGTAGCTGGACGCTAACTGGTGCCGACCCGGTTGGTCAAACCGGTTGGCTTTGCCGGATAGAAGAACCGGTCAAGTGCCCGCCATTTTTGGAGCAGCGGCCGGCTCGTGTTATTATTGCACGTTCAACGCTTCCTTGTCGACTCTGTACTGTTGCGCTTCGGTGTGACTGTTTAATTCATGCTAGAATAGCGTCTTGCCCGCCAAGGTGCTGTAGAGGCTGCTACTCGTGTGAGCTAAGCTTCTTGGCTTGCCGCTTGTCAACAAGCACGAGCATGGATGGTGGGTGTGCGGAGCGAGCGCATGCAAGTCTGTGTCGTAGATACCAGAACCAAGACTTTTGAGAAAAGGCGTCTCTTGGGTAAGAGAAACCGAGGTATTCCGCCAGCCCTAAGAGTAAATAGCTACAACGAGTAGCCTAGTCCAGATTGACTACCACTGGTAATCCAGTCGTCATCGGGAGCATCGCTTGGCAGCCAAGAAAACAACCTTGCCGGCGTTGGACGACACTTGCAGAAAATGTTCTCGCCACGGAGCACCTGTAGTGCTGTACGTCGTATCGCTACTGGGCAGACCCTTCGCCTAGCCCTAACCCTATAGTTCCGACAATCCTGTGCGGCACAAAATCGTGCGGCGCGATCCCGCGCAATGCAACGTCATGATGGGGGAAGTCGTGCGAGCCTCCAAGAGTTGATGTCGAGATACCGGTACGTACTTTTTTCCGTCGTCGTCGCCCATACAAACATGCAGCTCGCACTTGATAGAAAGTCGCCAACTTGATACTGTGCAACTGATTGGGCAAAGGATCGGTCACAGCTGCTGTAGACGAATATGATAGGCTCTTCTTTCCGCCAGGGGGCAGTGATCGCATGACGTTAAGAGCAGCTGACCCTTCCGATTATGCCAACCCATCAACCCATCATCCTTGCATCCCTCTCTTGCCCAGCTCCATGTGCAATAGTAGAAGTAGGTGCAAGGTGCTTGACTACCGGTATAGCTTTGCAACCCTCCATATCGTGAGCTCATGAGCTGGTGTCGCAGCGCAGCAGGAGCTATATGTGTTCGTAATGTACAGGCCTCTGCAATCTTGGATTTTTAGCGTCATCCAATCTCAAGCTTTTTCGTGCCTCATTTGGGATCGACCTTGGATCCTCCTTGGAGCCGAAATGTATACAAACTTCAAGATATATTGAGAAGATGATTACGCAATCAATGAAAATGTCGTCGCATTTCGATGCGTGGCGCGTTGCATCGAGTTGACGGCTTCCTTCAGCTCCTTGTATTGCTTGGACTGCATTGGTGCGAGCGGCGCCGATGGAGCGATCGCTGCCTCGATAGACACCACGACAGGCTGCACTGTCGTAGACACCGTTGTATGTAGGGTAGTCTGCGTCAGCGTGGCTGGCTTGGCACCTTGGCGCGGCCCGACTTTGTCGAGCTCTTGGTCTTCGCTGCGGCCCCACGTACCATCACAAACGCAAAATAGCTTGTGTGGAAATCCAACCAACCACTCGTTTGGCATACAAAAAGCAAGCTTAATTTTCTTGGATACTCATTTGGGCTAGAACGTGGAGGAAACTGGAAAAAACGAAAAAAATCCAAGATGCAGAGGCCTGGTAATGTAGAACGAAGTCTATTTATCTTCTCTCACTGCTTATTCTGAGCAAACTCAAAAAGTGCAGTACCGTGATCAGACCTCTCACGGTGCGCTTGGTCAACAAACGTAATCGATGAAAGTGATGGGCTTGCCCGTGAAGAATCCCAAAAGCAGCTCAATTCTCGCCAAACATCCCGGATGCGGCTCGGAGAATAGACTCCACAGCGGAAACGTGTTCCCACTCGACGCTATCAACGAAACAACCTCCACGACCATGCATATCATGGCCTAACGAACGTTATTTTGCTTGAAGAGTCCTTCTATATGAACTGCTTGTGTCAATAAATGGCCTTGAGAGCGGTCATGGCGCCATCCAGCAGCCCTCTTTGAGCCGCATTCGGATTTTGCCACAAGCGAGCTTATCACTCTATTGACGTTACAATCGCACATCGCCAGTCACGGCTGAGATCGTCAGTCCTTCCTTCCCATGGTGGCAGCTCGTGATGGTGGTGGCTGCTCCAAGTATTGGACAGATGGCGCGGAGGCTTCGCGTTCGAAATCGAAGCACACGTTACATGAGAGGAGTCCTCGAACGCCGTCCATATCGGTGCGTGCTCGAGCAATGCATGCAGCAACTCCATCATGGACCTGTATCCAAGTATCTGCGTGGCCTCGGAGGAGCTAGCATATAAAGTTCACTCGTCGCATCGAGGGGGTCCCCTAAATGTCGGCGCCGAGATGCACTAGCACGGTACATCGATCCTCCCATCATTAACTGTATGCGCAGACGGCTGGCATCGGCCCCATCATCCTTCTTTGATCGGTGGGCTACGAATGGTATTAGTGGCATGACGGTCAATGGCGTTGGTTGCAACACATTTCCTTCATGTGTACGCGATGGTCAGCGCCCGCTTTCTTGATGGCCAAGTGTCCAAGGCTGCGCGACCTTTGACGCCAAAAGGCAAACCACTTTTTGCGGCGTTTCAGCGCAGTGGTCAGTACACGCCGTTTCAAACATCGGACGACCACAGATCCAGTACAGTAATCGTCCAGCGATTGTCCAATCCGGTCCACGAGACCGGCTCCTTGAACGAGTCTACCGGTACACGGTATCGGCGCAGTGTCGCAGCGCACTGGAGGCGGCACCTCGAGGTGAGTGCAGTGGTTCGTACAGCAAACTCGAGTAGCCGACGCGGCGTGCTATCAAGCGCGCAAGTCGCTGCACGTTCGTTTGCACGGGGATGTTGGTGGCGGAAGTAGCTGTCGGCAGCAGCTGTTCTTTGCACGGGATTGTGAAAGCCACCCACGCTTTTTGTCAATTTTCCGGAATATACCCGAAGCAGATCTGCCGTCGACTTGATGAGCCTCCGCCACGAGACCCGACGCAACCCCATGCAAAGGCCAACCTAATGCTCGTCCTGCTTCGTTCACCTTCCCATGACCCCAGTTTATGGCCCCAGTGCATGGCCCCTACTCGTATTTAGAACGAACTAAATAGGATGCGTTGGCTAGCGTTTCATACAAATATCTGGATACACGTGCGGTAGTTGAAACCAAGATATGCAACGTCATTTTACAAAAACACCCGTTGTACCCATGCAGGATACCGAGTCCCGGTCCGTGCGGCCTAAGCACGCCCCCCCGATGCTGCTGCCCGAGATCCTCGAAGTCATTGTCGAGCACCTCAGCGACAATGCGACGCTCCGTGCGTTCCTCACGGCATGGCCCGAGAAGCACCTGACGCTGCCGCTGCAAGCGCTTCGGCAGCTTCTTGGCCACACAACGAGCCAGCTCCGCGTCGCGTGGCCAATCGTCCACGTATTAGAAGACAATCTGGACGAACAGACAATGGACTATCTGTACGGGACGTTTCCGTTGTCGCCGCAGATCCACATCGAGTATCCGCTGGGCGACGCGGCCGACCTCGACGACGTCCTTCAAGACTACGGTCCGTGTCTGGCGGCCCTCAAGCTCTACTCGTCGTTCGAAGACATGGACGACGTCCGGGAGATGCGCAGTTTGCTGCTCTCGGTGCCGCATCTGCGCCGGCTCGAAGTCCACCTGATCGACCGCAATGATGCGACGCATGGGCTCTCGCTTCTGCTCCAAGTGCTCGAGCATCCGACGCTGACGCACTTGACGCTGGCCAACGGCGAAGATCCCGTCGAGGTTGACATTGCCTTTTCGCACCAGCTGCTCAAGTGGCTCCAGACGCGCCGCGTCCAGCATCTCTCGCTCGAGAACCTGTTTTTGGCCACGAACGCGGCGCTTCCGTCGGCCCTCAGCCGCGCGATCGCCGAGAGCAGCCAGCTCCAAGCGCTGCACTTGCGGACCGTCGATGTTTTCGAGAGCAGCGTGCTGCACGGCTACGCCTTGCCAACCTCCGTCACGTCGTTCGAGTGGGAAGAGCTGAGTGCGTCGGACAGCAGTGCCATCGACAACCTCGTCGCCGCCATCCAAGATGCACGGGCCCTGCGGCACTTGGCATGCAAAAACGCCGTGCGACTCCTCACCGATACGCGGGTACGCCGCGTGCTTTCCCAGCTCACATCGCTGACCTTGCACAACGTCACGTCGACCGAGATCCCGGCGCTGGTCTCGGGCTTACAGCACGTTCCGGGCCTTAAGCGCCTTCACGTGTACAACAGCACGTTCCAAGGTGCATCCGTTGAAGCTTTTCTCGCCGCCGTGAGCTTGTGTCGGAACCTCGAAGAGCTCTGTATTTATGGCCATCGGTTCACGGCCACAGAACTCGGTCTCTGGCTGGTCGCGGTGCCTCGCTGGCCGCAGCTGCGGTCGCTGGCGCTGGCGTCGCATCGATGCTCGCTCCAGCAGTGCCTCTCGCTACTACCGGCCATTGCTGCCGCGGCCAAGCACCTCACAACGTTGGACTTGGCCAACGACGTGTGGTCGCTCGAGGAAAAGAACGTCTTTTGGCGAGAGCTCGCGACGGTTGCACGCGTCGAAGTGCGCGCTGGCACCGACGACGTACACGCCCCGTCAAGACTCGTAGGCAATCTTGTCGGTGCACATGTCGACCACCTTTGCACCGTAATCACCTAACCATAACGAGTGCCGTATTACGCGATGGTGCCCTCACCCATGGCGCCATCGAGGATCAGTGCGCGCAGCTGCTCTGCCGTTCGTACACACGATCTATGCTTGTACACTGAATCCGACGCCGCCAACGAAGACGTACCCAATGCACTTGGTGGCAGAGCCCGTCGGCTCTCGTGTTCTTAGTGTGTAGCAACGGAGTGGGTCCGCGAGGGTCGATCCCATGATGTTTTATTGTGTGCAAAAGGTTAGAGCACTTACGACACTTGCATGTTGCCAGCGAAATGAAGTACAGTATGCATTGCCCTGCCTCCCGTTAGGCCGCCGAGTATCAGGTTCGTATCGGTGTAGCAACGAGACGCCATCGAGGTCAGGGAGAGCGCATGCGTTCTTGTACATGTATACGACACGGCTGTCCTTCCTACACCTTGGCGGGTACGTGAAATGGTCTGTGATATCGATACATTGAAACTAAATGGATCGCCCACAAGCCCACGCTCGCCCACATGGGTCGTTGTCGCTTGATCCACTACATTCGAGAGGTTTTCATCTCTCGATACATTGATAAATACTTATGTATTTATAAGGTATACGAGGACACGACGACGCTCTAGTCCAATGATACACATCATGACTACAGAGCTGTAAAAGGACACTATGACTAGTGCTACTACGACGAGCGTGGCATAATGTACGCTTCCTGCAGCTTGCTACTCGACGCGGTAATGATGCTCGCAGCGTTCCGCAGCGGCTCGTGCTCGAGGTTGCCGAGATCGCACCAGGAGAGAAGCACTCGGCCCGAATGGATCAAGCGCGCCACGATGTTGTCCACGTTGACCTCGGCCAGCTTGGACACTGTTGGCATCATTTCCGCTGCAATGGCCTTGGCCACGTTGGTCATGATGGTGCTCATTGCCATCAAATCCAGCTGGATAAACCGGCGCCACTCGTCGTCGGCCACACGCCAGAGTTCGCGAAGATCGGGCAGCGTCCCGCCCTCGCGCACAGGCAGCGGCTGCATGCAGGTGGCGTACTGGTACGCGCGACTCAGGTCCGAGAAGCTCGTGCCCGCGACGTCGCGATGGCGCGTGGTGGATCGTCCGAGAGCCTTCTGGAGATTGCTGCGCCGATCTTGCTTCTCACGGTGGGCTGCGTTCGCTCGCAGCGTCTCGAGCGCACGGTCAGGCGACGCGCGCATGGCCTTGGTCACATCGTTCAAGGCAAAGCCGCTCGAGAGCTCGTACGCGGCGAGGAATGTCCCTGGCGTCGTCGGGATGCCCGTCGGGAACACGTGCTTGTCTTGGGCGAGCAAGTCGAGCAGCATATCGAGCTCAATCATGGGTGCAAGCCGATTATGGATACGCAGTGCGTTGTAAAGATGGAGCACGAGCCGGCCTTGGCCCACGTCGTTGAGGAGCATGTGCCCGGCGAGGCCAGTGAGGACCGTCGACGAGGTGAGGAGGAAGTGGCCGGCCATGTACGGGTTGAACCACCACTGATCGCGCGCCGCCTCGGACGGGAAGATGCGCAACTTGGTCGTCGCCACGGTTAGATTCATGACGTACCATCCCGACATCGGGCGCAGTATCGAGGGACTAGCGCCGGGCGTCTCGTCGTTCTGCATGCACACGAGGGTCGACTTGTACTGCTGCTTGAGCGCGCGCGTCATCGTGAACGCGAGCGAGGCGTCGTCGACCAGCATCATGGCTTTCAAAAGGCAATGCGACGCGACGACGAGCGCCATATCGACAACTCGACCTCCACAACTGTGCTTCTTCAAGAGCGACCACAACGGACCGATGGCCGCCGCCTCGGGAGGCAGCGCAAACACCTTCGAGTCGACGGAAACTCGCAGACGGGGCACGACCTGAGCAACAAACGCCTGCGCCAGCGACCGCATCGAGGTCCGATCGAGCTCAAAATCGTCAAGGAGTTCGGCGGTACGAGACGTGTACGCGTACGTGTAGTGCACGCTGCAGAGGTCGCTGCCATGCGGTATTTGGGCGATGCCGGGCGACGGCGCGGATGCGTCGGCCACAAACATCGCATGGAGCGCTTTGGCCTCCGCCTTGGACGCTGTGAAGCTTGCGGCCATTCTCGTCGCGTGGTCGATCGTGGTGATAGCCGTGGACCAGCGTACGAATTCGCACACTGCAACCGCTCGAGCGAGGTCCACGCCGTGTTGGAGCACAAGCGACCGCAGCGCGCCACTGTTGCCCACGAGCACGTCAATGGTGCCGAACGAGTCGAGGTACGGGAGCTCGAGAGTCAGCGCCGACGCGAGCGACTGGGCGACGTGGACGACGTGGTTGGTGACGATCGTCGCAGCGACAAGCGACGTATGGCCTGCTTCGAACGCGGTCCAGACAGCGTCGACCTCGTCCAAGAGCTCATCGAGGTCCTGGAGAAAGCACGTGGCGCGGAACTGGTCGGCTTCGAGCTGCGCAAGGGCTGTCTCTTGCGGCGTCGGCGCGGCGGGCGGCAGAAACGCAGCGACATCAAACGCTGGCATACAAGCATCGATCGCATCGTCGTCGTCGTCCAGCGCCAGTGCTTCGAACGTGTTGGAGAGCTCGTCGGTGGCAGCGATCGGCGGCGATGGGCGGGCCGGTGTCAGCGTGGCCTGCATGGCCCGGAGCACCGTGAGAAAGTGCAGATGGCCGTCATCGTGCGGCAAGCTCTTGGTCGCTTGCCAGCGCAGGCGGATGCTCACCGCAAGGCTGCGCCAGACATCGAGCGGCACAGCGATGCCGGCCTCGGCGACCGCGACGGCAGCGGCCCAGATCTGGCCCGTCGTCCTCATGTCCATGGGCACCTTCTTCTGCGTCGTCTGCTTCTTCGTCTTCTTGGAGGCTTTGGACGCGGCGCGCTCGAGCCATGTGAGAACGGCATCGGTCGCTGCCTTGTACCGGTGCCATCGGCCATAGGAGCCATCAGCAGGTGCTGCTGATGATGCCATGGCGCAGATTAAAAAGTGGAATAGTCCGAATTTAGGCCTAGTCTTAGGCCAGCTGTCTTGCAACAGCTTGTCCCATGCGTGAACTGGGTCGCTCTGCGAGGTCGCTGCAATCATGCAGGCAGCGTGCCAATTTATACAAGTGTTGTACACGTTTCTGTTGAGGTAGTATGGACATTGCCCACTGGACATTGCCCTTGTCCGGTTCTGCGACCACGTGGCAGCTCCTGGAGCGAGGTGCACAACGCTGATTGGTGGACACCGGATCTTCTGGAGCCTCCACTCGATGTGCCTGGACGACAAGAGAGCAACAACGACTCGACGACGCCGGAACGACATTTGCAGCCAGGCGCGCTATACGGTGCTAGTGCGTGCGGCGACAGCGCCTGGGCTACCGACGCGGACGGGCTCTCTCTGCATATAACCACGATGCAGCAGTGGCAGCACGACGCGGTCGAACACCACCAAGGACATATAAACAGTTCTTATATCCGTGGGCACTACTGTCGAGTGCGTGGCCGCGATTCCACTCGAGAAAGCAGCGTCATCCATAGACGACCTCGCCGCGCGCACTCCAACGTGACGCAAGTACTCGCTGCGGCTTCGTCACATGGACTTTACCATCAGCGATCATCGACGCGTGGAGTACAAGCATCGAACCATCGACTTTTAAATATGAAAGGCCTAGCGCGGATTGAGCGGCGCGAAGCCGAGGTCCTTGAGCGCTTTCGGGGCGTGGTCTCGAATGCGCTTGCTCGACGAGACTGGCCGGCTATTGGTTGCCGAGAGGGCGGGGTTGGTCACTTCGTTCAAAAGCGACTGCAAGACCGACGCGCCGTTTTGGGCATTGAGTTGGCGCCGGACGGCGTCTAGACAAGAGAATGTATGTCGTTCCACGCGTTTAAACACAAGACAGAGATGTGGATACCGAGGCTTGCAATGTTGGAGACGACCCAGACACACGTGGCTTGCACATGAGGCGGCGACGACACCACGAGATGCATGAGCTTGGGGACGATGGGCGTGAAATCGATGGTTTGTTTGGCGAGTGCGTCGCTCGAGAGAGACGCGATTCCGAGCAACACCAGTGGCACGTGCGTCTCGTCGACGCCCAAGAAGGTGTCGAGGAGCAAGTTGAGCGCGCCATGGAGCACGAGGGACTGGGAGAGCTCGGCGACCGCCGTCAAGTTGACGAGAACGTGGAGGCCGTCGGCGTAGTAGACACAGCTCGTCGCGTCGTCTTGGTCGAGCAGCAACAGCAGCTGCTTGAGCGCCGCGACCAATAGTGGCGTGAGGCTCAGCACCGGTGACGATACCCGCGTCAGCGTGCTCAGAAGCAACAGCGTTTCTTTGATCGTGCTATCATTCAACGACTCGAGCGGCGACGACTCGAGGACGTGCCAGAGCGGCGGCACGGCCAACGGCGTCAGCATCGGCAGCGTGCTCTCGTCCGTCGCAATCGCGTTGAGGAACTGCAGCACGCAAAGCAGGCGGTTGTGCGCGCCGCTATCGTACGCGTCGGGGACGAGCAAATGCAGCACATGGAGGACATTGGCCTGCACGTCAAAGTGGGCGCGAATGAGGTGCTCGGGCAGCGCTTCGGCGACGACGCCGGCCGTGAGCGCACGAAGGCAGTAGACGACGAGCTTGACGTTCGTATCGTGCAAGTACGAGAAGAAGCTTTGGGCCAGCGCTTCAATGAGCTCGGGCTCGTCTTCGAGCGACGGGTGCAGAAAGAGAACGGTGAGCAAGTGGACGCCGTTCTTGACCAGCGTCGTGTCCTAAACCATATCCTATCAGTGTATCAAGGTATCAAGACGAGTCGGTAGTACATCGCAGCGCGGCAGAATCGCCAAGAGGCTCTTGACAAACGGACTCACGAGATCGCGGGTGACCGGAAGGACGTAGCCCCAGACATGGCAGAGCATCCGCAGCAGTTTGCTGAGCGTCTTGAGCGTGAAATGCGAGAGCGCGCTCAGAAGAAAGGCAAAAAACGTCGCGTCCACGTCCTCGATCCGGCCCGCGAGGTCCTTGTCCTTGGTGATGCACGAGAGAATCCACGCCGCGTGCAAGATGTCGTGGGTTCGACTCTCGACTTCGGCCACGTTGCGCACGGTCGCGAGCAAGATGCCAAGGAGGTTGGATGCAACCACCCGCCGACAAATGGCCGCGTGTTGCGAGCACAGAATCGCCAAGATGCGAAGTACGTGCTCGGTGCAGACATAGTCGCCTTTCTGAAGGATTTGCGCCAAAACGGGCACGGTCGCATGGCGCAAGAGTGTCTCCTGCGTCGGCTCCACGTGCAGAATTGCACTCAATGCCACAAGCACGTGCTGCACGACAATCATATCGACGGCTTCGAGGCACTCGATGAGCGTCGTGACGCACTCGGTGGACCCGCCGACGTCCGGGTAATGCAGCAAGAGGGCCGAGAGAAGAAATGCCGCATGCGCTTGGGGCTCGCGCGTGTAGCTCTGCAGGCAGCGTAAGAGTGCGTGCACGGCCTTGGCTTCCATCGCAAGGCGACTCACAATCTCCGACTCGAGGCCGGTTTGCGCAGCATTGGCCAAGGCAGCGAGCACGTAGAGTTGATAGTCGAGATGTACTTTTGGAAAGCGGTGGACGAGCGTCTCGAGGCATTGGAGCCGGTGTAGCGACCGCACGACCGACGGTAGCTTGGACACATTCGCGACCAGCTGATAGATGGTGAGCTGGACAGGGCCAGGTTGGGGCGACAGGTCGAGGTACCCCACGAGCCGCTTGAAGCCGTCGTCAAAGTCGAACGTGTCGTCCGCCACGAAAATGCTGAGTCGGTGCACGATTTTGGACAAGTCGGAGAGGTACTGGGTCTGAAGCGCTTGCACTTTAAGCGTTGTCTGCGCGGGAAACGTGCCAAGGACGTCAATGAGACTTATGAAAAGGCTCGTGGCTTCGTGCAAGGACGACGGTGCCCACGTCAAGGCAGCAATACTCTGAATCATCTGGACAACGTCAAACTGTGCGGTCTGCGATGGCGTCCACCCGGCGTGAAGCGGGCCACGCTTCGCGCCCGGCTTGGGCACCGGTGGAAGCTGATGGAGCAGAGGACAGAACGGCGTCAGAAGCGACGCGTGCTGCGCTAATAGCACGCAAAGTGCTTTTCGTGCATGGCTTGGAGCCACGCAAAGTGCAGCATGCGGGACGCGGCGGCCATATTGGCACCGAGGAGGTCGGCGGCGAGCCGCAGCAGACTCGGGAGCGGCTGAAACCCATCTCGGAGCTCAAAAAACCAAACGCGTCGGCGGGCACGCCTGCGTCGTGCAAGCACGTTAGGATGTCCATGACCGCATCTTGGCTCTTTGGCAAGAGCGAATGAAAGCGCTCAATGTAGACACGCAAGACGGTCGAAGGCTCGAGGCAGTAATCCGGGAAGCACTCGAACGAGATAAAATGCACAAGGCAGTGCACAATGTCGTTGAGAAAGGCCACGTCGCGCGTGAGCTCGAGCACGAGGAGCGGGAGTGCTTGCGCAAGGACGTCGGGCTCGGTCACCACGTGCATGGCCAGCGTCGTCTGCATACCCGCCATGAGTTGCGTGCGCTCGAGCGGGTCATGCATGCACTCGGCAAAGCGCTGCAGGTCAGCGACAAAGGCCAGCGAAAGGTCCACCGAGTACCCGAGTAAATTCAGCAGCGCCGACCGCATCGACTGGTCCGCTTCGTTTGTCACCTCGAGCGACTCGAGGTTTTCCTTGACGCCAACAGCCTTCAAGTCGTCGACGAGCGCATCGGTGGTCACCAGTAGCATCATGAACCGAAGCGTGGGTGTCGGCGCGGGCTCGAGGAGGGCCGAGAGCTTCATCAAGAGCTCCATTTTCGACGGTAGGGCTTGGAGGAGGGCCACCAGGAGCGACTCGGCGCCCCACCACGCGTGTATCTCGATGAGGGCATAGATGCACGCTTGCGCAATCGTATCGGCCAAGGGCGACGCCGTGATGATGACAAATAGCTCTTGTAAAATGTCTTCTTGGACGTGGTCGAAGTAATGGACACCCGGCAGCGGCGCGTGCGAGGCTTCCTTGGGGTACGCCATTTGCACGAGGAGCGGTGTGACGAGAATCAGGTCCGGGTACATAGACCCAAAGTGGCGCGTCACGGTATGTTGCTGCGACGAGAACCAGTAGAGGAGGTCCATGATGAAGCACGACGCAAGGTTGCGGTCCGTCATCCAGAGCGATCCCGGCGTGAGCGGCCGGTCACTGGCGTGGCGTCGGAACGTCATTGCAAACAGATACACGCGCAACATGTCGTCGTACGAGATGCAGCGCGCAATGTTGACGCTGGCCCGCGAGCACGTGATCGCGTGCACGTGCTCGACGTGCCGCGAGAGAAGCTGCAACAAGCGCATCTCGGCCTGCACCGACGCAATGACGGCGCCGGCAAGGACGCCGCCGGCCAGCGCCACATGCCCGAGGAACGCGAGTGCCGTGTCGACGAGCAGCGGGTTGGGGAGCGATGTGAGCTCGGACGCAACGATTGCCACGAGTGCCGGGTCGCGCTCCACGTACACCTCCATGGCCTCCAAAAGCAGCTTTCGAAGCACTTCTTGGAGCGCGGGCAGCGAGAGACTCGGAGGGGCATCCGCCAACCCAAGCAAGACCGCTTCGAGGGCTTGGGTGTCCACGAGCTGGCGCCGACTGCCAGCGTTGTCGACAGCGATCTCGAGAATCGCAAGTGCATGTCGAAAGTTCAGGGTCGGTGTCGGGCTTGCGTGCAGTGCGGTTATGAGAAGCAGATACATGGTTGTTGGCACTTTGTGTGTGCGTAGCTTGGTGTGGCGCAGGCACCCGTGGAGGAGCTGGAGACCATGCGCGTAGCATGCCTCCGAGCGCTGTTGTCCCATCGCTTCATGCAGCAAGACAGACGACGCCAATGTTTCTGCAAATGCAAATGACCATCCGTTCTGATCGACGACGTCCACGTCCGGACCCAGCAGATGTGCTAGCAGTGCCAGCACCGCGGCATGGCCCATCTCGGTGGCGTCTGCGTGCAGCGCCACGTCCACCGTTCGGTCCAAAAGGTTAGGCGGCACCTTGGCGGCGAGTGCATTGCGGCTGCTCTCGAGGCGGCACTGGCTCGAGAGCAGCGCAATCGCGTCCATCTGATCGGATATAGGCGCCTCGGGGGAGGCCACGAGCCACTGCGCAATGTCCAAGATGCACTTTGTATTGGTCGCGAGCTGCTCCCGGGCACTTGCGCTGCGCACTGAGAGCGTGCTCAGGCCGTGGAGCGCCCAGCCAAACTGCCGCTGCTTGCGCGCGCCGGGGGGTGTCAATGCAAGCACACCCAAGTACGTGCCGACAAACTGTCCGAAATGCAACGCGACACCACATGTGACAAGCGTTTCCACGTACGCCGTGTGCGCGAGGTTCCGGAGTGTCTCGAGCACGAGCGACTCGAGATCCAAGGCCGCGTCCGAGTACGCACCAAGCGCCTTGTGGTGCAGCAAGGCCGCGAGACCGCGCTGGGCGCCCATCTCCACGAGGCCATCCACCCACTGGACCGTATTGGAGATGTCATGGACGATGCAGACAGCCATGACGGCGACATGGTGGCTTGCGTTCACGTCCAACGCGGTCATCGCACTGGCGGTGGCAGCGATGGGAGCGCACCGAGCGACGCAACGTGCTGGATAAAGTATGGAAACGTCTGCTGCGCCGCCAGAATCGCTTGGACCTCCAAGTCGTACGAGAGGTTATGAATCGCACGCACGAGGCGGCGTGTGAGCCGCGTGTGCGTGGCCGGCAGCAGCAGCAACAGCTGCGCCATGAATGTCACGCCGTCTTCGACAATCAAAATGATCTGAATGTCCTTGACCATCGCAAGGTTGGCGATGGTCTCGGCGCCATTCTCGAGCAGACCGAGGTCGTCCCAGTCGTGGCGCGGCTTGAGCAACGCCAAAATATCTGGAATTTCGGCGCCGTCGACAAACGCGAGGCGCAGTGTCGGGTCGTACGTGATGCGCGCGAGAAGCTTCAAGACGAGCTCGACTTCCTTTTGCCACGTCGCCTCGGACACAGTGCTGGCGCGGGCCTCCGAGTTGAACGGCGCCCAAACCCACTGCGCGACGGGCAGCAGCGTACTCAAGAGCCCGCGTTCGACCCACTGCAGCATGTACGAATCGGCGGCCCAGCAGAGGTTGACGAGGATGCGGAGCACGAGGATCGTGTCGGACGACGTCCACTGCGTGCGACTGCGCAGCCGATCAAGAAAGGTGTCTGCAAAGCTAAACAACGAGGCATGGAAGTGCGCCGAGAGTGAGAGGCAGTGCAGCAAGATCAACGTGTCGGTCGAGTGCCGCCGGAGACACGGCCCCATGAGCAGCGGCACCGTTTCGGCGGCACCAAATGCAGTCACGGTCGCGTCCGCCTCGTCCCAGAGCAGCACCAGACTCTGCACGAGCCGGACTTGATTTGTTGTATCGTCTTCATGGCGAAGCTTGGAGGTGAGGTGCGCGATGGCCTCGGCTGCCCGAAACGCACTCTGACCGAGCGGCTGCGCGACCAGCAAATGTACAATCTCCAGCGCTCTCGCAGCCACGACGGGATTTGAATGAAAGACAAGCCGCAAGAGAGCTGCTGCGGTCGGCACCTCCATGTACATCTCCCGGGCGCGGACGTCGTGTGTGTAGAGCAACATACCTTGCAGCAAGACGAGCCATAGCACATCGGAGCACGTGGTCTCGGGAACGGCAAGGAGCACATTCGCGAGCTGCTTCGCAAAGTCGACCTCGTAAAGAATCGTTTGGTAGTGTGACGATGCGCACGCCAAGTGCACCAACGCCCGCGTGCCATGTAGCACGGGATAGATGGGCCCCTTGAGTAGTTTGAGTAGGCTCGTGGAGATCGTCCGGAGACTCGACGCCGACAGAATCGTCGGGCCATAGTGCCGGGCAATGAACATCTTGTCCCGCATGAAGCTGTCGACGGCCGCGAGGACACTCGGCGTGAGCTCGTGCGTCTCAAACGACTCGAGACCCTCCCACCATCGACTCAAGCGCTTCAGAACGAGCGGCCAGTCTTCATTATTCTCCGTCGCCATGGCCATATCGAACTGCGAGTTTTGAATCAAAAAGGCGGCAAAGCGAATGACAGCGTCGCCCATCTCAGTGCTACAGCCGTCGCTGAGAAGCGTCGTCGCCAACGTGCACGAGCGTCGACTCGCAAAGTACTGCGCATTGCGCAGAAACGCTGCGGTCTCGACGGCAATGTGGTGCAGCAAGTGGAGCGCATCCAGGACCGTGCTTGTCGACTCGCTCTGTAGTAGCTGTAGCAAGGCGTCGATGCCGTTGACGTGCTCGCAGAGCACTTGGGGGGACTCGTTGCGTAAATGCGAGATGCGACGCAGGGCCGCCATCGCTGTTGGGGCAATGCTCTGGTGGCCTTCCGACGCGATCGAGAGAAGCCGCGTGTGCGTGTGCGAGAGGTCCTGAATGTAGTCGGCAAAACCAAACGCCGCGAGCGAGTTGATGGTCTTGACCGCCTTGCGCTGGAGACTCTGGCGCACGTCGGGCTCGAGGTAGCGCAAGATCAATGGGATCGTGGTGCAGGTGGCGAGCCCGGCTGCAATCGGCTGCTCGGTCGCGAGACAGCTAAGGCACGTCATGGTGCACTCGATGATCGTGTCGGTCTGCTTGCTCGTCTCGGTATTGAGCAGCGAGAGCACAAGCAGCAGACCGGTGGGATACTCGAGCACTTGGTACTTGCTTTTGGTCGAATGCATGGTCATGTTGGAGATGGTCCAGATGACGCACTTGGCCACCCAGGGGGAGCTCGCTTGGTGCGCTTCCAAGAGAGAAAACAGGGTTGGTATCGCACCTGCGACCTCGAGCTGCCCTATCGAGTCATTGACCGTCGAGAGGTTGCCAAGGCAAAGGACATAGTTTTCAGTGCCCACAAAGTTGGCCAGGCGCCGCTGCAGCACCTGGAGCACCAGCGAAATCGTGGGCAGTCGCAGCATCTCGATCTTGCACGCGTCGTCGAACGAGAGGTTGGCGAGAACTTTGGCGAGGATGTCGAGGATCGAATTGGGGCCACCGTGCACAACATCGTCCATCTTGAGCCCGAGATACGTGAGCAGCGTCGGAAGGCCGCCGACATGGACCACGATCGCCTTGGCATCATCGTGGACTGTGAGGTTGGCGAGGATGCCCGCACAGCTGTACGCGAACGGGTCGTTCGGAACGGGCGCCTCGAGACACTGCTTGAGCAGCGAGAGCGCGAGCTCGGTCGTGCCTTCCATGGCCAGTCGCTTCCTAACTTGCTCCTTCAAGCTCGAGAGGTGGTGGACGATAATGGCAGCGAAGTGGTCGGCTTCAAACTCCGTGACGACCATGTATTTCAGCAGCGTCTCGGCGATCTCGCAGAGGTAGAGAAGGTGGCAAAGGCCTTCGTGCTGGCTCCAGAGCGAAAACATCGCCAGAATATTGGCCCGTACGATGAGCTCGTGCTCGTCAAGGGCGAGCGCTTGCACGAGCTTGGGCACGACCGAGTCCTTCTCACCGGACGCGATTCCAAACCGATGCTCTTCAATCGCCGAGAGCAGGAAGAAAACGAGGATGATGTTGCGCTGGACCTTGACCAACGTCGAGTCCGCAATGTAAATGCGCTTGAGGAGGCTGAGCGTTTTCTTTGGGAAAAAAAGCTTGAGCGCGTCTTCGCTGAGAAGAATGCCCATAAGCCGTGCAATGTTCTTGCAGTGCAGAATCGGCACAGTGTCCGTCACTGGATTCGGGTTGGGCTGCAGCTGGTGCTCCAAAATGCTATGCAGCGGACCAGCAACGAGCCCTTCGCACTTGACGAGGCCTCGAATCGGGTCGTGGAGTGCGAGGTTACCCAGGAGACGGATCGCGCGGTCGAGGACACCTACGGTAGAGCATTGAATACGCCACGGAAAATACAAAAGGGCGAGTACCCGAGCCAACCGACGTATGGAAGCGAAAGATCAGCGCTTCTAAAATACGCACAATGTCGCAGTTGGCCATTTGAATGTGGTTGTCGCGGTAGCCCGAGAGCTTGGTGAGCACCCAGAGCGCGGCCTCGAGAATACCCGCGTTGGACGAGTTGAGCAGACCAATCAGCGTCGTGAGCACGCCCGGCTGGTTCATGACGTAGCCTTGGTGCAGCTCGACTTTGGAGCACCAAATCGTCAGCGTAAAGCACGCGCACTTCTTGACGAGGTCGCTCGCGTGGCCGAGCATCATGGTCACGGTGCCAATGAGGTCTTCGGTGACATACCGCCCTGCCAAGATGGCGTGGGCGCAGTTGTTGAGGATGAGCGCGCACTGCTCAAGGATGTGGGCGCACTGCATCGGACGCGTGATGAGGAGCGGGATCGCAACCTTAATCGGCGTTTCGACGTCTGCTACAAGAGCTTGGTTCTCGTCGTCGTCATGGTTGTTGTTGCCATGCTGCGTGGCTGGTTTCTTGGGGCTTTGGCGCTTGTTGGGCTTTTGCGGCGACGACTCGAACGACAAGACGAGCGCTGCGTCAATGAGCTCGCCGAGGCGCTGGACGCAGCTGACCGTGCCGTTGGCTTCAATGATGGCCGTCGTGTTGAGTGGCTCGAACGAGAGATTGGCAAGCGACGTCGCTGCGAGCTCGACCAGCTTCAAGTCGGCTTCCGAGTCCAAGAGCGAGGTAGCATCATTTTCGACGCGGTCGCTGTGGCCCGTACTGAGGTGGCTGTTGAGGCACTGCACGACAGCCTCCATGCAGTCCTTCTCGCCGTACCGAACCTTGTTAAACGACTCTTTGGTCAAGAACGCCAGCAGAGTCAGTGCCGTGCGCTGGAGCTTGGCGTTGACACTGCTCAAGAGCCGAATCACCACGCGCGGGTCGAGGTACTTGCTCACTTCAATCACCTGCGTGGCCACGAGCCCCGACAGCGTTTGCATCGCACACTCGAGCACGCGCGAGTGGATGCTCTCGAGCTGGTTCACGAGACCGCAGAGGATCGGGATCGCATTGCATTCAACGAGCGACGATTTGTTCTTTTCGTTGCCGTCGATCAACACCGCAATCGCGTTCACGGCCATTTTCTGGACTGCCACGTCATTGTGCACCGCAAGCGGCAAGAGCCGCTCAAAAACCAAGTTGGCGCCAAAGATGATCTGGTTGCCGCCGTGCGCGCCGAGTTTCGTGATGGCAAAGCAGACATTTTCGAGGACGACCGGATCCTTGGCGTTGAGTCTAGCTCAGGCTTAGATTTTTGCTGTCATGATGGGTAAAATTTCGCAAATTTCGAAACATTTCGAAACAATTCAAAACATTTCGAAAATTTGCGAAAAATCAAACATCAAATGACATACCGTTCGGCAAGCGCGGGTAAAAGACCATGAAAGGAGCCCATGAGGATGCGGTGCTCGTCGCTGCCCGTCGCGAGGTGGGCCATCGACAACGCGCTGAACCGATGCAATTGTGCTACGTCCGACTGCAGCGCGCGAAGACACGCGCGAAGGAAGGGCGGGTCCCGCGCCAGGCTCCGCCGATTCTCGGCATGCGACGTCAAATTCGCCAGCACACGGAGGCCTTGCACAGCGATGGGCTCTGTCAATGACGACGGCGCGTCGAAGAAGACGTCCGTGAGCGCCACCACCGGCATCTCGAGGGTTTGCAATAGCCGCTGGTTGCGCGGCGACTCGTACGTGGCGTTGGCCAAGACCGCGAGAACCAGCGCCGATGTTTCGAGCGCGGCAGCATGGGCGACGTCGGGCCGCGACAGCATTTTGGTGAGCTGGATGGACTGCGGGAGGTCAAAGAGCTCCTGTTTGTTTGTCTTGGACGCCGGTGACGCCGTGCCCACAAACGTCCCGAGCGCGTGCAGTGCATCCCGCTGCACGCGCGAGGCAAGCGACTCCATGCACACGAGATTGAGCAAAATGTTGAGGGCGTCCATGCGGGCCATGTCGGCTTTCACACCGTCGCAGCGGCACGCGAGCTTGGCAATGACTTGGCAGGCCAGCGACCGCACCATGTTGTCGGGGACTTGGAGCGTCTGCACAATATTGCCCACAAGCGGACTCTTGCCAACGAGCAGCTGCGCCCGCGGTGCGTCCAAAAGATGCAGCACGATCGTAAGACACGTCGTGAGAAGCTCGAGGTGCGCCATCTCGGGCGGGTCCAGGAGCACCAACACCGCTGCGACAATGGGCTCAATGAGGATGTGATCGCGCGTCGCGTCGTCGGCGCTGCAGAGCGTAGCAAGCGCCGTGAGCGCAGCAAGCTTCAGAGCCGATACCTCTGTGGGCGACGGTGTCAGGACAAGTGCCATGGTATGGTCGACGAGGCCCGCACGCAGTACGATATGCTGCGACGCGGCGTCAACGCACACGTGCGCGACAAAGTGCAGTGCGTCGAGTTTGTTTTGAAGCAGCCGCGGCGGCGGCAGCACGGGAATCTCGGGCAACGAGAGAAAGAGATCTTGGATGAGCAAAAGCACCGACGGCGAGAGCACGGACGGGCGGTAGATGGGGGTCTTGCCCATCTCTGTGAGCGTCCGCATCGCGTGGTGCCCGACCACGTCGAGAGGATGCCGGACGAGGCCTTCGAGGATCGCCATGCCCGACCGGAGGAGCTCGCCTTGGATCTCATGCGACGCGGAGGCACGGTAGAGCGTCCGACTCGCATCGCGAAGGTGCTTGGGCTGCGTCTGCACGGAAAAGAGGCGCAAGACACGGGCCACCGCCAACGGCGCTTGGCTGCCAAAGTAGAGTAGCGGGCTCGGCAGCACGAGTAGATTGCCCCACGCATGCGAGGCAGCGAACGCCACGTCGTGGGATGGCGACTCGAGCAGCAAAAGCAGCTGCGCGCACGCGCTTTGGAGCGGGAGGTAGTCGCCGTTGCCGCTGCGAACGAGCCGCCCGACGACGAGGCCGGCCTTGTACTGAATCTCTTCCTTGTGCACAAAAAGTAGATTGGTGACCCGGTGCGCGTCACCGGCCAAGAGCGTCGCCAGCGTCGTCTCAGCGAGGACGCACTTTGGCTCGGAGAGCACCTCGAGCACGCGGATCGTTGCCGCCAACACGAAGACGTCGTGCACGTGCGCGCAGAGCTCCAAACACGCTCGCAGCATCGCCGCAATGCGCTCAGGTGCCAAGCCGGATGCGTCGCGATAGTAGGCCAGTGCCAAGTGGAGCCAAATCGCGAGGACGGCCACGAGGTACTTGGACGCAGTCGTTGGCGTGAGCAGCGGCAGTACAATCTCCGTGCCGCCATGACTCACAAACAGGTCGCAGAACGGTCGCGGCGAGGCGGCGAGGTCGGGCGCCGTGCATATTTGCACGTGCAAGAGCAGCTCGAGAAGTAGATCGTTGTCGGCAGCGTGCATGTACAGCAGCATGCGCTGCACTGTCGCTGGCGCGCCCCATGCCGTTTTGTTTTGCGCATAGCCAGAGAGCGCCAACACCGACTGGATCTCGAACGCCGAGGCGGGCGGCATTTCCGAGAGGCGAGGCGACGTGGGTGGTGCGAGGATCGTCGCAAGTAGCACATCCAGTGCGCCCATCGAATGCACGAGCTGCGTCATCTCGGTTTGCCACGCTGTAGGTCGCACTCGGCCGCCAAGCACGAGCTCGAGCTGGTACGGCTGCAAGAACCGGTGGAGCGCCATGGCCGAGGACGTCGCGACGCGCGTATCTTTGGCCGAGAGGAGTTTGGTTAATGTCACGTGCACGTCGAGCTTGACAAAGGCGTGGACGCTCTCGGGGGACTCGCGACTGAGCGCGGCAACCGCAATGGACGCGGCGCAAAGCACGTCGTTGGAGCCGCCGATGAGCAAGCTGGCGAGAATTGCAAACAAGTTGGGGCTCAGCCGGTCGCGCAAGGCGACTTGGAAACGCTGGCACGCGGGGACGCGCCAACTGAGACCAGTGATAAACATGCACACGAGGCTTGCGAGCCGGGACCGCTTGAGCGCGCCACGTAAGATTTCCATGACGTGGCAGATCGCCGTGACCGAGTCGTCCAGCGGAAAGGCGTCAGCAACGTGCGTGGCTAAAATCGAGAGCGCATACGTGGCTTGCAGAATAAGAGTCTTGTTCGAGTGCGGCAGCGTCGCCGAGACAAGGCACGTCAGTAGCAACGGGATCACACCGGCGGCGATCGCGGCCTCCCGCGCCGGCGCTACATCACAGCTTCGATCGTGGCGTTCGAATCAGGTCTGTACCGCAAAGGAAGAGCTCCGAGAGACTCGCAAGCGCATGGAACGCAATAGACGCGTGCGAGTTGGAGACCAGCACCACGAGCATGCCGACAACGGGCGTATTCGCAAGCTCATGCTTGAGCTCATCTACCATATTGCACTTTCGAGCAAGAATGATGGTGGATTGTCCGACCTTGCTTGAGCAACTCCAAGAGCGTCTGCAGCGCACTGGCCTTGCGCTCTTCAAGTACCGGCGTCGGCGTCGGTGCACTGCACGCATCCACGATTTGCTCGACGACATGGAGCTCGATCAGGTCAAGCGCCACGGGCCCTATGATGCGCGTGGGTCTACATGGCTTCAGGTCTAGTGCCTATACGATTGTCGTGGCAAAGCGCTGTAAGCACGTCAAACGCGGTGCGTTGCAGCGGCGCGTGCATTGCAAACTGCGCCGCGCTCCAATTGGCCTTGGCAGGTGGCAAGTGCGACAAGAGGCTCGGAATCGCGCGCGCGTCGAGCGCCATGTTCTGTCGCTTGGCCGAATCGATGATGCTGCTGAGCGCCGACATGGCCATCTCGGCGGTCCGCGCGTCGTTGTTGGTGATGAGCGCGCACAGCGGGTAGATCCAGTTCTCGTCCATGAGTTGCGGCATCGCGAGAAACGCAGCGCCGGGCGACTATGAAGTCTTCTAAATCGTTAACACGTGCGTCGAAATGTACCATGTCCGGTCCGAGCGGGGGCAGCGGCGGCGACTTGGTCGCGTCAGCGCTGCCGCTATGCCGTCAATGACGATGCGCTGTCATATAAAGAGGCAGTACCGAGTCTGCTTGACTGTGAGGCGCTGGCCCAAGAACCGAATCGGCTGGATCTGCGCCGCCTGGAGGTGCTTCCAGTACCCTGCCTCGGCTTCGGCACGCCAGAGGAAATGAGGAATGTCGATCGGCTGCGTCTGGAGCTCGTCCACGTCGTCCCAGGTGGTGGGCTGTGGCGCCTCGGGCGCGCCTTGCGCCGACGCGATCTGTCCCATGTGCCTGCCGCGACGACTCGCACGAGGTTCGTAGAAGGGCCGATGGTACCAACAACGGCTTGTGAAACCGGCACAGAAGATTAGTGGCGCTAATTCGTACCACAACTGTTGAAATGGGACGATTTAAGGTACGAATTCGTTGTTTCAAGGGACGATTTCATGCTTTTTGAAATGCTATACGTCCTGGCGCGTCGTTGGCGGAAGCAGAGCGAGGATCGATGCTTCGTACGTCGAACAGAGGTGGTCGAGGAGCATGTCGTTCGAGACGTTGATCCGATTAAAGTACGTGTCAACCGCCGTCACCGACAGCACGGTCGGCGTGACCCCACTCGCATCCTACCCACACATCTTGGCACCGAAGCAGATGACAGTGGCCAACCTTTTCGAGGACATAGACTTTGCCAGGAGGGTAGAGCGGCGCCGTCTGGAGCGCCGGGTCCTTCTCAAGAAGCGCTTCGAGACTGCCGTCGCTACACAAATCGGTTGAGTGCACACCCGTGGCGATGCGAATGTATGGATACGCTGCTTTGCTCAGCTCTAGAATGGAAGTTGTTTCCTTGCGAAGCTCGTCGCAGAAGCCATCGACGATATCAAACACTGTTCGCTCGAGGAAGGGCAGCAGTTTCTCCCTACCCACGGTGTAGCATCGCGGGTTCAATTCCCATCGTACGTACGTTGAGGCCTCCGGTGCCAGTGGCTTGGGCCGCGCGTCCCAAGTAAAGCTACACGACGCTACATGGGCGGGAGGACACGATCGATCTACCGTACCTCGCCGTGAGGGGGACGGCCAAGTTATCTTGTTGCAGCGTGGCCTTAATCTTGACCAAGAGCTCGTAGACTTGGTTGGACAAGGGCTCGAGCATCCCGTTCACTACAGAATAGGGTTTCAATCAAACGACGATCGAGGCGATACCGTACGGCCCGTGTTATCGCTCGCCCGGACGCGCGCCAGTTCTTGAAGAAGGAGTTCCAGCTGCGCAATCAGCTGCCGCTTCCTCTCCGGGTCGTGCAGAAACTTGAGGAGGCCTTCCATGGCCATGACCTTGACGTCGAGTCGGCTCCACTTGGTCATAATCTCTACGCAGCCAGGTCACGCAACGGCTGTGCGAAGGACCTGTCGACTACCCTTAGTCGTTGCGTTGTCGGGCTTGACAGCTAAAAAGTCGAGTTTTTGACGCAAGAGCACCATGTCGTGGCTGTTGAGTTTCGCTTTGAGCTGCGCGAGGGCTTGGAGTTGCGGCTTGTCGAGGCGGAGGAGCTGCTCCGTGCGCTGCACCTGCGCTTCGACCGTCGTCCACAGCTGCGTTAGCTCTATACATCGCGTTCCTTTAGCTTTGAGAGTGTGGACCAAGGGCGTTTACTGTCGCGGTGCTCTTTGAGGAAGTGTCCAACGTCGGCTTCGACCGTCGGCAGCGCGGGCTTGGCGAGCTTGACCCACTGCGTCGAGAGCTTGTCGATGATAGCCGACTTGTCGGTCGTGCTCGTTGCTTGTACCATGCTGGAGGCTGTCTGCTCGCGTCGGTGAGCCACTCGTGGTACGTAGTACGAATTAACACGGTAAAACGTACCGCCTTCATGTCATCGACGATCGCCATGGCCTCGCGGAGCTGCTTGAAGCTCTCGGACGCGACCGACTTTTGAGCTTCGATCTCGTCGGCCATCATGCTCTTGAGCGCCGCCGAAATGTCAAACGCAACCACCTAATAGAGGGTGTTTAGGACACCGCGACAAGCGAAAAGGGCGGTCGATACCTCTTCTTGGAGACGCACGAGGTTGTGGCTGTTGAGCCGTGGCACGCAGTCGTCGCCGCAGACAACGCTGACCACGCGGCCTTCGCACGCTTGGGCCAGCTCCATCGTCAAGCACGCGGGTGGCGCGAACGCAAGGCAGCGCAGCCGCGGCAGGACCGACGCCCATAACGTCGAGACAAGCGCCGCGGCGCCTGCGCCGAGGCTATGGCCCATGACGTGTACGTTGTAAGACGGGTATTCGGCTGCAATGTTGATCATGTCGTCGCGTAGCTTCCAGTCGAGCCAATGGGCAGCGTGCACGATACCGCGGTGTCCTGGCATTACAACGGTGGAGTAGTCAAGATACGAAGAGAACGTACCGTAGCCGGTCTGGAATGGCTCGTGGTCCATGCACATATCGGTGCAAAAGTCCTGGATGCTGGCGCTGCCACGGATGACGAGGACCACTTCGTGTCGGCCGTGGTCGACGTACAAGTAGTACTTGGGCGCAAAGACACCGCCGGGCTCCTGCTGGAGAATGTCGTCAGGTGCTATCGACAGCTTGCTCTCGCGCAGAAAGCCCTTGGTCGTGAACGCATACGAGGCGTCGCAGATGCGGATGTAGTACGGCAGCTCGTTCAGATACGGCGCGTTGATCGCTGCCTCGGCCAGCGAGAGGCGGACGGCATCCGCCCGATGAAGCTGGCTGCGCCGCACATGGTGGCGCGTCGAGTTGTGCGTTGAGAGCATTGTCAGCCGCATGAACCAGTCGGCCGATGTCCACTTGTTGAGCGACTTTGGCATCGTCTGGAGGCTCTCGGCCAGCGTGCGCAAGATGTCGAGGTTGCCGCGCTGGTCCGGGCTGAGCGACGAGGTGCGCCGAGGGCTAGCCACGCGGCCTGGCAGCGACAGGAGCGACCGCCATGGGCGGCGACCGGCGAGGTACCTGCGCATCGCGGTGTCGTGGCAGAAGTGGCTCCTCCAATCACAAGGCCGGAGACTGCATGGCTGGATTCTTTCTTATTCTTCCGGATAACGAGACACGTCTAGAAATCCGTGGGCTATTCAGACGCCACCTTGCGGTTGTGGCGTTGTCTTTTGCAGAGTCCATGTGCACAGTTGACCATGTCATTGGCTGCTACGGGTCGGAAGCAGCTCGAAAAAGAGAGATCATACGTGTTTTGGGCTTTGGGACGTGTGGATGACGATGTTGAACTGTTGGGTTTGGGCAAAAGGTTGCGTGGGTTTAGAAACAGAAAGTCGATACGCAATGACGTGGCGCTCTCGTCGAGCATTTACACGTCCACTTCATTGCCAATGGGCGTGCCTCTCCTGGTGCTAACCCCAACCCGATGGCCCTCAAATAAGGTTGAAATTCGGACTTTCCACTACTTAATTTAATCTGCGCCATGGCATCATCAGCACCTGCCGATGGCTCCTATGGCCGATGGCACCGGTACAAGGCAGCGACCGATGCCGTTCTCACGTGGCTCGAGCGTGCCGCGTCCAAAGCCTCCAAGAAGACGAAGAAGCAGAAGAAGCAGAAGAAGGTGCCCATGGACATGTGGACGACGGGCCAGATCTGGGCCGCCGCCGTCGCAGTCGCCGAGGCCGGCATCGCTGTGCCGCTCGATGTCTGGCGCAGCCTTGCGGTGAGCATCCGCCTGCGTTGGCAAGCGACCAAGAGCTTGCCGCACGACGACGGCCATCTGCACTTTCTCACGGTGCTCCGGGCGATGCAGGCCACGCTGACACCGGCCCGCCCATCGCCGCCGACCGCCGCCACCGACGGGCTCTCCAACACGTTCGAAGCACTGGCGCTGGACGACGACGACGATGCGATCGATGCTTGTATGCCAGCGTTTGATGTCGCTGCGTTTCTGCCGCCCGCCGCGCCGACGCCGCAAGAGACGGCCCTTGCGCAGCTCGAAGCCGACCAGTTCCGCGCCACGTGCTTTCTCCAGGACCTCGACGAGCTCTTGGACGAGGTCGACGCTGTCTGGACCGCGTTCGAAGCAGGCCATACGTCGCTTGTCGCTGCGACGATCGTCACCAACCACGTCGTCCACGTCGCCCAGTCGCTCGCGTCGGCGCTGACTCTCGAGCTCCCGTACCTCGACTCGATGGGCAAACTCGACGTGCTTGTTGACAACAATGACGCGCTACGGTCACTTGTGCTCCAACATAATGTAGACATCGGTACGGCCGTGGGGTCTTGCGAGTCTGGCCGCCACATCACGTTCCGCATCAACGCGTACGAGGACTTTACGATGGAGAAGCTCACGCAGTCCGCGTCGCCGCCCATGAAGGCGCTCCTAGAGCTGGTTGTTGGCAATACGACGCCGCGACGACTGGTGCAGACACGGCACGGCAGCGATCTCTGCAGCGTGCACTACGCGTTCGCCTACCAAAACGACTTGAAAGACAACGTCGCGCTCGATCGAACCTCGATGCGTTCGATGGCGCATGCATTTGTCGTCAAGGTCGAGCCTCAGGTGCAGGCTGTCATTCGCACGGGTGTGCTCTCGCTTCTGTCCGAGTCGGCGGCCTTGAATCCGATGTGGCTGCTCTTGCAACAGCACAGCCTCAGGCGTCCGAGCCGCCTCGCCGCCGACGTTGACATGGCGCTCGTCGTTGCGACGCATTGCCTTTTGAAAGCCATGATGCTGGTCGACGACGCCTCGCTCGCATCCTTGGTGACGCAGGCGCTCAAGCAGCAGTACAAGTCGGCCCTTGTGCGCAGCCAGAAGAACGAGACTTGCGGGGCGCCTTTGCTCGAGAACCTCCTCGTATGGTTCAGTGCGATGGTGCGCGTGGTGAACGCGGTCGGCATCTTTCCATCGGACGCAGAGCGCGATCTGTGCTGGCTCAACCCGTACATGGCCGGCCACTTCCTCCTCACCTCGTCGACGGTCTTCAATGGCCACGTCGCGATCTTGCTCCTCAACGACGTGGGCCAAGGCCGGCTCGTGCTCCATCTGTACAACGCACTGCGTATCCAGAATCGGATTGCGCCCGTGATTGAGCTCGATATGCTGCTCGACTTGCTTGGCATGGACAAGCAGGCGTTCCCGACGGGCATCCCGACGACGCCAGGGACCTTCCTCGCCGCGTACGAGCTCTCGAGCGGCTTGGCCTTGAACGCTGTGACCAAGGCCTCGCGCGCGCCACCCGACCGTGTGCTTGAGACGCTGCGAGCGAACGCAGCCCACCGTGAGAAGCAAGATCGGCGCAGCAATCTCCAGAAGGCTCTCGGACGATCCATCACGCCCAATCGCAAAGTCATGGGCTCGACCTTCTCGGACCTGAGTCGCGCGTACCAGTACGCCACCTCCATGCAGCCGCTGCCTGTGCGCGAGGGCGGGACGCTGCCCGATCTTCGCGAACTCTGGCGTGTGGCCGACGACGAGTGGCGCCGGTTTATCCAGCTGGATTTGATGGCGATGAGCACCATCTTGACCGACGTGGCCAAAGATATCGCGGCCAAAGCGACACCGCTCATGGCCAAGATGCCCGAAGTCGACCTCGACACCATGACTCAGCGCTTCTTTCATTCGGGCCGAGTGCTCCTCACGAATTGCGATCTCGGCAACCTCGACTGGGCGTTGATGCGGAACGCTGCGAGCATCATTGCCGCGTCGAGTTCCAAGCTGCAGGAAGCCTATATTGTGCCCCGCTCGTCGTAATAACACTCGTCCTAGTGTCCGTTTACAGCTCTGTTGTCGTGATGTGTCATTGGACTCTAGCTGTTAGCACGTACGAAGTGTACGCTGGTTTTTGTGAGCACAGACATCCCATTTGCCTCGAATGACATGGACGAGTCTGCCACAAAACAAGCCCATGACCACGAACGCGGCCCCAGAGAACGAGTGCGTTGCTAGCTACCTCGGACTCTCGCTGACCAACTTGAGCTGCTCTGTCCTGCTCGAATCGGAAGCATAGGTCCGACAGACGAGGAGACCCTTGCGGTATCAGCAAGCCAGGCTCGCGAGACGACCGCATGACAAAGAAGACACGCATGTACAGTGCGCCCACGCTTGTTGAGGGACGCGAGCGGTCCGCGAACGACGCAGAGACCCCAGTCTCAAATTGGCAATCGACCGATTTGTATCGGGTCCCGCCATCTGTTGTCACTGGCACCAGCACCGCATCCCAACGTTGCAATCTGTGTCCCTCTAGAAGCACGTCGAACGCCGAGTGCAGCACCCTTGTATGCTTTGTCAGCACGATTGCAGTACGAGAAGCATCGATCGCAGCGCGCCATCGGTCGCGAAGGGGCCGTGGTTGCTTGCAACGGCAAGTTGAAGTTGGCACGTGAGATGACGCAATCAGCGTCTTGGATCGGGATGATTGCAAACCGATTGGTCGAAATCGGTCATCTTGAACTGGCAATTGGCGCCAAGACTGGGTACCTGTCCATGGGGCGTTTACAAATGTGTCGCTTGCGTTTCTCTAGCTCGACCTACTCTCGGTATCTACGGCGTCGATTGATGCCATCATGACTCACTTTGCAACTTGCTCGCAACCACATCAATCATCCGCATCATGAGCGCCACGCCGACGACCGCCCCCAAGATGAAGCTCGTGGGCTACCAGAACTTTGTGCGCCACAACCCCAAGACGGACAAGTTCCCGATGCACAAGTTCCACCACGTCGAGTTCTACTGCCAAGACGCGACCAATGTCTCCAAGCGCTTCGGCTGGGGCGCCGGCTTCAAGTGCGTCGCCAAGTCGGACCAGTCGACCGGCAACCACAGCTACGCCAGTTATGTCATGCAGTCGGGTGAGCTCCAGCTCGTCATCACGGCGCCTTACTCGCGCATGAACCGCAAGCCCGACGCGATCCCGCCGCACCAGGGCTTCGACATGGACTTTGCTCACGAGTTCAACAACAAGCACGGTCTTGCGGTGCGTGCGATGGCTGTCTCGGTCGACGACGCCGCCCAGGCCTACGACATCTCGGTCAAGAACGGGGCTGTCGGCGTCTGCTCGCCCAAGACGACCAAGGACGCTACCACAGGTCAAACCATGGTCATCTCGGAGGTCAAGCTCTACGGCGATGTCGTCCTCCGCTACGTGAGCGGCAACTACAAGGGCCGCTACATGCCCGGCTACGAGAACGTCGAAGGCCCGGACGTCTCGATCGGTATTGAGCGCCTCGACCACGCCGTCGGCAACCTCCCCAAGCTCATTGAGGCCATGGAGTACGTGTGCGGCTTCACTGGCTGGCACGAGTACGCCGAGTTCACGTCGGACGACGTCGGCACGGTGGACAGCGGCCTCAACTCGATGGTGCTTGCCAACAATAGCGAGCTCATTTTATTGCCGATGAACGAACCCACGTTCGGCACGAAGCGCAAGAGCCAGATCCAAACCTTCCTCGAGCAGAACGAAGGCGCGGGCCTCCAGCACATGGCGCTCAAGACCAACGACATCTTCCACACGCTCGCCGAGATGCGCAAGCGCACGCACCTTGGTGGTTTTGACTTTATGCCCAAGCCGTCGGACGCGTATTACAAGAACCTCCCGGCCAAGATCGGCGACATCTTCACGGCCGACCAGTACAAGAAGATCGAGGAGCTCGGCTTGCTCGTGGACAAGGACGACCAGGGCATCCTCCTCCAGATCTTCACCAAGCCGCTCGGCGACCGCCCGACGTGCTTTTCGAAATCATTGAGCGCGTCGGCTGCATGGAGGAGCTCAACGGCCGCTTGGAGCAGGCGGCGGGTTGCGGCGGCTTTGGCAAGGGTAACTTCTCGGAGCTCTTCAAGTCGATCGAGGACTACGAGCGCACACTTAACGTCTAAATCGCTCGCCAAAAGAAACCAAGAAAACGCACCAATACTTCTGCACTTTGACCCAAGAGCCCAATGACTCCTATCGATGGGACGTATAACAATGATAAACACGTTCATTACACTAACGAATTGCACACGTGTACATTGGCGGTGTACACTTTTAAAGAGGCCTGCAGTTTGCTCTTCTACTGAGCCAAGGGCCCAGGCTCGCTCGATTTGGAAGTCCCGTGTCGCAGAAGAAGATGCTCGCACGATGAGCGGCAGCAACAGTCAAGAACACCTAAGGGGATCGGAGCGACCAAGACCCGGTCAGTGTAGCGACGGACCGTCCTTGAACTGGATGATCGGGATCAACATTAACACACGGACATACTAGTACACCCAACTCTAACGTTCAAAGGAGTGTCCATGGCGCCGGCCTAAAACCTCTTTTGACTGCGGCATATCGGTGTGGGCTGGCAGCGAAACTGCAGCGGGATCTCCGACCTTGGAGGAGCTATCAAGTGACAGCTCCTCAGATGTTATTGCTTGGTGCAACACATGTCCTTTGCGACAAAGCAATGTGGTGTCCATGCGTCCACGTCGGACAATTCGACTTGAAGCGTCATCTTGCCACTCCCCAATGGGAAGTTTGGGCAACTGGGGACTTCTCAGGAGCGACAACCCAGTGGAGACTTTCCATTCGCTCGAACGCTGAAATGCGAACGTAGGTTTTCACCGGCGTATCTGTTGGGTCTTCAGATTATGAGATGGACGCTCTACCAACATAGCCAAAGGAGCTTACATACACCGGCTTCTTTCTCTCCGTATGAGCTGGTATGACTCCCTCGCGTCTCTTGCGCGCCGCGCGCAACGCTTCTATGTTTGTTTAATCCGTAACATCCGAACAGACTCATTTTAACAACAACACTTTTATGTTCGTCGATATTATAAATATACGCGGTTGGTGAGCTATTCTAGGGCATGGTATTTCCGAAACCATTAGCTCCATCATTGCCTTTCGAGTCGCTCGGGTGTGCATGGGCTGCCTCCAGTCCAAGGTCGAGACGGCGCCCACGACGCCAGTTCGCGAGACGTACGAAGACGTCGGGTTGTCCCCATCGCAGAAGCGGCACAGCATCGTCAAGCCTGTCGAATCCTGGATCATGAACAAGTCCGAGTACGTCGCCAAGTCCAACATCGACAAGCGCATCATCGAGATCCTCCAAGGCCGCAAGAAGACCATGGTCGACAACAACACGTTCAACAAGTGCACCAACTTTGAGCGCGTCGCGCTCCAGTTTGGCAACGTCGAGATCGCCTTCATGTCGATCCGCGAGATGTACGAGCGCCACTGCGACGTATGGACCTCGATATGACAGATTGTACATTGTTTTATGCTTTTGTAGGCCAAGGCCATGACGCTTGACAACTTTTGCAAGGCCCTCGCGTCGTTCGGTGTCACAACCGACGAGAACGCGATTCGGGACATCTTCAACGAGTCGGACATCATCCGCGACAACGCACTCAACTTTAACGAGTTCGCTGTCTCGCTCGCCATCTGCTACCTCTTGGACATCATCCCGAACCTCTTCCACGCACGGGGCGCGGCGACGAGGACGATGCGGCCGACTACAAGGAGATCGAGCGCGATGACGCGCTCAAGATTTCCAAGGCGTTCGAGACGGTCGTGAACGCGTATTTGATGTTTGACCAGGACGCGAGCGGCATCATCAAGTGGGGCGAAATGAAAGAGGTACTGAGATCGAGCATCAAGAGGCCTATTGATAGGTGGTGTCTAGATTCTCAACAAGCCCGAGAGCTCGAAGCTCAAGTCCAACGCGGCGCACGCGAAATTCTTCAACGTCGAGCGATGGAAGGAGCTCGATTGGAACAAGGACGGGAGCATCAATTTTCAAGAGTTCTTTCTCGCGTTTCAAAAGTGGGTCGGAATCGACGAAGACGATGGATAGACCGCTGCGTATTTATAAGAAAACTCGTAGAACTGGTAGAATCTAGTGTGTGTTTGAGTCCATTCAAACACGTTGTTTGCACTGCAAATCCCAACTCGGTGATCCCAACTCGTTGGCGTAGAGTAAAGAGGCTTCAATGAGACCCACCGCAGTCGAATGGAATTGGACATGATTGTGTGAACCGTTTACATGTGTTGAAAACAAATGTCGATATGTTGATAGACCGATACAAAAATATTATACCAGTACTATAGCATGGGTGGGCTTTACGTGATTTACACGGAAGCTAAAGCGGCTTCTACTGAAGCTAGAGCCACGTTGGTGGACGCATTCACACGGACAGGTACGTACATTCGACGATGTTGTGGCAAGCGGTATACATCACTTTGTTTTCGTCGACATGCGCACTGCGGTGCGCTTGCAGCGGTGCGACCAGCGGCGGCATGGGCAGTGGCAGCGGCAGCGAACGGAGGAAGGCGGCAACGTCATGCATTGGACGAGGTCGCTTAAGTTGACGATTAAGCGCTGCGCGAGGTTACATGTACGTCGCGCGGCCATTCCCAAACGTAAATATCACCGGATGCCACGAGCATACTATCAGAAAAAAGATCCCGAGATCTAAAGTAACCAGCGACGACAAATCGCTAGTTCTCTCTCCTCGCTCAGTGAATCTGGATCGAGCCACACAACACGAGGTTGCGAGATAGACGCTGAAACATTGTTCGGCACCACCACGCCTACTCGCTCGGTTCTGCTACCTACGTGATGCTCTGCAGTGGTCATCAGAGGTAAACGATACGACCACCGACAGCGTAGTCGTTGAAGCCCCCCACCTCCCTATGCGATGCAACCTACCCTCGTCGCGAAAAAGCCGGTTTCGGGACTCTGATGTGCAATCAGTTGTTGCAACTATCTTTGGCTTGTCGTGGCAGGTGGAAAAGGCTTCGAAACTGCAGCCGCCGACGGATGCTCGCGCCCGACCGGCTAGCGGGGCGCAGCGCCATTGACGCCAAAGGTTCCTCTTGCTGTTATCGCTACTTGAACTCACGCGATCGCTCTAGATGTGGTCCGCGTCGCCCTCGAACCCCGGGGTATCATTGGCTTCATCCAGATTCCGTCTCTCGAGTCGCACGCGATGACGCTGGCTGAGGCGCGCACGATCATTGCCGCCACGATCGACCATGTACCCGACGACGTCCAGTTCCTCTATGGCGACGCGGGGCTACCCATCGGCCGCGCGCAGGAACCATACCACCACGTCGCGGACCACTACCCGTGCATCAAGCTCCGTCCCGCGCCATCGATCGCCAAGAAACTCAAGCCCACGACATGTAAGGACTCGACCAACGACATGCCTCTCGACGACACGCACGTAGATCAAATCTCGGTCACGCACGGACAGACAAAGAGTCTCTTTGTCTCGTGGATCCCAAGTACGTATACGTTCCAGCAGCTACGGCGGGACGCGGCGCGGTACTGGGACGTACCCCATGACGCCGCGACGCTGGTCGATCAGGACGGCTGCGCATGGCCCGACGAAGCCAGTATTGCGTCCACGCTGCTTGAAAACGATGTCTTGGCCGCCAAGACGCGCCTCGTTTTACGCCACAAGAAGCTATCGCACGGACCAACGATCGTCGCGAGTCGGCTTCGCGTGCCGACAAAGAACCTCGACGAGCGACTGTGGTACATCTTTACCTTTTACTGTGTGCACGGCGACGCGCTCGATGTCCTTGGCATGACGGCGTATCAATTCCACCGGTTTCTGCGCGACTGCCGGCTCTTCTCATCGGCCTTTACACCGGCCATGGGGGACGTCATCTACGCCTTTGAAGCCAAAGGCAAACTCGCAAAGCCACTCGCTGCTTCGCGGCGGGCGACCGCCAAGCTCGACTACGACGGGTTTCTCAATGCGCTGGCGACGATGGCGACGCGGCGCTATGCAAACGACGCGCTCCCGACCTTGCTCTCGACACACGTGTTGCCGCGGGCATCCTCGTGGCCACTGCATACGTGGCAGTTCCACACGTCGCTCTTGCAGCAAGACGACGTGGCTCGCTTTGTGCTCAAGTTCGAGCCCATGCTGCGCGATATTTTCGTGTTTTACACCAACCAGCCGTTTTCGGAAGCCGAGGTGGAGAGCACGATGGCGTTTAGCGACTATGTGCGCTTCGTGAACGATTTTCACATCACTGAACTCCTGCTCTCGACACACGAGTGCCCCGAGCTCTTCCTCGCGTCGTGCCAGTGCACGGGCCGACGCGATACGATGCACTTTGATGCGTTCCTCGATGTGCTCGGGCGCGCCGGCCTCGTCGGCTTGACACGCTACCGTCCTCTGCAGCCACTTCAGTGCGTCAAAGCTGTCTTTCACCATATGACGCGCGGCCTCAAGAGCTCGCGCGCGCTCGAGATCATTGCCAATCATGGTCCGAGCGCGCTGTACGCAGCCCGGTTTTACGCCGGCTGCGTCGCGTTCAGCCACAAGTTTCTCGACGTCTGGCGCATCGAAGGGTCACCCGACTACATCACGGGCGTGCTTCCGATTCTACCGGACAAAAGCACGCACGGACGCGACATGCTAGCGCAGATGATGGTGCATGCAGAAGCCGCCCCCGTCGCGCCCCTTCCACCCCCGGGTCGCCCCCACGGCGGTGCGGCCACCTTCGGCGCCTGCTATGAAAACGATGACCCCGACGAAGGCCAAAACGCTTGTGACGCCTCGCGATCGACCACCGTTGGTGACTCCCCGAGACCGAGTACATAAACCTACGCCGTTCATGCTCCGGGGGCCTCGACTCTCGCGTCTGTCACTGGATGAGCACCGGTTGACGCTCACACAAGGCAACGTCTTTCGCAAATTCGGAACGTGGGGCCAGCCCCAGCGGCGCTACGTGTGGTGCTCGGACGAGAGCGATGCGCTGTCTTGGCGCAGCCTGAAGAGCAAGAAGGCCGAGGAGAGCCTCTCTCTATATGCGATCCAAGCCGTGCTCCCTGGCAACACGGAGACGACCAAGTACGCCTTCATGAAGCACCTCTCGGACGGTACGACATTGCGCATGTCAAATGATTGGGTCGAGAGCACTGTGTAGAGAAAACCTCCGGCGATGTTTCTCCATCATGACCAAGGATCGGCGACTCGACTTGGAAGCCGACTCGGACGCGATCTGTGACCGGTGGATACAGGCGCTCACGAGCTACCTCGAGAGCCAACGCGCATAAACGTACATCATGTAAAGATGAGTAGAGTCCCGTGTGTGTTGACGTTTTGTCGATTCGGAATTCTGTAGATAGTGTTGCTACTTGGTGTCCTCGGATGGCCACTTCTGACACACTCCGTTGACCGTGTAGTCATTGGTCCATTCAGTTCATGACACGGCGGCGTCGCTATACTTGCATCGATCAACACCGACACCACAACACGCGGCAAGATCGACCCGCTCCAAGCGGCATGAGCCTTCGCACCACTGTGCTAGCTCCTCTAGCGCGTCGTGCAATTAAGAATGGATCACAAGGACGCCAGAAGAAAGCCGAGCACCCATCCTTGTCAGCAATATCGGTACCAGTACACGCCGTCGCCTCCTTCCTTTTGGAGTGAAGTTGGTGTAACCACGCTGCTCGCAGAGTCCCCCTTTGCGACTGAGATTATCTCGCTTCACCCAGCAGTCGTGTTGCCACATCGCTAGGTTGTGGCGCGTCTTTCTACGCCGCGATGGTACCTTAGAGGTAGATTGTCCGTTCGCTGTGATGCAGGTATGAACGATGATCTTGGCAAGCGCTGTTGAGGCACACAGATCGCTCTCGTTGTGCTGGCACTGCCGTGACCGAGGGTTAGTCTTGATGTTAGATCAAGCTTTGCACCGTACCTTCTCGACGTCCACATTGCCAAGTGGGTAAGTGCACGCATCGCACTCCCTTGCGGTTGCACTGGTTCTGGCTCCTCTCGCGACAACCAAATATAGGACTGGAGCGATCCTCTTCCAATGAACCATTGACGCTCACGTCGTGATCCATGGACGCTTTTGTCGTCTTGATCTGGACACTCGTCTAGCATCCGATACGTTGACACGCGTCTGTATAGGTGTTTAGCGCGACAGCTTGGTCGCGACAGCTAAAATTTTGATTCAAAGTTACTCGGTCATGTCGTTTCTAGCATCTCTGCCACCAGTTGTGCCACCTTCGTTGCGGTATTTTACTTGCAACTGGCAGCGACAGGTGCGAACTGTGCCATCGTATATACAGCTCCTCGAGAAGCCATGCTTCGCGCGGACACAAGTCTCCTTGACAGCCACCATCGATCTCAAACGAGCACTACGAGAAGACTTTTCTTGAGCTCCCGGCTATTACCGTGCACTCGCAGACCATGGCAGCAATAAAGACGCCGTGGCGCGTAGTCCAGATATGATCGGATGCATCACGACGCCACATGCTTGGCGTCTTGTGTCGAGGAGAACAGGTACGATGGGGCCGACACCCCGTACACCGTCGTACATTCTAACCAATACAAACGCTTTGTTTCATCCTGCGTAGCGTGCCATCGTACAATGTCGTACCGTACGTACACACAAGGGCAATGTCGAGTGTCCATCTGAATAATGTCTGCTGTCTACGCCATCTGTGTCAACGGGATCTTTCAAAAATTGCTATCAGCCAGCGATCAGGAATCCCAGGTCTCAGTCCTGGTTACGCCACGATGGCCATGACCCGCTCCGTCGCCCTCCTGCTCGCGCTCACTGTCGTTCTCTGCGTCGGCACGCTCATGCTGCACGTCCACCTGAGCGGACTCGGCGTCGTCGTTCCCGTTCATTCGCACCACAACGCGACCACCACCCCATCGCGCTCGACGACACTGCCGTCGGCTCGCCTTGCCTATATGCTCTACGCCACCAACGACATCACGGCGTGCAACGCGCTCATTATGGCCAAGAACATTCGCCGGCTCGGGACGCCGGCCCATATCGACATTGTGGTGCTGGCCACGACCACGATCGCAAGCAGTACGCACGCCGCGCTCGCAGCCAACGGTCTAGTCGTCGTGCCCGTGGAGCCGTGGATGCAGCCGAACGCGCCCCACGACACGTGGTCGGCGTCACTCACCAAGCTGCGCATTTTCCAAGAGCGCGGCTACGACCGAGTTGTCTACCTCGACTCGGACTCGTGGCTCGAGCGCAATTTAGACCATTTGTTTGCGCTGTCCGAAGCGGTCTTCTGGGCGCCGCGCGCCTACTACCAGTCCAACCAGCCGTTTGTGGGCTCGACCTTGCTTGTCTTGACGCCGTCGAATGCACTCTTTGAGCAGCTCGAGGCCGGCATCGCGGCGCACCCAAACGACGAGTGGTACGACATGGACGCGCTCAATCTTGTCTGGAAGGACTTGTATGGCATGCTTCCGAGCCACTATGTCATTCTGAACGCGCATATCAACTCGAACGACACGTTTGGCTTTCAAAGCGCCGACGAGCGACGCGCGATGACGTACGTGCATCACTTTTCCGAAATGACCAATGGCCGGTACGGCAAGCCGTGGACGCGCGGCCGCGTCCGCGACGAGATCAACCCCGCGTGGCATCCGCATTTTTACGAACTCTTCGACTTGTACTGGGCCGCCCATGACAAATTCTGCACGTGGATGCGATAGTTGAAGAAGGAAATAGATAGGTAGACGCCTCGACGTGTAATGAATGGATTGTCGTCGGTAGGTGAGAACGAGTGACGTTGCCCATGGTGGAACCAGACTAATAGTCATGAAGCTGTTAACGAGCGCAAGTACGACTCAAGCAGGAGCTGGTGATATATAATGCTACAGATCGCTTGGTCGGCGTCAACGTCGTTCGTACGAAAGAGTGCTGGTCCTGCAGTCCTTTTGCTATACTTTACTCCGGTCATGCGACTCCTCCAATGCTCAGTGCTTGTCTGGATCGTACGTGATTGGTCGCGAGGGTTGATACATTGATACATTCACGCCGTATCAAGCCGACATTGCCCGTTCCCACGTTTGCACAGCGCTCGGAACCCCCAGCTCGTAGAGTCCTATAGAGCTCTTCGAGATGGGAGTGCACTAGGCAGAGCTGTCCAGAGAGGTCGGTCGTCGCGCTCAAACAATGCATGTCCTCTGTGTGTTTGAAGGGGTAGAAACTAGAAAAGATAACATTTGCATTTGAGGCTTACGCGAGGAGCGAGTCGGTCGCGATCGAGCCGTCAATCTCGACAAAGTCGTTGTAAAAGGCCGAGAACAACTCGATCGCGAGCTCCAAGTCGACCGTGCCGCACTGTTCGCGGATGCTGTGCATGCTAAACTGGGCGAGGCCCATGTCCACCGTGCGAATGCCCGTCGACGTCGCGAGGATCGGACCGATCGTCGAGCCGCAGCCGCAGTCCTGGCGCGAGACAAAGTCCTGAATGTCCAGGCCGTGGCGGCGACCGAGCTCCTTGATGAGCAGCGCGGTCTCACCCGACGTCGCGTAGCGCTCGTTGGCGTTGTACTTGATGACCGGGCCCGAGTGCATCTGGATGCGCGAGTTGACTTCGTGCTTCTCCGAGTAGTTGGGGTGCACGCCGTGGGCCATATCGGCCGAAATAAGCATCGACTTGCGAGCGACTTCGCCCGTGAGCGAGCCGCCCGAGACGCGCGTGATGATGCTCTGGAGAAAGTTGGAGCCGGCGCCCATGAGCGAGTTGGACCCCACTTCTTCATTGTCAAACGACGCGGCGACGCGGACGTTGGACTCGGTCTCGAGCGTCGGAAGCGACTTGAGCAGCGACTGGGTCGCGAGCCACGTGCAGCAGAGGTTGTCGAGGCGCGGCGCAAACACATATTCTTCGAGGAGGCCGCCGATCGCACCGCCCTGCGTGTCGAAGAGCGAGAGCTCGAAGTCAAAGATCTGGTCGACGTTCACATCGAGCTCCTTGGCGAGCAAGTCGAGGAGGATCGGGTGGTGCTTGGCGCCAATGTCGGCGTCCGTCTTGGGGCGCGTGAGCTCGGCCATGACCGACGTGGCGAGAACCGGGCGGAGGTGGTTCTCGTTGTTGAACGAGAACGCCTTGCGCGCCTCGGCGTCCTGGAGATGGATCGCGAGCATCGGGATGCGCATGATCGGGCGGTTGATGAGGACGAGGCGACCGGCAATCTGCGAGGTTTCGGCGTCCTTGACAAAGACGCGGCCGGCGACACCAAGATCGCGGTCAAACCACGTGTTCCAGAGGCCGCCGCCGTACGTCTCGACGCCGACCTGGAGGCTGCCCTGCGACTCGACCTTGGACACGGGCTTGATCTTCAAGCACGGGCTGTCGCTGTGCGCACCGACAATGTGGAAGCCGTTGCCCTTGGCGTAGTTGCCGCCCACCGCGAACGCGACGACGGCCGACTGGTTGCGCGTGACGTAGTACTTGCCGTTGGGCTGGATCGCGTCGTCCCAGTTCTCGTCTTCGCGGAGCTGCGAGAAGCCATGGGCCTTGAGCGACTGGACCGTCTCGTACACAGCGTGGAAGGCCGACGGCGCCTTGTCGATAAAGTTGATGAGCGCTATATACATGACATTAGTCAAGAACGAGGTGGGCGCGTCGGTATCGAACCTTGGCCCGTCTGCTTGGCCGTGGCCGAGAGCTTGGCGTTCGGGACAAGGGACATGGTGCGAGCGAAAGGCGTCAAATTGGAGATTGACGCCAAAGGCAACCTCGGAACCAATTTGCCTTTTCTTTTTGAAATTGCGTTCTTTTATTGCCCATAGCATACAAAGAGAAAGAGAAAAAGTGCGGCCGGGATTAAAAGACAGTAAAAGACAATAAAAGAAACCAAGGATGCGCCTCGCCCCAAGTCTGAGTTGAACTTTCTAGCGACGCCTGTTGATGATTGGCTCTTGCAGTCGACAGGCGTCTCGTATCTGAGAACAGATCCCACCAGAAGGCGCCGAAGGGTTTCCTTGGACGACTTGGCAGCCATGGTTATGCTTGCCGACGTTCCACGTCGTATAGAGCTATTGCAGCGCCAAGGGTCCATCCAATATTGTGTTGCGATCAAATTGGAATGAGCAAACCGAATGCAATTGCATACGTCGCGCGATGCCCGGGTACTTGCCTGTGACGTCGTTGCCGGGCACTTGGCTGTGACGTCGTTGGAGCTCGTCGTTGGGAGGACGCAAGAAAAACAACGCGTTGTTCCGGCTGCGAAGAGGCGGCGATGCGACGACGAGAGCAAAAAAATGCATGGTACCTGTCGGTTTGGGTATAAGAAGTGAGGTTTGGGTCCCTATCTGAATCCATGGCCGGTGAACACGATGATGCGCCAAGTCGGGTCGGCTCGAAGAGGTATCGTATTCGTTCAAAGTCCAACGAAACCTCTGGCTCGTTGCAAAGCAAGTGTGCTCGATGGTCAAGCACACAAGGGGTTCAAAAGCTGCCATGCGACAGAAGAGCAACTCATGGTCCCCACGGACTACAATACGAGTGCACCAAGTGAACGCTCTATCGCACCCAAGGGTGTGCACACCCTATCGACGTTGGCAGCCTCGTCGAAGATGGCGCATCGTACCCGAACACCGCTTGATGGCAGAGCAGCGACGCATGATCATGCTGGTATCGGACTACCCGTCGTCTTGGTTGAGACTATAATGCAAGCAAAAGGTGGGATCCTGTGTGCTAGCAGTAGGCTCGAGAGCTCAAGACGACGGCGGTTGTCAGGTGATGTACTCATCGCTGTCGTCGGGTTGCTCAAGAACTCTGAGGCCTTGTTGCTTTACGTAATAAATCCGCACGGCAGCTCGTGGCCTTGCTGTACCACACGATGGAGATCGCACAGACCCTCCTGCCATGATGCGAATCTTACGCGCCGTCTCCGATTGGCTGAATCTTTAGAATATAAGAATATGCGCCAATCGAAATCCGACAAGTGTGTGGCGGCGTGGCCCATTGGTCGACAGAAGCCACTGCTTGTACTCGAGTCAAAACGTGGCGGCGTCCTGCTCCAGAACGCGAATCGGATGCGCCGACGCCTTTCCAAAGTGACGCACACTGGCTGTGTGTCTGGACACCCGACGACTTTACTACATACGGTCTCCAAATCCAGCATGATACATACCACATCGCCATCGAGTACCGACCGCCCTGCTCGCAGACGATCTCTTCCCTCCAGGACCGTCATATTGGACGACGCGAGGCACGGCCCTGATGGAACATCAATGCCAACGCGCTCTAATTCGCGCTTCCAGGCGTATTGTACCGACACTTCGGTACGAGTCGATCGCACTCGTTGCAGGAGCAGGAGGCTCGTGATTCCGACTTGATCAATGTGTCGGAGCAAACATGTTGCTTTCGCGGCGTGCGTTGGGCGTGCGCCTTCACTTCGCTCTGCCGTCGAAAGAGCAGGCGAAGACGGCGCGTCATGGGCGTGTCAGTCCTGCACTTGATCAACCGTGCATTCGATTGCGTTCGTAGAGACTGTGCGGCATCATGCCCATCGAAATTAGGCTGCATACGGTGCATGGGTGCACGCAGCTAGGAGCACCTGAGCCCTGTCCCATGTGGCGTACAGTCTTTGTGGCGATGAAGGCCGTGGTAGCTGGCCGTGCTATGGCACCGAGACGCGTCGGCACCGAGGTTTGCAGCAGTAGTCATCAGCAGTAGTACAATGAGCCCCTGCAAAGAACGCCCATCAGCAACATGACACCCATGAAAACCCACTGTCGAATCTGGCAACAAGTCCAGGCCTTTCCAGCGCATTCCAAACTATGCAAAGCACTTGGAATGAACGTGGCATTTTGTACGCGTAGAAGGCGCTAGCAAGGCGGCGCTTAGACACGCGTCATGGTGCAGTGCACGTCGCGCTCCCGACACCGCGCCGTCACTCGTGGTTGGCTTGCAGTGATCTGGAGACTGCATAGGTGCTCGCTTTGTACCTAAAGCGCGGTCCCAACCCGACGGTAATCACTGAAAAGCCAGATCACCGCCGATCCACGCTTGTCACGCGAGCTGGCTACAGGTAGAGTGGTGTTGCGCTGAAGTGTTGAAGCTGGTCCGTCGTCGAACAAGTGCAAACTCAAAGTGCAATCTTAAACCTCAAAGCGCCGAACCCAGTACAGTGCAATTGCCTCTTCTAGCGGATATTGTGATGGACCTGAAGACACACAAGGGCATGTACAGCGCGGCCACGTGGCTGCGCGCAGTGGGACAGGCGCGCCGTGCCGCGTACGAACGCTCTCGCGTCTCAGACGCGCTAAGTTTGTAGACTGCATATTTTGTGCGAGACATCACGCCCGTGATATTGGCGGGCAGCTGGCGTGACGAGGTCAAATAATTGCCGCTCTTCCATCGCTACCTCTCACGCTATACCCTGCGTACGACAGTACCCTCTACACTAACCTCGGCACAGCCGCGTCATTTATCAGCTCGTCGTTGCCCTACGAACACGGCTGTGGTGCGTACCAACCCTCGCCCCGTGCAGTCCTTTCCAGCAAGCAACTGGTCGAGCGCGTGAAATGCATATTGGCGCCAGATTTTACGCACCGAGTTGGATGAAGTTGAAGCGGCCGTCGGGCCATTGGCCGCGTAATACAATATTTAATACTGTCATTTGTATGTGGAGAGCATGGATGCTATAATAATGGCGGGTGGCACCCGTTGCATCGGTGCCATTCGCCAGGACCAGCTGGCGCACCCGACCGTGGGCGTTGGATCACACAAGTGGCAACTCTGCATTTTGACACATGACGACCGAGTCGCCGCCGCCGCTCGCCGAGAAGCGCGGCACGTTCGAGTTCAAGTACAAGTCGGGGCCGTTCTCGTCATGGGCGCTCGTCTTCGCCAAGCTCGAGGTACCGCCATGCTTGTTTTCCTCCCATCTTATGGAGCATCTTATAGGGCCGATGGCTGGCCTTGTACAAGAAGGAGGATACCAACGTGCGGTCCGCGGCCATTGAGATCGGCGCCGGCGTCGCTTTCAAGAACCTCGCCGACCTCGAAAACTTTCCAAGGCGCTTTGACCTTGTGTGCTCGGGCGGCATTCTACCGACGCTCGAGTGGTCGTTGCGATTCTCTTCGAAGCGCGAGCGCGATAGCTGGGTCGCAGCGCTCTCGCACAACATTACAATACTCTCGAGGTTCGAGTCGGGGGCGTTTCCACGCTACCACGAATTCGAGGAGGCCCGGGACGCGCTGGAGGCACACGTGCCGCAGCTCAAGCGGCCGCTTTCGACCAAGGTTAGCAAGTCCAAGCCGATGCTGCACGCGCTTTCGTTCAGCGGCGAAGATGCCATGAAGACGCTCGTCGAGCTCGGGTACGCGGCGACGCTGATCGAGGGCCATCGGATTCTGGAGCGGCTTCTGGCGAAGAACCTGATCCACCACATTTTGTGGAGCCATGACTTTAGCCAGCACGAGCTCTACTGCTTTACGCACAACCAAAAGACGCACGTGGTCATTGACGCGTTCAACTCGCTTTTGGAAACCAACAAGTTTTGGATCAACTTTGCCGGCGGCCACGACCGGTCGGCGTCGTCGGCCACGTTCGCGTCGGGTCATACACGCGCACAGAGCATCCGGTCGACGCACTCGGGCGACGAAGCCCGCGCGACGATGCACTCAATGGTCTCTGGGCACTCGGACGAGCAGTCGTCGGTCGCGTCGTCGGTCGCGTCGTCGTTCTTAACGCGCGAGATTACGCTCCTGCCGCAGGCCGAGTGGACCAACCCGGACCCGATCAAGAAATGCGAGCGCTGCGACAAGGGCTTCTCGGCGCTCCGGCGCAAGCACCACTGCCGTGTCTGCGGCGGCGTCGTCTGTAGCACGTGCGGCGCGTACACGAACCTTCTCATCGGCGGTGGCATGGTCAACGTCCGCGTCTGTGGCGCCTGCCGCGACTCGCCGCGCCCGACCGACGCGAAGACCGCTTCGTTCACGTCGACGTGGATTCCGACGGCGTCGTCATCGTCGTCGATCTCGTCGTGCATCGACTGCGACGACCTCTGCGCACCGACGACGATCACAACGTACCCACTCGACTTTCATTGGGACCACCCGTGGCCGAAAGCCCCGGTCTGCGCGCACGAAGACCTGCGCCTCACTGCGCTTGCGGCCACGGGCGTCATCCACGCCCCCGCCGAAGCACTCTTTGACCACCTTTGCTCGATGGCAGCCACGGCCTCCAAGTGCGCGGTCGCCGTACTTGGGTTTCTCGATGCGGATGCACTGCATATCGTCAACGAGTATGGGCTGCCACCAACGCTGCCCCGGACGGTGCCCCGTGACGTCGCGTTCGCGGCTCATGCGATCATGTCGCCGAACCCGCTCATCTGCCGCGACGTGGCCACGGACCTTCGCTTCTGCCGCAACCACACAATGCGCGACGAGTGGGGCATTGGGTTCTACGCGTCGTGCCCGCTCGTCCTTGGCTCGGGCGACATCATCGGCGTCCTTGAAGTTTACGACGCCGAAGCGCGCGGCCGGTGCGCCTGCGTCGGCGACCGCCTCGACCGCGTCGCCAAGCTCATTGTGAAGCGACTCGAGGAGATGGCGCTGACACCGACGCAAGAAGCGATTGCGCCAGCGGCGCCCGCGCCGTCCACCATGGAGACCAAGCTCATGGAGCTTTTGCAGCAGACGACCGGCACGCAGCAGCAGCTGCAGCAACAGCAGGGTCAGATGGTCAACACACTCGGGAGCCACTCCAAGCAGATCGATATGCTCACGGAGCAGCTGCGACGGATCGAAGCGTCGCTTGATGCCAAGGCGGCGCGGAAAGCTGCCAGCGACGACGACACGCCGTCGTCCTAATGTTGTAGCCCATAAACAACACCGATTGTACGTTATTAGTAATTTACCTAGTCTGCCGCCTGGCAACTTCAATCAATGCATTGTGGGGCTGCCAAAGTGCAAATTCGACAGCGTTCGAATTTTCGGGTTTGTTTCGAAATATGACGTGGCAGCGCCCATGGCCGCATGTGCCTTCTGGACGCAAATTACGGATAAATCTACCGTTTTAACGTTAATAAAGACGGTAAGATTATCATTGCTGTAGGATACAGAGCAGGGATTCGACGATGCTCGAAGGGTACCTCCACGCGCTCCTCAAGAGCATCCTCGGGACGTACGTCGACCTCAACGAGGAGTCAGAGGCGCTCCGCGTCAGCGTCTGGGAAGGCCAGGTCGAGCTACGCGAGCTGCGCCTCAAGGTCGACGCGTTCGAGCCGCTGCTCCAAGGCCTCCCGTTCTCGGTTGCCTTTGGCTGCATTGGCTACTTTAAGCTCCAAGTCCCGCTCATCAACCTCGGTGGCCAACCGATCCAGGTGCATGTACAGGACGTGTACCTGCTCCTTCGGCCGCGCGTGACGAGCGCGCCGACGTCGACCGCGTCCGCGATGGCGTCGGCGACGACGCAAGCCGCCGCCAAAGCGTACATGCTGCAAGCCAAGCGCACGACGCTCCAGGCGCTCGAGCTCGAGCAGGAAAAGGAAGCGAAGGACGCAGCTTCGTCACCGGCGCAGTCGACGTTCATGTCCCGTCTCCTGACCAAACTCCTCGACAATGTCCAAATCCAGATCGAACGCATCCACGTTCGACTCGAAGACGCGGTTTCCGACCCGCGCGCGAGCTACGTCATCGGGCTCACGCTCGACGAGCTCGTCGTCAAGTCGGTCGACGCGTCGGGTGCCTACACGCTGCAGGTCCGCGACGTCGACGCGGCCACGTGCCTGCGCAAGGTGCTCGAAGTAAAAACTCGCCGTCTACTTGGCCAACGACTACGAAGCGGTAGGCTCTGGAGTCGAATCTCGTGCATCGACTCACATCTGGCAACTAGATCACGCACGACGACCAAGTGAGTCGGTTCGTCGCCCAGATGCAAAATTGCTTTTGGGACGAGAACACTGCCGCGGGCTGCTTGATCGAGCCCATGACCATGCGCATGTCACTGCTCATGAACGACCGAGGCGTCAACGTCCCGCTGCCGCCCAAGGCGTTCTCGCAGCGCGTGCTCCAGCGTCTTGGCATCGCATGGCTCGTCGAGACGCATGATGCGATCGGCGACGACGCATGGAGCGCCTTTGTCGCGAGCATGCCGCCTCGCGCGTACACGCTGACGTTTGTCTTTTGCGAAGCGTGGGCGCTCGCCCAAGACGCGCTCGACCTTGACGACGTGCCGACGCTCGACCAGCTGACAAGTTCGCTCCGAAGCTGTCTGCAATGGCCCCACGTCGATCCATTGCGCGAGAGCCTGCGCGCCTTCCACGCTGCGGCCGTCCGCGTCGTGCAAGAGAACAGCACGTTCTTGACGGTCGAGGTCGCGATCGATCGGGTCGCGTGGCGCCTTCACCAGGCGCAATACCACAGCCTCCTCGCGCTCATGTCGGCGGTCGCACTGCAGCGGCGACAGCAGCCGTACAAGGACCTGCGCCCGACCACGTCCGTGTCGGCGCACCCGGCGGCGTGGTGGCGATTTGCGATTGAAGCCGTGCGTCGGGACAACAAGGCGCGGCTCGCGACGGTCAACTGGAGCCATGTACACGCCAAGAACGTCCAGAAAGCGCGCTACAAGGAGCTGTACCTTCTTCTCAATGTACATGCCGATTGTGTGCTCGTGGTCTGTGCTGGACTCACCTTGTTCTAGGACGGGTCGACCGGGTCCAAGACCGCGGGTAACATTCATTGGGGCGAGGTCATGCGCGAGTTTGACGACCTCGAGTACGCCATGGACAATGTCGACATTTTGGGGTGTCGGTCCGATGCGAAAAAGGCGATTGCAGCGGCGAAGAAGGCGCCGACGCCGCCACCGTCGGCAAGTGCGACGACGACCGACGTCTCCATGTGGAGCTATGGCTATTGGTTTGGCACGACGACGACGCCGAACCCGACACCAACGTCGCCGACCGCCAGCGTCCAGAGCGAGACGCAGTACCTCTACAACGCCATCAACTTTGACCCGACCACCGATGCGTCCATGACAACGACAGCTGCGTCGTCCATCGTCCAGTACCGCGTCAACATTGCATTGCGCGAATGCAGCTTTCAGCTCGGATCGCTTCTCGATCTGCACGTCTCGGGGATGGCCCTCCAGCTGCTCCAGCGCGCCAAGTCGACCGAAGTATCGCTGGAGCTCCTCACGTTTGTCTTGACCGAAGTCTCGGACGATGCATCGAATCGGTGTTGCATTGCGCGGGTGCCCATGGAGACGGTGCTCACGCTGCCGGAAGCCGCGGCGATGAGCAGCGTCAAGCTCCGGCACTGCGAAGCGCCGCTGCCGTTGCTGAGCGCCAAGATCGAGCTGCCGCCGCTCGATGACGCGGTCGCCGACGTCCGCCTCACGCTCGTGACGCAGCCCGTCGACGCGCGTCTCAGCGTGCCGTTCGTACTGGCGACGGCGGCGTTCTTGCAGCCGCCAGCGACCGTCGACTTGCATGAGCTCGACGATGCCGCGTGGGCCAATGCCAAGTCGTTTACACAGTACAGTGCCGCGCAACTGCGCCAAGCGATCGCGGCGCGCACCAAGCTCTCGCTGCAGGTGGACGTGACGTCACCGATCATTACGATTGTCGAGAGCATCCGTGATACGGCGCTGGACGACCCCGTGCGGCTGACGCTGTACTTTGGCCATCTCCAAGCACGCAGCCACGTGCAGGCGGCGCTTCCAAGTGGCGACCACGAGCGATCCTTGGAGGACTTTGTCGCTCGTCTTCCGGACGAGCAGCTCCACGACGTGATTGAAGTGCGCATCAACGGCGCCGATGTCCGGCTGGAAACGGACAAGCCGCTCCTCGAGCAAGCCAGCATCTTTTGCACGCTCAAGACAAGCGTCGTGCCCGACGACCTCACGATCCCGCTCATCAAGCTCCACGGCCACGTGGACCACGTGTGCATGCACTTGTCGTCGGTGAGCTACGCGCGCTTGCAGCAACTCGCAGCTTCGGTGCAGCGCAATCTTGCCCACGTTGCGCTGCCGACGCCCGACATGGCACCGGTGGCCGCCGCCGCGGCCTCAGCGGTCGCATCGACTCGCCCGAGCGCTCTGACGCAAGCCGTATCCGTCTCGGACTTTGAAAAGCTCATGCAGCGCGTCGTGGTCGACGGTGTCTTTACCGTTGACGTTGTCGACGTCCGGCTGTACGCTGACGCGCCGCTCGTGCGTCTGCACCTCGGCAACATGACGTCGCACATTGTACTCCGGTCGTTTGATCGCCGGCTCGAGTTTGGTCTTGGGTCCCTCTGCGTCGACGACTATGCGCGACCGTTGGCGCCAACCATGGTGTCGTCGTCGGCGGATGCGCAGTCGCTGATTCGCGTCGCACTGACCATGGTGTCACTCGACCGCCCGCTGCCCCCCGAGGCTGTTTCGCCTGACGTCTGGGCAACGGTTGCGTATCCGCAGGCGTGGGGCAGTGCACCGATCGCACTTTTGCAGCCAGCGCTTCAGTACCCCGTCTCGGTCGACGTCGCCCTTGACGGCGTCCACGTGCACGTGCACCGGGACACGCTTTCACGTCTCTTGCTCTTTTTTGCGGGACGTCCGCGCGACGACACGGACGATGTGCGCCTCGAAAGTCCCGTCGCCCATGTCGTCCTACCCGAGGCAGTAACATCATTGCCGGTCCTAGAGCGTCAAGTGTCGGCGCGGGCCATCCCACTGCCTCCATCACAAAGCAGCTATGGGATGCGATCGGACGACGACGACGACTCGGCGTCGTACCGAACCGCGTGCGCACAGACGGCCGTGGCATCCCCGACGTACCTCGAGACGCTCCGCGAACTCGTCGAGCCGGCCGTCCGCGACAACACGCCGTGGCTGCAAGTGCAGCTCCAGTTCAAGTCCTTCCAGCTGACGCTGCCGACCGAAGACGAAGAAGGGACTGTGGTCGCGGCCGTGGCCGTCGAAGGTCTTTACGTGTTTTTGACCAAGTCGCCGACGACTCTCGCGCTGGCGGCATCGCTGCGAACGGCCCGCATCGTCGACGGCGCAGGTCGGGAGATGTTTGGTGCCGACGTGGCTCGGTCCATGGAATCGGCCACGGCATCGATGCACCATGCGATCCATCGTCAGAGCGCCATGGTGACGATGGCGTACGATGCGTTCGGAACGGAAGCGTTTGAAGAGTCGTGGCACCCAGGGTACGCCTCTGGCATCTCGCTCTGCCTCCGGTCGCCACATGTTTGCTTTTTGTACCGGTTCCTTCTCGAACTCCAGAGCTACGCGACGACCGGGCCTCTTGTGGAGACATTGGCGCAGCTGGCGTCGGCCCCGACGTCACAAGATGCAGGTCTGTCCGTCGTGGACGCCCAAGACGACGATTCGGACGTGTCGGCGGTCTCGACGTTTCCGTCGATTCAGATTGAGGTTCATGACAGCGTCCTTGAAATGCCCCGCGATTCGTCGTCCAAGGATGCGATTACGCTTCGACTCGACGCACTACGCGTATCGAACGGACCGGCCGTGACGGACATGGACGGGCACTCGACGATGGACAAGGTGCTGCGCAACGCCCGCTTGACGACGCTCGCGATCGATGCCGCGGGTGTCCGCGTCGTGACGACGATTCACGACCAGTCGACGAGCTTGCTCGGAGGCACCCGCTTCGACCTCGTCGTCGACTTGGCCCACGGGACGTCGGTGACGATCCAGGCGACACCGATCCGGTTCGTGTGTTCGCAAGAGCAATACGCTTTTCTCTTGTCGGCGCCGTCGTCCAACGTCAACGAGGTGCCCAAGCAGCAGCGCGCGCCGACGTCGTCGTATCCGCGCGCCGCACCCGCGCCGCCCGCATCGTACCTATCGATCCGCGTCTCGATCCCCGAGCTCTCGATGGAGTTGTGCAACGGTGACAGTGGCTACCAGCCGACGTCGACGGGCGACCTCTCGATGGCAACGCTCGCGTCCGACGACGTGGCGTCGATGGCGCGTCTGCACCTGCGGGCGATCGAAGCGTCATTGATTTCACGGGACAGTGCTCTGAAGGCGAGTTTGCGTGTGCGCGAGGTCGTCGTCAGTGATTCGCGCCGGATCGACGCCGTCGCGCCGCCGTATCGGTCGCTCATTGCGCTTCGGCACACCGATGACGACGGAGACGCATTGGTCCTCACCGTGGCCCACGGCAACGACCGAGAGTCTCATCTCTTTGATCGGGTGGCGAGCCCCGAAGCGCGACCGGGCCCCGACGACGACGACGACGAGACGGCGTGGCGATTGGATGTGGGACTCTACGGCCTTTCCTTCTACCCGTCGCCGCTCTTGCGGCACCTGAGTCAGTTTTTTGTGCCTGTGGCGCCGCGTTCGAGTGCGGACGACGCGGACGAGACGCCCGTCACCGCCGACGTGCCAGGCAAGGCGAGCATGGATGGACCCTACCCCGCGGTGCGACTGCGCTTCACGTGCGCGGCCGCGTCGGTCGTTTTGGTCGAGAACCTCGCCCGCGACGACTCGCGGCTGCTTCGTCTGCAGTGGCATGCATCCTTGACGGTCTCCGTCGACACGATCCACGGTGTCCGCGTTGACGTCATGTTGTCTCAAGTGCAAGCCAGCTCCAAGCTGCTCGAGCTCGAAGCCGACGGCATTCTCAAGCCCATCACGATCCACGCCGGCGGAGCCTACATCGCACAGACGCTCGTGGGCCACGTCAGCATCGACCAAGTCATCGTCTTGCGCTGTGGGTACATGGATTATACGACGCTGTTCGCGGCGCTGGCTGCCCTTTCGCCGCCACCGCCACCGCCAACGGCTACGTCCACGCCGGTGCCCGAGGCAGCGCCGGTGACGCTGCCGTCGCACGTGACGTCGCCACCGGCGCCGCGGCGTCCCGTGCGCTATGGCGACGCCCGCATCAAGTTTGTGTTGTTTACGCCGCGCGGGTACTTTCAGTCGAAAGACGCCCTCGGATACTACTCGGGCCATTGGCGCAAGTACATCATGATGCCACCCGTGCCGTCCGGGTACGAGGCGTCGTTTGAAGAGATGACGTTCACACTCTTGCCGGCGCCGAGCAACGACGCCTCCGTCGGCGACACAATCCGGTTTGGCGATGCCGTCGTCCTTCAAGATCGCAACGGGACCTTTGTGGCCAAGTACGATGCGCTCGGCGCGTCCGGGTACCTCGGCCCCGAGGGCGGTGGCGGGCGCTTCGAGTGCCGCCTCTGGCAAGCCGGCACGACCATCTTCAACGCCGACCGCACCGCCGTGCATTATAGCGACAGCGTCGAGCTCGAAGGCGTCACACTGTACGACCCCAACCCGGCGCCCGTGCGACTCAAAGAGGCAGCGGCGCAGCGCGCCCATGCGACCCACGGTGGGTATCTTATGTTTAACGGTATGGGTGACGCGCCGGTCGTGTTTGCGCTGCACTCGCAGGACGACGACGACGACGACGGCGGCGTGGCGACCGATGACGTGGAGAGCGATGCGGCGCACCCGATCGACGGCCTCAGTGATCACTTCCGCGTCGTCTCGGCGCAGATCGCCGTGCCTGGCGTTCGCCTCACGGTGCTCAATGATATGAACAACATGCATCTCCCGCTGCTGCATGCCGAAGTTGTGCCGATTGCGATGACGCTCCAGACGCAGCGACGCCGCGCGTCGCTTTTCTTGCATCTCGGCATGAACCTTCAGGCGTACAACCGCCGCCTCGCCGTGTGGGAGCCGATTCTCGAAGAGTTTCCCGTGCATGTCGCCTATCACGCGCACGGCGGCGTTGTCTGCGACGTCTGCCTCTACGAAGACAGCGTGCTTGCGTGCCCGAGCACCCCCCAATGTGCGATTCCGACGGCAACGACCCACCTCTTTACCTCGATTGCACGGCGGGCGTTTGAGACCAAGCAACAAATCCAGCGCGACTTGCTCCAATGCGAGGCGTCGCGACCGGGCGACACGCTCTTGCTGACGGTGCCATCAGGCATCGCGCTCAACGTCTCGCGCAACAACCTGCACGTGCTCTTCCACGGGCTCGAGCTCTTCACGCAGCACCGGCGGCAGGACTCGGCGCGCGCCGAGACCTTTGGCTCCAACGTCTACGTCGACAACCAAAGCGGCGTCCCGCTAGCGTATGCGATGGTCGACACGGTCGTTTCGGAAAGCACGGAGAGTGGATCGCGCTTGCAGTGGACGCCCGTGCTGAGCGGCAGCTGCGTGCCCACGAGCATGTTGGCACACGAAGCTCCCGCGGGTATCGTCATGGCGCCGATGCGCCGCCTGCTGTGGCTCAAGTACGACAAGAAGCCGATGCTGGTGCCGATTGAGCACGGGCACAAGAGCTGCTTTCAGTTCCACCCCGACCAGCCGCTCTTGGGCGAGACGGTCGCGGAGAAAGGCACGCTGATTTTACGCATTCGGTCGGCGGTGCAGCTGCGCAACCTGCTCGGGGTGCCCGTGGACGTGCACTATGACACGCCCAAGGCCCCGCCGTTTCTGCTGAGCGCCGGCGCGTCGACGTACGTACCTGTGCAGGCGCTCAAGGACGGCTACGTGACGCTGTGCCCGCGGCTCGACGACGGCCAATTGGACCCGTGCTTGCCGCTGGCGTGGCGCACGCTCGTGGCCGCGGCCAAGAAGGCGCCGCATGAGAAGGCCAAGATCGGACACATTGTCGATACGGTCACGTTCTTCTGGCGGGCGTACCCGTCGCACACATCGGGCGGTGTGCACTTGCCGCCGTACAATATGCTCGTCGTCGCCAGCAGCGCCGACTTGGATCGGAGTTTCTCGCTCCACGCGCCATTGAGTGTGGAGAATCTCTTGCCGTGGCCCGCCACGTATTATTTGCTGCACGTACGTCGTCGTCCTGCAATAATCCACACGTTCTAAATCGCTTAAAACTAGGAGTCCAAGGACGGCCGGCAAGAGATCGCGATGGGAGCCATTGACTCGGGCAGCTGCGCGTCCATGTGTGTGGTCGACATGCGGCAAGACGTCTCGATCGCACTGAGCCTCGCCGTGCCGAGCGTCGAGCTCCCGCGCTCCACCGATCTGGTGTGGATCTTTGGCCCCAAGTTGGCGAATCAGCGACAGTACGCAACCCTCGGTACCAACTGCGTCGTTGTGGTCGACCTCTGCGACCCTCTGCAGGTAGTACACCCTCTTCCATCCTTGTCTTCGCTAAACGCTATGGACTAGACGAGCGATCGGACGCCGCACCGAGACGGCCCCGTGGCCTGCCGCCTCTACGCAGAGTATTGGTTCATCGACCGGTCGGACCTCGGGCTCCACTTTGACACGCCATCAACGAGCCTTCTCCCGCAGCGGCTCGTGGCGCCGTCGCCGGACGAAGCATTTTTCGTCAAGAATCCACTTACAATGGCGTCGATGACGTCGGTCGTGAGCGCCAAGGTACTGGATGGGTCGGCGCAGTGGACATCAACGGCGATCGACCTCTCGGCCGTCGGAACGCGGGCGCCGCTGAGCTTGCACCGGACGCACATCGGCCTTAAGAACGTTGGCACGCGGCTCTCAAAGCACTTGTCGTCGCTCATGGGCATCGCCGAAGAGAAGCCCAAGGCCAGCGCCACGACCGAGTTTGCGCTCGGTGTTCGCCTCGACCAAGGCCCCGGTCGGTTCTCGCGGACGACCGTCGTCACCTTTACGCCTCGGTACCTCCTTGTCAACAAGTCGGTCGACGCCACGCTCGAGGTGACGCAAAGCGGGTCCCGTTCCGTGACGCGTCTCGCGCCCTGCGACCAAGCGTTCTTTCACTGGGAGAGCGACCACGACCAGAAAGTCCAAGTCCGGTGGCTGCCCACGGGCGGCGGGCGACCGACGATGTGGACGCATGCATTCGAGATGGCGGTCGTCGGCGACTTTATGCTCAAGATGCACGCGCCACCGCCGACGCACGACGTCTACACCGACTGCGGGGTTCACGACCACCCGACGGCGCACATGCTGCATGTCGCGATCCAGCTTCAGGAACCGATGCTTGTGGTCGTGCTCCACGCAGCCGTCGACTCGCACCCCGATGTCTCGTTGCCGATCCCGTACATTGTCCGCAACGACTGCACACGGTTCCGCGTGGTGTTGTGGCAAAAGCAGGACGCGTCCTCGCACGCCTACCAGAGCCTCGATGTGCTACCACCATTGACCTCGCTCGCGTACGTCCCCGACGTGCCACGCAACAACCCGACCGTGTGCCTCCAGCTGCAGAGCACGCTGCTCTCGTCGTCGCCGATGAAGGAGCTCGAGCTCGTGCCGCACGATGCGCTCGTCAACATCGAGGTGACCTTTGACAAGCCGCACCGACTGCCCGTCATCCAGGTCGGGAAGCGCCGGGTGTGGGTCGACATGCTTATGGACGGCACGACCAAGTCGATCGTCATCACGGATATGCTGCCTGGCACCTCGGAGGCCCACACGCACAAGCGGCAGTCGATGCTGTTGAAGGACTGGAAGCACATTCTCCGGCGCCTCGCGCAGACGGCGCAGGTGCTGGCACCTATACCAAGCAGTGTCGCATGGCCAGAGACGATCGACAGCGACCGCTACGCGCTGTGTCTCTATGTCCTCGAGGCACGGCGCCTTGGCAGCCTCCTTCCAACGACGCGCGAGACCTTCCGGCCGTTTGTCAAGATCCACTTGCACGGTCGCTCGAAAGAGGTGTTCCCGCAAAAGCAAGCGATCTCGCCGATTTGGCTGCCGCAAGAGACGGACCCGGTGCGCGGTGCCCTTCCTGCGGCTGCCCAGAGCGTGCTCCGCCTTGAAGTTCGCGACGCCGACGCCATCTTTGGGAGTACGCTCCTCGGGTATTGTGAGCTTGAACTCGGTCTTCTCTGTGACTCAAAGTGTCGTCCAACGACGCTGGACGTGTGGTGTCCACTGACGTCGAGCGTGACGGGCATGCCGTCATCCGCGTCCGTGCACCTTCTTTTGTCCCTCTCACCGTCGGAGGCATCGATGATCGAGGTCCACGAAGAGGTTCTAATCGCGACTCTTGTCCGCGCCGACGTTGCAATGGCACTGGGGTGCCGGGACCGGTTCCAGCTGGTGCTCGAGGCGGCGTCGCTGGATGTCGCCGACCTCGAGTCGAGCGCCGATGGCGACCGGCGCAGCCTCACGAGCTTTAGCACCGCGACAAGCACGGCAAGCGACGATACGCTTCTGGACGAGAAGAAGCAGCTCAGCGTGGTCGTCTTGCACGTCTCGTCGCCGCTGCCGTTGCAGTTGACGCACAACTACTACTGCGCAATCGAGTCGGACGTCTCGACACGGTGCACGACGCCAGTGTTGCCGAAAGACGACGCGGTGACGCCGACGCGGCGCGAGACGCCGGTGGTTCTCGACTTTCTCGGTGGCCATGCGCTCGGCCTCGACTTGGTGTACGCCGACGGCCACGTGCACATCCACGGCGTCGACTGCGACGGGCAGAGCGGTCTCTACTACAAGGACGGGCGCATCCGCATCGGCGACCGCGTCCAAGCCGTCAACCGCCACACGATTCTGAACCTCTCGAAAGATGCCGCGTTCGCTGCGATCGAAGCCGCGCGGAGCGACGCGGCGGTGTTTACATTGACGCTTGCGCCGACGACGACGCCGGACGACGCGCCGGTGGTCGACATCGAGTGGAACCGAAGGCTCATCTTTGCCGACGCCAAGGCGGATGGGTACCTCAAGGTGCGCTTCTACGAGCGGCTGCGCGAGAAGGACCACGGCGTCAGCGAAGAGAAGGAAGCGAGTGTCCTTCCGTTCTTGTATTTCTTTGGGGAAGATGCGATCCTGGACGACCTCGACCACAGCAAGCAGCATCGGCAGACCGACACGCTGATTGCGATTTGCTGGGTGCGCATCCCGGACGACGACGACGACTGGGTCCGCGTCGAGCACGCCCACGAGCGCATCTGCGCCTTGTACCAGTTTCTACCGACGTCGACTGCCGGTAGCGAGCTCCGTATCGTGGGCCACCTTCGCATCGCGCTCAAGTGGGAGCTGGTCAAGCCATTGGACGAGGTTGCGCCGTCGCTGTCGTTGTACGCCCAGATCGACGTCGGTCCGGTCTTTGTCTCGCTTGTCGACCTCAACGAAGAGGTGCTCTGCGCGTCGCTGACGGGGTCGCCCGACGTGCCGGGCATCCAAGTGAGCTACGGCGTTGTCTCGGACAATCGGCAAGTGATCAACGTCCGCCTCGACCACGTGCAGCTCGACAACCAACTCGTCGATACCAACTACCCCGTGACGCTCGCGCCGGTGCGACAAAGCGGCAGCGAGGCCATGCCCACGGTCCAGTTTATGGCCGTCGTCAACGTCCTGCCCGCGGTCATGCACTTCGAGTACATTTTTGCCCAGCTCCAGGTACACATATGACAATATGTTTCGGTATACGACAATAGTGTACATATGTGGTAGGAGCTCGAGATCAAGGTCGAGGACTTCCTGCTCGTTGCGATCGCGCGGGTCTTCTCCAACATTGACTGGAGCTTCCAGGCGCCGGCACTGGCTCCGCGCGCGTCGTCGGTCTATGCGCTGCTGTCGGCGCAGAACCTCGTCGCCGAGCTCCACATCACCGACTCGATGCTCGAGGAGAACAAGAAGGTCGTGCTTCGCTGGCTGCTGCTGTGTCCGATCCGGCTCAACGTGACGTTTTCCAGCACGACCGACCAGCCGCTGACGCACTCGATCGTATGTACATTCTACACTCGAGAGTGGATTGGATACTACAGTGTGGATAGCTCTCGCCGCAAATGAGTCCGCTTCTGCGCAACATCATTGGGGCAGCGACAGCGCTCGTGACAAATCTAGACCGCGCCCCGATCGAGATTCCAGAATTCTACATTGAGAGCGTGTTTGAAACCAAGTATGCGCTCGGCTTCTACGTCATGCAGCACTACTTGCACTATGGCCTGCGGTCCTGGTACAAGGTACATCGTTCGATCTTGATATGTTGATACATTGATGGTTTTCATGCAGATTGTCGGGTCGGTCGACGTGCTCGGCAACCCGATCGGGCTCGTGAGCACACTCGGCACAGGCGTCCGCGACTTCTTCTTCACGCCGGCGCAGATGCTCCTCGAAGACGAGTCGGGCTTGCGCATTGAGAACCTCCGGACGGGCATGACCAAGGCACGTTGCTTGCGTCTTGATACAAACTTGATACTCGCGGTAGGGCTCCAAGAGCCTCTTGCGCAACACGGCCGTTGGGATCTTCCACACGACGGGCAAGATCACCGAGACGCTCGGAAAAGGCATTGCGATGTTGGCGATGGACAACGAGTACAACACCCAACGCCAGCAACGTGCTCTCAAACAAGTACCGTCTCTGGTTCCGACCGGTTCCAACGCGGGCTAGGCAACCACGATTTCGCATCTGGGCGACGGCATTCTCGAAGGCGGCAAGGACCTCGCCGGTGGTATCTGGGAAGGCGTGCGCGGTGTCGTCGTCGAACCCGTGGTCGGTGCCGCCAACGACGGCGCCGGTGGCTTCATTGTCGGTCTTGGCAAGGTACCGACGCTTGGTACCGAGTCGATTCAAGGCTTGTCGTAGGGATTTGCGGGACTGCTTGTCAAGCCCACGGCTGGCGTCCTCGACTTGCTCACGAGTGTCTCGCACGGTGTTAAAGTCACGGCCGAGTCGATGGACGCCCGCCTCGAGCGCCGCGGGTCGAGTCGCGTTCGCCTCCCGCGCCGTTTTGGGTACCGTTTGCTCATGTTGCGATGGAAACGATGTTGTCGTTAGATCGGACGGTGTCCTTGTCGCCTACTCGGAGGTACATCGCATTGCACGAAGCATGTTGTCATGAGCTTCTATTCGTAGCGGGAAGCCAAGGGCAGTGCGCTCATGCTCCTCACGGGCCTCGAGGACGAGTACGTCTATCATGTCGAGTATGGCGACGAAGCCAACCGCGGTCTTGTGCTCCTTACCAACAAGCGCATCACGTGTCTCGCGAAAGGTCACCCGCTCTGGGAGCTCGCGCTCGACTCGACCTTGGTCGTTGAGGCCGTCGACCAGACGCTGCGCGTGACCGCTGCCAAGAAGCTCTACACGGTCCCGTGCCATGCGTCGCCGCGGCTCTTTCAAGTCGCTGTCGAGCATCTCCGCGGCAGCAGCGGACTCCAAGAGACACGCTACGTGCTCTTGAACTTGGAGAAGAAGGGCCGTAGCACCGAAGCGTCGGTGGACGGGAGTGCTGTGACGGACCCTGGCGCTGAAAAAGTGGTTTTGGAGCTTTCGGCCACGGACCTCCAAAGCCAGCCGATCCGATCGATCCGTGTCGAGCTCTGCCACATTGACAACAAGGACGCCCGCGCCCGTGTGCCCCACCGCCCTTCGATATCCTTTTTCCTGCGATTTTTCGTATTCTTGAGATGTGAAAGGTGGCCTTGACACAACTGCTGTGTACGACGTGCTCGCGTCCTTCTCTGTCTTTCGGCTGCTCGTGCTTGGCGGTCCGTACCAGTGGACGGTCTTCCGGCGCTTTAGCGAATTTCGGTCGCCCATCATGATAGTTTGATACTTTTTAACCATTTTTTGTAGGGAACTCCACGAGACGCTGCAGCAGCTGGTCGATATGACCTCGTTGCCTCCGTTGCCGCCGCGCCACCTCTTCTTTTCTACCCGCGCATCCATCGTACTATTTTATGAATATTGGATGGCGTTTTAACGGCGCGGGCTAGGTCAAGGCGCGGCAGGACGCGCTGAGCGTCTACCTCCAAGCCGTCATCATGCACCCGCCGATCCTGCATGCCGCTGGTACGATTGTTGTTGCTCAAGTCATGAACGCTCGATGCTTGATCTAGAGATGCAGCTCTTTTTGACGCACGATGCCAGCGACGTGCACGTGGCCCACGTCGGTCTGCTGTAGCGAGGATCGAACCGTGGCACCCGTGCTTTATATACTGTCCTGCATGTGCAATCTCTCGCACCAATGAGCACGACGCGCCGTCAGATTGCAGGCACTCGCCTTGGAAGCGACGTCGTCATCGCAGCTGGAGAACGCTGGGACGGAAACGGGCCTCTTGCATCCTTTCGCTGGCGGCGGTAGCCAAGCCAGCTCCATTCCCAAGAACGTACAGTATTTCATGGCCAGCTCGCATGGCCTTGTTGTCAGCAGCCCCACAGAAATGCAGAAAAGCACTGGCATATCACCTGCTTCGGTCGGGCTGGACGTAGCAAGTGAATTCCTCCGCGTCGGAAGAAGTCAAGAAGGGAGCTTCATGGCAGGTTTCGCCACCTATCATGGCCCATCACTGCACCACCTTTTGTCACTCGGCGTGTAGCCCTTGGTGATGACGTTTTCCCCACACACACACTAGACCAGCGAGAGCCGACTTGCACACCCACAGCCAGCCGGTTAGCTAGACGGGTTAGCGCAGCCGGCTAACCCAGCCGGTTAGCCGAGCCTGCCCCTTGAGACACCCGCAGGCCCGTCGTCCTACGACAGCCTTGCGCCACCCAGCCGCAGGCCTGTCGCCCTCGGACAGCCTCGCGCCACCCAGCCGCAGGCCTGTCGCCCTCGGACAGCCTCGCGCCACCCAGCCGAGCCCCCCAATCAACGCGAGCCACCAATCTCGGCTCCTCAGCTCCGCTAATAAACACCGAGCCTGGTCAGCTCACTTCCTCTCCATTTTTGGCTTTCCGACCACTAGTGCTTTCTCGTTTCTTTTTCCATCTCAACTGAAGAGACGGCTGAGTAAGCGTCTCTGAATTTTGGCCGCCACAGCCGTGTTTTATTATTGATCGTGGCACATCGATGGCCTTTCTCACTTTACCTTATTTGGTATCATGCGGCGCTGGCTCCTGCTGCTGCCAACGGCGACTGCGCTCCTGACGCAGGACCCTGGCACGGCGATCGTGACGCAGACCGTGGGCGAAAACATGACGCTGACGCTAACCTGCCCGGACGCGACAACGGCAATCAACAAGATCCTCTTTGCGTCCTACGGGATGCCCAAAGGCGACGGTCTCGCCGCGTCGGTCGAGAGCTACTGCGACTCGCCCAAGTCCAAGCCCATCGTGCAGAGCTACTGTCTCCAGCAGCAAACGTGCAGTCTCTGGGCGGTCAACAGGTACGGCGTCTTGGCGACCATGTCGGAGAGCTCTGACGCTTGCCGTAGCTGGTTTACTGACGAATGCGTTGGCACTGGCAAGCACTTGACCGTCACGGCGCAGTGCGCAGCCGCCACGCAAACGCTCGTTCTCGACCCGGGCGCGGTTCTCGCCACTGCCAACGTGACAGAGAACAGCACGCTGTCCCTTTCCTGTCCCGACGCTTCCACGAGCATCAGCACGATCCTCTTTGCCTCCTATGGCTTGCCAAGTAACGTGGGACTCTACGCCGCCAAGGGCAAGTGCGACGCGGCGAACGCGACCCAGATCGTCGCTGCGGCCTGTCTCGGTAAGGCAGCGTGCAGCGTCAGCGCCGACAACAGGCACCTACTCGTATGCATCTATAGAGGCTCATGACGAAGTAGCGTGTTTGGCAACCCGTGCGCCAGCGTCCGCAAGCTTCTCACCGTCACGGCGCAGTGCACATCACCCAGCAAGAGCTCGTCGCGTAGGCTTGTTGCGAGACGCTAGTGCACTCACTCTATTGTATTGTAGCGACCGCGATCATTGTCGGTGTCGGCTGCGGCGTTGCCGTCCTCATTGCTGTCGTCGGTGGCTACGTCTTTTGCTCTCGGCGGCGCAAGGTGCCTGTCGAGACACGTCGTGATAGCCCTGTCTACCAAACGCTTGCAAGGACATCCAACCGGGGAGACCCCAAGCCGCGTACACGCAACAGCAGCTTCGCGACAGGGCCGACGGGGCCCACAAATGGGCCCAATGACACCAGCCAGCACCACAAGACGTACCCCGAGCCGTACATCAATCTCGACATACAAGCCCTTCTACACCACCGCCTTGTGCTCGAGGACCTCCGCGTGACGAGCAAGAAGCCATTGGCCTCCGGCGCGTACGGTGAAGTCTGGCTCGGTGTCTACGGCGGCAGGCAAGTCGCGATCAAGCGCCTCAAGCAAAAGGACCCGCGCTCCGTGCAAAAGTTCATCGATGAGATTGTTCTCATGTCCCAGTACGCGCTACCCAACTGTGTGCTATCTGGACAACTCTGCTGCGTAGACTCGATAGCGACTACGTCATCCATTTTGTCGGTGCCAGCTGGACCCGCCCGATCGAGATCGAGTGCGTCGTCGAGTACATGGACCTCGGCGATTTGAGATCGTACCTCATGACGGCGCGTCCTGGTGTCTTTACGTGGAGCCAAAAGTACGACGTCCTCATGCGCGTCATCCACGGCCTCGTGTACTTGCACACGTTCAAGGTCCCGATCATCCACCGCGACCTCAAGAGCCGCAACATCCTCCTGGACACAATTAAGGTTTGTTTTCAATTGTTGATTGCAATTCGTATCCCTAAGCCTATGGCGGGTAGGGCACCAAGCTCACGGACTTTGGTGCGTCGCGCGCCGCCGACGACACGATGACCAACGGCATTGGCACGTACCAGTGGATGGCGCCCGAGATCGTCGCGGGCACGAGCTACACGGCGGCGGCCGACATTTACTCGTTCGGGGTCGTCTTGTCGGAGCTGTGCACGCACAAGGTACCATACGCGGACCTGCGGCACCCAAAGACGGGCAACGCACTGCAGCAACACTACATCTTGCGCGAGGTCTGCGAAGGGCGGCTGCACCCGACTTTGGATGGTGTCGGCGTTCCAACGTGGGTGCCACAAGTGGCGACGCAATGTCTGCAGCTAAACGCAAACGACCGGCCGTCGGCGCTGCAGCTTTCGGCCATGCTGTCAAAGTTGCGCCAGAATATGGGCGAGCTGTAGCACAGGACGCCACGTCGCCGAAGTAGCGTATGTTTATCAAGTTGAAAGAAAAGCAATCCGTCTCGACGGTAGTCCAGATCGGAGCGCTGGTTGGTTTACAGCACTCGATATCATCGACAAAAACTCCACAGAACTCTGCTGAAGTAATTGGGAAAGAACTTGGGTGCTGGTTAGTGTTCAGCAATGCAAAGATGCTCAAAGCACTTCTGTCGCAGCGCTCATGCATCGGCACTTGCGAAACACTCGCCTGACAGGAGAGCGTGGTATCAATTGGTTCGCCGAGCCCAACGCGTCATCGACGACAACTTGTTCCACAGAGCATGGAGACTACGACTTGATGCAGAACGGGCAAGAATGCTCACTTGTGGATGAATTGTCCCGAGATGCCTCGCCGATTCGCTACGTGGTGAGGACGCATCGTTGGACGGCCTCTTGGTTGGAAACGGCAGTGATTACGGTGCCTGTCATAGTTATTCCCCGCTGCTGGTTGTTGGCATCACTCGCGTCCCGAACAATCTCGACGCGTGCAACCGTTGCGAGCTCTCGCCAAAAGACGTTCTTTTCATCGAGCGACCACACGTCGTTGGCCAAATCCAACGTTGTGAGGTGCTTGGCCGCGGCAGCAATGGCCGGTAGTAGCGAGAGGCACTGCTGGAGCGAGCATCGGTGCGACGCCAGCGCCAGCGACCGCAGCTGCGGCCAGCGAAGCACCGCGACCAGCCAGAGACCGAGTTCTGTGGCTGTGAACCGATGGCCATAAACACTCAGCTCTTCGAGGTTCCGACACAAGCTGACGGCGGCGAGAAAAGCTTCAACGGATGCACCTTGGAACGTGCTGTTGTACACGTGAGGTGCTGGAGGTGCGGAACGTGCTGCAAGCCCGAGACCAGCGCCGGCATCTCGCTCGACGTGACGTTGTGCAAGGTCAGCGATGTGAGCTGGGAAAGCACGCGGCGTACCCGCGTATCGGTGAGGAGTCGCACGGCGTTTTTCCATGCCAAGTGCCGCAGGGCCCGTGCATCTTGGATGGCGGCGACGAGGTTGTCGATGGCACTGCTGTCCGACGCACTCAGCTCTTCCCACTCGAACGACGTGACGGAGTTTGGCAAGGTGTAGCCGTGCAGCACGCTGCTTTCGAAAACATTGACGGTCCGCAAGTGCAGCGCTTGGAGCTGGTTGTTCTCGGCGATCGCGCGGCTGAGGGCCGACGGAAGCGCCGCGTTCGTGGCCAAAAACAGGTTCTCGAGCGAGAGATGCTGGACGCGGCGCGTCTCGAGCCACTTGAGCAGCTGGTGCGAAAAGGCAATGTCAAGCTCGACGGGATCTTCGCCGTTGGCCAGCGTCAAGTGCGTCAGTGTTGGGTGCTCGAGCACTTGGAGCAGAAGCGAGAGCCCATGCGTCGCATCATTGCGGTCGATCAGGTGGACTTCGAGCCGGCGCAGATGCGGCACCGAGAGCAGCAAACTGCGCATCTCCCGGACGTCGTCGATGTCTTCGAACGACGAGTAGAGCTTAAGGGCCGCCAGACACGGACCGTAGTCTTGAAGGACGTCGTCGAGGTCGGCCGCGTCGCCCAGCTGATACTCGATGTGGATCTGCGGCGACAACGGAAACGTCCCGTACAGATAGTCCATTGTTTGTTCGTCCAGATTGTCTTCTAATACATGAACGATTGGCCACGCGACGCGGAGCTGGCTCGTTGTGTGGCCAAGAAGCTGCCGAAGCGCTTGCAGCGGCAGCGTCAGGTGCTTCTCGGGCCATGCTGTGAGGAACGCACGGAGCGTCACATTGTCGCTGAGGTGCTCGAAAATGACTTCGAGGATCTCGGGCAGCAGCATCGGGCCGATTTGCAGCGCGGAAGAGACCTTGGGACGCACTTGGCGCTTGGGGCTCGCGAGCATGGAATCGCAGCGGCGCGTTCGCTTATCAAATCTAAAACGGTCCGTGTCGTCGTCCAAAAGACTAAAATGATTTCAGCGGTCGGACAATTTGCTGGCATAGTCGACTCGTGCAAAGATAACGATCGCCATCTCTTTATTTATTTCATGTAATACGGATGGGTCAGTCCGTACCCACGTCTCGACACCGCTGCAGGATGGTGCTTCCAGAGCGCTTGAAGCTGCAACACGATCCCTTTTCTTGATCCGTTGCAAAAGACATGTTGATGCGTCATGACAGAAACCGAGTCGCACTGGATGATGGGATACATTACCCTCGAAGGGGAGTGCGCGTGAGAGCTGGTGCGAGTCGTGAGCTGGAACGAGTCGTCACATGACCCACCAGCGCATCTGACGTGGCAGCACCACGGCTTGTATTCTTGATTTGCATTCTATTTTTAGATTGACCCGATGCCCCGCTTTGATGACGACGACGACGCAGACGCATGGAACGAAGTCGACCTGCGCAAGGTTGCCAAGCAAGAGATGCTCGACGCCGAGACGTCGATGTGCTTGCGCCTTACAAAGCTGCACCTTGTGCGCGTGCCGCGCTCACTGCAGTACCTGCCGCACCTGCAAATCATGGACTTGAGTCACAATGGTCTCACGCGGCTGCCCGGGCAATGGCTACGGCGGTCCTTCCCGACACTTCACACACTCCATGTGGGTAGCAACCAACTGCACGTTATGGACGATATACTCCACCTCTCTCGGCTGCACCACCTCCGCGACCTCGACATCTCTGCCAACCCGCTCCCGCTCGTCACCAATCGAGTCTACCTCCTCGAAGCTCTCTTTCAAGGTGTGCCCTTCGTGCGCTGTCGTAGGGCCCATATCAATGCTGTTAGCACCGACACCTCGGGACGCTACGTATGCGATCGAGATCGACTTGCAGGCGGCGTGCATCGTGCCGGACAAGACGCGGTGTCCTGCCGTCTATCGGGCGCGCACATTGGCGCCCGTGCCGAGACGAGAGGGCTTCCCAATGCTACAGATGCTTAACCAAGCACCCATCGTGCTGGAAGACGTCGCAGCAGTCGAGCGCGAGCTCGGACGAAAGCTGCGGTATCCTACTGCAACGTCGGCCAACGTCGCCGCGGCGTCCAAGCCGCCGACTCGCTTTCTGGAGATGCGCAAGACGGCCAAAGAATTGGTTCGTTTGCTGATTCAACGTTGTGGGACGCATCGGTGTAGGAGCGACGCAAAATGGGCTTTAAGACGCTGCCGGCCGTGCGGTCCGTGCCCCGTCTCCAGTACACTGTCGACGGGCTGCCAGAGCCAATCGCAGCCTACGATGACATGCACGATGTCAACCCAGACGGCGGCATGACCCGCGCTGGTAGGCATTTGCAGAGCGCAAACAGCGAGTGAACGACGACGTAGAGTGCGAGATGGCCCGACGCGACATCAAGCTGGGCATGGCGGTCACGGGTTCCGTCACGGGCAGCGATTTGCCGCCAGCGCACGAGCCCATTTCCGCAGCGGGGCACTGGAACCATAGTATTGCGTCCCTCGATGACCTTCAGAACGACCAGCGCTGCATCGTACGTGAGAAGAGCAAGTCGGACTCAACGCTGCAGGACGACCCGCTCGAGTCGGACGTTCTCCTTGACTCGATGGTGCAGGCCGAGCGCTCCCGGTACAGCACTGCCCCGTATCTCCGACTCATCACTGCTTCTAGCCGACTCACGCAGCGAACGCTCGATGTTTTAGCAAAGGATGACGAGGCGACCGATGCATCGGTGCACCGTTGAGGGGTGATATGGCTCGTCGATAGCCCCCTGTAGAATCCATTCCACACGAGTTGTGGCGACGCGTTGTTGGATCGACTCAACCACAACTACACACCAGCAATCGTAGCAGAGAAATTCAAGGTTGGCAACCACTGTCCTCGCGTATCCTGTGCACACACATGCAGGTCACGACAGCTTTTTGTAAAAAGACATTTGCCGTCGGCTCCAAGCTCGTGACACCCGGTAACCAAAACCATAGCTCGAGACGAAGAGATAGTTCATGGCACATTCTTAGATGTTCGCGACATCATCGAGCTCGAGCTTCAAGACACTCGGCGCCGCAACACGACGCTCTTAGCGACCACGGACCCTGTGCCACCGTCGCTCGTGGCCACGATGGACCTTTCCCTCAAGTAGTCTCTCCGCGTGCCACGTCATCATGGACCGGAAAACCGTTTCTAGTCGCTTGCGCGCACAGAACCGCATTGAAGGCGTCATCAACACCATCAACCCCAAGCACGAGAAGCGGCTCATCCAAGTATCCAACTCCATCAACTTCGTGCTAGCAGTGCATCATCATCAAGAGGCATCTAGGCACTCATTGATTCCGACCAACAAGTGGTCGACGAGCAGCTCCGCCGACAAAAGATCAAGGAGCACAAAGATCGCATGGAGGCCATCGCCCATCGCGGTCACCGCACGCGCCCCGCCAGCGCGACCCCCGCGCGCCATGTACAGTACCTCGTTCTGCATCGCCTTTTCCAGTTTTGCAAATCGGGAAGCGTAGGCGTCGTCGTGGCAGCAGCGCAACATCATCGCCATGACCATGAAGGCGAGCGGTCTCGTCCCTCGCAGCAGCGCCATCGCCGAGCCTAAGCGCCTCGCGTATCGGTCGATCGAGACGGTCGAGGCCGCGGCAGAAGACCACTTGCTCGGTGTCTCGTCCAAGGAGCTGCTGCTGCGCTGCGCCGAGATCCGCAAGCACGCGCGCGACTCGCTCAAAGAACTCGCCAAGGCCAAAACCGACTTTGTCGTGAGCGAATGCGACTATGAGAGCCGGCGGCGCGACCGGATCGAGCTCCTCAAGCGCAAGGTGCGCGCGTCGGCTTGCGATGGCACCGAGATTATGATTGGCGATCAAGAGTTTATCTATGCAAGCTTTTAAGAAGATCTATCTATCTATCTATCTATCTATCTATCTATCTATCTATCTATCTATCTATCTATCTATCTATCTATCTATCTATCTATCTATCTTTCTATCTATCTATCTATCTATCTATCTATCTATCTATCTATCTATCTATCTATCTATCCAATAATTTTGACACCAGGATAGCATTTGATACTCTCCTCAACGGGAGTCCGGTGGGCAAGCCACTCGCGCTATCAGCATCGAACGACTGCGTAGTAGCATGAGCGTGGAGCTTCAGAAGATATTCGAATCGAAAGGCAGGTCGAGCAGGATGGGCTGGCTCCGATGGGAGGCTCCATCCATGGCGTCAGAGGTGCAATCGGCGCCGTGAAATCGCGCCATTTTGGAGTCGGTTACACACGCAGTCCCATGTTAACCGGTTTATTGAATGCTGTCGTGCAACCACGACAACGCATTGCAACCTCGCTCCTTGTCGCACGCCCGTTGTGGCACTCAGTAGCATCGCAATGATTCATTGCGATGCTTCTGAATAAAAGTTAACAGGATTGCGTCGCATCATCGTCGAGGAGTATATCGCAGTGTACGGGGTATAGCATCATGCATACGGCTGGCTCTGGTGGAAGCATCACCCCCTCTCCTACAGAGAGACTCATCCCTGTGCGAGAAGGTGCCACCTTTAAAGGCGTTTGGGTCTGTCGATGTTGGATCTGGGCGCGATGATACACCAACCCAGTCTTTACGGCAAGAAATATCTGGTGCACCGCCGACGCGTTGGCTCATGCCGCCAGCGACCTTAGTCTTTTGCTATATACAGCAAAAACATTAGCCGAAGACACCACGTTGGACGAAGCTCTACCGTGCCAACCGTGAGCAGAGTGTCCAGTTCGCTGCATGGCTGTCAAGGACATGTAGCCAGACCGGTTCCCAAACCGGTTAATGGCGCGAGACGTAGCTGCACCATGTGTAACACTGTTACAGCTGTGTAATATAATTCATCACTGTTCATGTTGTCCATTTAAATACCACGTTCGTTGTATGCCCATACAAACCCCAAGACCTGTGGTAGCGGCCAGAAGGGCAATCCCAGCTGGTTGCAATTGGCGCGAGCCTCTCGCACAGGTGTCATTTGTGCGAAATGCCACCGAGTAGTAAGCCGCACCAGAGCCTCCTCGACGCCATCGAGCGCGGCGACGCTGACGCCGTCCATAGCCTCTTGAAGGCCGCCGACATTGCCTCGTCGTCACCGGAAGCAAGCCGGTCGCTCATCGCCGCCGCCTGTCTCTCGCGCTCGTACTTGATCCTGACGTCACTCATTGACCACGGCGCCTTTGTCTTCCTCGCGTCGCTGCCCGAAGCGCGCAACCGCCACATCGTGTCGCAGTTCATGAACCTCGCCGTGCAAGGCGGCAACCTCAGCATCGTCGCGTGTCTTGGCCGGCTCACCGGCATCAACATGGCCGACTGCTACGAGACGCGAACGCTGCCGGACGGCCGAAAGGAGCTACTGACCCCGCTCCTCGTCGCGTCGATCCACGGTGACGTGGCCATGATCAACTATCTTCTCGAGGCCAACGTGGATGTGAACTATGGCGCAACCCGGGACGGCAACTCGCCGCTGTGCATGGCGACCGCTCATGGCCACCATGCGGCCGTGCAGATCCTGCTCGAGGCCGGCGCCAACCCAGAGCACCGCAACGGCAAGGGTGAGAGCGCCTATGACATGGCCCGCGCGTACGGCCACCTCAACATCCTCTGCCTTCTCGGCATGGACGACCAGCACGGCCACATGCACGTGAGCGGCCGCGCGATCGAGTCGACGATCCAGCGCATCCGGCGCTCCAAGGCGCACACGTCGTTCGCGGTCCGAGAGCGCGAAAAGGTCGACTTTAGCTCGCTGCACAAGAAGATATCGAGCCTGAAAGGTCGGATTTCAGGCCAGAACGGGCGGCTCTCGGCCGTGCACTCGTCGTCGTCGACGTCGAGCGACCCCACGGCCTCGACACCCTAGTCGATGCCATTAGCTTATTTATACACCACCACCTTTCTTCCTCGACCTTTGCTGTTGCCACTGCTTCGTGGTTGTGAGTCACGAGTGACGAGCGCCGACCTCGTTGCGCTGCTCACGCGCCGTCAAACGTGCAAGTACCTTGGCGCCACCATGTAATGGTCGATGTGGGTACCTAGTTATAACATGTTACGACCCGAATCGTTCCAAAAGCAACTTGGCAATCTCGCGCTTTGAGCCCCAACCTCAAACGTCGTTGCACACGAGAGAAGGCAACGTTGGCGATGAAGCGACGAGGCAGATGGCGAGCAAGAGAGCTCAACACATCGCTGGCCTTTTTAAGCGCAGTAGCGCGAGCCATAAATCCGACCCTGAACGTGGGCTTGCGATCCCGCTGGCCTCCAGCTCTGGCCTCCTCGCACATGATATCCGATCACGAAAGTTCAGAGGCCACGCGACAAGCACGCGCCCAATGCTAGAGGCGATGAGCTGCCTTCGGACACCCGACTCCTTGTTTGCGACGCCACTTCGTTGTCCAAGCCAAGCGAGACGATCGACGCGGTTGTACTCGACAACTCAGTCATCGGCACGACTAACTAATAGTTGGTAGGTGTAGTAGGTCAGGTTGCCTTTTTGGCGCTTGTGGCATGTCGCATACCAAGCGACCGGCTGTCGCAATTCCGATTTCACATCCAGACAACACGATGGCAGGACATGTGACCGAGCTGCTGGCGGCCATCGACCGCGCCGACGTTCGCCGCGTTGCCGCGCTCTTCGACGGGCCCTACCCGCCCGACGCCCTCGCATCGATCCTCCGCGCTGCCTGCCTCGGGCGATCGTACGACGTTCTGTACTGCCTCCTCGACAAGATATCGGTCCAAGCCTTTCTCTCCGCAGCGCCCACCGCAACACTCCACTCACTGCTCAATGCCGCCGCACAGGGCGGCGACTTGCACATCATGGCTGGCATGAGCCGAGCGACCGGCGTCGCGTGGCGCGACGTGGCCGAGGACACAGGCGGCGTCGAGCTCCTCACGCCGCTCCTCATCGCGGCGATTCGCGGCGACACGGATGCGATGCACTTTCTGCTCGAGGACGGCGTCGATCCGAATGCAGGGCGCACGCGCGACGGCAACGGCCCGCTCGCGATGGCGGCAGCCCACGGGTTTACTGGCGCCGCGGCCATGCTCCTGGACGCGGGCGCGACCATCGATGCGCGCAACGGTGGCGGCGCCACGGCGACGGACCTCGCGCTCCTGTATGGCCACGACGAGATCGTCCAGCTGTGCCACATGGCCCATAGCCGCGCGCTCGCATCCGTCGACGGCAACGCGATCAAAAGCAGCATCTCCAAGCTCCGTCAAGCGAAACAGTATACGAATTACGCGGTGCGCGAGCGGGAAAAGGTCGACTTTGGCCGCGTCCAGCAAAAGATTTCCAAGCTCAAGGCCCGCATCCACGGCCGCATCGACGCCAACTAGTCGATACAAGATTATTGCCACTGAATCTATTTACTCTTTCTCCCAAGCAACCTACTTTCAAAGAGACCGACGCGCCTGTGCGACGACGTGCAGTGCGAGGCGATGGAAAGGTGTGCCACGTCTCTTGCGCGGACGCCAAATTTTAAGCGTTCTCGGCGGTGCGGGTGGTGGAATGTCGTCGTCGCATACTGTACCAGTCGGCCCATGCGCGGTACCATCCCGAGTCGGCGACGTCCTTGTCGAGGTGGAGCGGGCGACTGGGTTGACCCCCAGCTTCTTGAAGACAACGTCGATGCCACGTCGACACCGCAAGATTCACCATCGTGACAGACGTTGGCAACAAAAAGGCTCGTCACCTGATCCAGTCTTGGATCGGTACCATCATTTGCCAAATTGCACTTTCGAGGATGATGGCGCCGGAAGCATCAACGGCAATACCCGTATGGACGGCCGAGAGCTAATCGAACTGCAGAGAGAGATCTGAGAGAGATGGTAGGCTCCACTGACGTCAGTACCGGTACCCACAACGCTGCATTGGATCGTCGTTCTGATGGCCGTGCGCTTGTGCCTGGTGGAATCTCAGCGCATTGCAACCTCATTTTTTATCGATAGCGTCTCAACTGTCCCTCATGGATTTTCATCGGTTTAACCACTTCCATTGATCGAATAACGTGGACTAGACGTCGCGTACCCTCGTAGTCGTGGGCAGAGATGTACATCCGCACCCTCGTGCCCGTCTCCTTCCATTCGAAAGGGCCTCCGTCTCTCTACCTGCTCTGGACTTTGTAAATGCAAGGCGTCCGATTGGCTGAGAATGAACCAATCCGACGCGATAGAGACGGTTTGGAGATTGACAAACCGTACACTCGGCACGACAACATGCGCAGGTCGATCACTCTTCGATTCGCGCAACGACCATGAGCCCTCTTCTCGCCGCCGTCGCCGCCAACGACGTGCCGGCCCTCACCAAGCACTTGGCCGTGGCGTCGCCACGCGAGATCCAAGATGCGCTCGGCGCCGCCTGTCTCGCGCCATCCTACCCGACCTTTATGCCCATCGCATCGACGACCAGGTGTCTGGCCACGACCGCCGCCGCCGACATTCATGGCTACGTCAACTTGGCCGTCGAAGGCGGCAGTGTGCACATTGTAGCGGCCATCCTCCGCCTCACTGCCACCAAACTCGCGTCCGTCTGCGTCGCAGACGGCGACGAGGTCTTGACGCCGCTGCTCGTGGCCGCCATCACGGGTAACGAGGCCATGGTCGCCTTTCTTTTAAAACACAACGACATTGACGTCGACGGCGGACGCACAAAAGACGGCAACTCGCCGCTTGGCATGGCGGCGGCGCACGGCCACAGCAGCGTGGTCTCGCAGCTCCTCGCCGCCGGAGCGTCGCCGCGCC